AATTTAGGAAAAATATATTTAAACTGTTTAATTTCATTTATTTATTTGTTTGTTTTATTAAGGCTTAGAATTAATAATTAATTTAATATAATTTGTGGTGTTATTTATTTAAATATGCACTTATTTGCAAACATTTACATATCAAAAGTTTAATTGGAGAATAAAGCCTGGTTCAATATTGTGTCTTTATTTAGGAAAAATATATTTAAACTGTTTAATTTAATTTAATAATTTATTTATTTGTATTAAGGCTTTGTTTTTATGTTTTTCCCCCACTTTTAAGATTATTTCAGTATCAATTGTAGGGTTATTTGTTTAAATATGCGCTCATTTGCATACATTTACATAACAAAAATTAAAATAGAGGATAAAGCCTGGTATGATATTGTGTCTTTTTGTTGCCTTTATTTACTTATTTTATATATAACTTTTATTTACCTTTAGTTTCATTACATTAAAAAAATATGTTTAAACTGTTTAATTTAATTTAATGAATTTATTATTTATTCATGTTTTTTATATTAAGGCTTAGAATTAAGGATTAATTCAAAATCAATTGCGGTGCTGTTTATTTAAATATGTTCTCATTTGCATACATTTTCATAACAACAATTAAAACAGTGGATAAAGCCTGGGTCAATAGTTGTGTATATTTGTTGCCAACCTTTATTTACTTTTGATTTTAGTTTCATTTTATAATAATTAATTTAGGGAAAAAAATGTAAACTGTTTAATTTCGTTTATTTATTAAATTAATAGTTAATATATTTTTTATTCATTTATTTATTTATATTAAGGCTTTTTTTTATGGTTTTCCCCTGCTTTTAAGAATTAATTCAATATCAAATCTGTTGTTATTTATTTAAATTAATTTATTTATTTATTATGCACTCATTTACATATATTTTCATAACAAAAGTTTTTTGTTGCCATTTGTTTTTGATGTAAAAAATCACTACTGTCAAAAATAATATTCTCACCATGTTTGAAAAATAAAGGATATATTTTATAAACTATATAATACATTTTAATCTGTAATTAACAATAAGTGTTTAATGCACCTTTTTAATTTTAAAATTAAAAAGAAAATTTATATATATATATATATATATATATTTTTTAATTATTAAAATTATTAAAAATTAATTTTTACAAATATTTAAAATTAATACATTTTTTCATATATATATAAAAAAATGGGTGACGCGGTGGCACAGTAGGTAGAAGGTCAAGAAGGTTGCTGGTTTGAGTCTTGGCTGGGTCAGTTGGCATTTCTGTGTGAAGTTTGCATGTTCACCCCTTGTTGGCCTGGGTTTCCTCCAAGTGCTTCGGTTTCCCCCACTGTCCAAAGACATATGTGTGAATTGGGTAAGCTAAAATTATCCGTAGAGTGTGAATGAATGTGTATGGGTGTTTCTCAGTGATGGGCTGCAGCTGGAAGGGCATCCGCTGCATAAAACATATGCTGGAAAAGTTGGTGGTTCATTCCACTGTGGCGACCCCAAGTTAATAAAGAGACTAAGCCGAAAAGAAAATGAATAAATGAATTAAATTAAATTTTAAATTTAATATTTGGAAGATATGGGTATTGTTATACATTTTTAGATGCACTTAAAAACTAATCAATTCTAGCCAAGCATCTGAAGAATGGCCAGTGCATGAAAACAATTTCTTTTCCCCATGAACGATTATTTATTTGCAAGACGGAAGTGCTGAGATCTTCTTTGTTGTTGTTGTTGTTGTTGCAGTGCTGCATCATGTCTGTCGTTTAGATCTTTTGCTCTTTTTTGAACACACAGATCTCTTAATAACCTGTGCTGTTTCCTATAATGAAGCCTGCTGTTTGTGATGGAGGTCGAGCTCGTGTTCACCTGCACTGTGTGTCTGAGAAAATGAGAAACACACATGCGTCAGACCGCTGAGCTAGTAGATCCCAGAGAGTTCACTGAGCTGAAAACAGCAGCGTTTACTACTGCAACAACATTACTAGTGATTACTTTTATTTGTTTTATATGGGGCGACATGGTGGCTTAGTGGTTGTCGCCTCACAGCAAGAAGGTCGCTGGTTCGAGTCTCGGCTGGGTCAGTTGGCATTTCTGTGTGGAGTTTGCATGTTCTCCTCGTGTTGGTGTGGGTTTCCTCCATGTTCTCTGCTTTCCCCCACAGTCCAGACACATGTGCTATAGGTGAATTGATGAATTACATTGGCCTTAGTGTGTGAGTGTGTGTGAATGAGTGTGTATGGGTGTTTCCCAGTACTGGGTTACAGCTGGAAGAGCATCCGCTGTGTAAAACATATGTTGGAACACTGGATACACACACACACATAAGGAGAGAGATACACACTCACACACACATGTGCTGAAACACAGCTGTGGCAATATGTTACACTCCAGGAGGGAGGAGATGCCAGTAATGTGTGTTCGTGTTCGTGTGTGTGTGTGTGTGTGTGTGTTTGTGTGTTCAGGGAGCGTGGTGTGTGGCTGGGTCTGAGTGATCAGTCTTCTCCCCATGTGCTCCGCTGGCTGGACGGCTCTGATGTGCTGCCGGGTGAGGAGGGCTCCAGGGATCGGGGGTCTCTTCAGCCGGGGAACGTGTGTGTGTCTCTGGACGGCGGCGCGCAACCCAGCATACACTCCTGCACCGCCAAACGAGCATTCATCTGCCAGTTCACACGTCACGGTAAACAGCAGACGCACACATCACCGCAGCTCTCCAAGACTAAAGACACACAAATGAACAATGTGGGTGTAGATGCTCTCAAACTGCAGCTCGATATGCTTCAGGCTACTCATCAGAGAAACTGGCTAAGCTCCTGTCACACTACACTTTCAGAAAAGAAGTTACTTCCTAAAATCAACTTCAAGTTACGTCCACTCATAGTTAATTGCTAAATGTAGTTAGCTACTCTACACTGTATTTCCTAAAAGGAGCTAGCTACTAGTTATTTGCTAAAATCAACTAGCTATACCACTTGCTTAAAGTAGTTGGCTGCACTACAAGTTACTTCCTTAAAGTTTTTTGCTACACTTCATGCTACTTGCTAAAAGGACCAAGTTACACTACATGTTTGCTAAAATTAGTTAGCTACACTGCAAGGTACCTGCTAAAAGTAGCTAGTTACACTACAAGTTACTTGCTAAAAGTAGCAAGCTACACCACAGCCTACCTGCTAAAAGTAGCTAGCTACACTACAAGGTATCTGCTAAAAAGAGCTAGCTACAGTACAATGTACCTGCTCAAAGTAACTAGCTACACCACAAGGTACTTGCTAAAAGTAGCAAGCTACACTTCAAGGTACCTGCTAAAAGTAGCTAGCTACACTACAAGTTACTTGCTAAAAGTAGCAAGCTACACTTCAAGGTACCTGCTAAAAGTAGCTAGCTACACTACAAGTTACTTGCTAAAAGTAGCAAGCTACACTTCAAGGTACCTGCTAAAAGTAGCTAGCTACACTACAAGTTACTTGCTAAAAGTAGTGAGCTACACTACAAGGTACCTGCTAAAAGTAGCTTGCTACACTACAAGTTTCTTCCTAAAGCAGCTTGTTACTTTGAAGCAAACTTTTCCACAAAGAACAAAGAAATTTGTTACAAAATGTAAATAAACATATATTTATAGTAAATATGTGGTACTTAAAACATTACAATTACTATGGATACAAGTGTAGATGAATAGAGGATGAGGAAATGCTGACATTTTTGAGTGAGTTATCCCTTTAAACCCACCCAAAAAGTTGACAGCAGATGAAATGTGCTCTTGATGTGATGATAAACACAGTTCTCAGTCTTATTCACACCTCCGGCTATGTGATGTTTCTTTTCTTTATGAAATGTGTTGAAGTTTGGAAATTCTCAGTGTTCTCAGTTCAGTCTGAAGATATATGTGTGTATGTGTGTGTGTTTCTGTGCAGTTCGTGTTCCTGATGCTGGTGTTTCTATGGTGGGAACTGCTGTGTTTAATACCCACAATCCTCTGAGGAGCCCAGCAGTGTCACACACATCTGTGCCGAACACACCGGCCAGGAGAGTAGAGGTAAAACACATGCGCATATATGCATACATAGACACACACACACAAACTCACTGCATTTGTGCATTAGAATGACATTTTAAGTGTTTAAATGTTTTGTGTTGTAATGTTGACAAGCCTGTTTGAATATTTGGTTGTAAAATGAAATAAAATGAACAGCTTTAAACATACTTTAAACGATTTAAATTAAATAATTTTTAAATAAATAATACATAATTGTAGGAAAGTCCTTACCCCAAGTGGAAGAGTTCAAGTTTCTCAGGGTTTTGTTCGGGAGTGAAAGAAGGATGGAGCGTGGGATTGACAGGCGGATTAGTGCAGCGACAGTAGTGATGCAGTCTGTTGTGGTAAAGAAGGAGATGAGCCGAAAGACCCTGTTTCAGACGCCTTCTTGACGCCTACCTAGGGAGGTGTTCCAGGCATGTGAAGCCACTCCATTGATATTTTGGCAGTGTGCTTTGGGTCATTGTCCTGCTGGAAGATGAACCGCCACCCCAGTCTGAGGTCAAGAGCACTCTGAAGCAGGTTTTCATTCAGGATGTCTTTGTACATTGCTGCATTCATCTTTCCATCTATCCTGACTAGTCTTCCAGTTCCTGCTGCTGAAAAACATCCCCACAGCATGATGCTGCCACCACCATGCTTCACTGTAGGAATGGTATTAGCCTGCTGATGAGCGCTGCCTGGTTTTCTCCAAATGTAACACCAGGCATTCACTAGGAAGAGTTCAATTTGAGTCTCATCAGACCAGAGAATTGTGTTTTTTTATGGTCTGAGAGTCCTTCAGATGCCTTTTGGACAATTCCAGGCAAGCAGTGGCTTCAGTCTGGCCACTGTACCATACAGGCCTGACTGGTGGATTGCTGCACAGATGGTTGTCCTTCTGTAAAGTTCTCCTATTTCCACAAAAGAACGCTGGAGCTCAGACAGAGAGACCATCGGGCTATTGATCAACTCCCTGACTAAGCCCCTTCTCCCTCGATCACTCAGCTCAGATGGCCGGCCAGCTCTAGGAAGAGTCCTGGTGATTCAAACATCTTCCACTTACAGATGATGGAGGCCGCTGTGCTCACTGGAACTTTCAGAGCAGCAGAAATGTTTCTGTATGCTTCCCCAGCCTTGTGACTTGAGACAATCCTAGGAGGTCTACAGACAATTCCTTTGTCTTCATGCTTGGTTTGTGCTTTGTCATGCACTGTCAACCCTGGGATGTTACATAGACAGGTGTATGCCTCTTCAAATCATGTCCAATCAACTGAATTGACCACAGGTGAACTCTAATTAAGCTGCTGAAACATCTCAAGAATGATCAGTGGAAACAGAAGCTGAGCTCAATTTAGAGCTTGGCTGTGAATAGTGATGCACATGTGATTTCTCAGGTTTTTTATTTTTAATACATTTGCAACACTTTCAAAAACTCTTTTTTCACATTGTCATCATGGGTGATTGTGTGTAGAATGTTGAGGAAATCAATGAATTTAATCAATTTTGGAATAAGGCTGTAACATAAAAAAATTGGAAAAAGTGAAGCACTATGAATAATGTCCGGATGCACTATATATATATATATTATAAGAACAGTTTTAAAATATGATGTATAAATAATATTAAAAATAAAATACACAAGTGGTTATAAATGAATAAATAATAAATAAATACACAAATAATGATAATCGATTTAAATAATCAATATAACTAGTTATTCTTCAATAAATACGTTTTAATAAACTATTTAAATATTATTATAAACAAGCTAAACAATGAATCAGAAAATTGTATGAGTAAAAAATACCTTTCTTTTTTACATATTTTAACTAATGCTCTTTAATCATGATATATTTTTGTCAGCATAGGGAAGTTAAGGTAGTGAACTGTTTTATTTCATAAATAACAATCCTGCACATCCAATTAGTGGCGCCATTATTACAGTAGCCATAGAAACATGATTATAGTGACCGCCGGGACCAGTCAACAAGTCTTTTTACTGAGAAGACTGTAAATTGCTCTAAAATGGCTGTAAATTTAGCAACAAAATATGCCGGATGTTCCTCAGATTCCCATCAGCAGATTGACCGTATACACATACTTCTGTGTAGGACACATTTCAACTAATGTTTGTGTTTGCTCTTGTGCTAATGTTAATGCAAGTGTTTTCCCTCTTTTTACATAGTCAATCTATATCTATATATCCAAAAAAAAGAAGGTTGCTGGTTTAAGTCCCAGCTGGGTCAGTTGGTATATCTGTGTGGAGTTTGCATGTTCTTCCCGTGTTAGCGTGGGTTTCCTCTGGGTGCTCCGGTTTCCCCCCAATGTCCAAACACATGCGCTATAGGTGAATTGATGAACTAAATTGGCCGAAGTGTATGAGTGTGTGTGTGGGAATGTGTGTGTATGGGTCTTTCCCAGTTCTGGGTTACAGCTGGAAGGGCATCTGCTGCATAAAACATATGCCGGAATAGTTGGTGGTTCATTCCACTGTGACTAAGCTGAAAGAAAATAAATGAATCCAGTGTTAAGCTGCTGTGTGTGTGTGTGTGTGTGTGTGTGTGTGTGTGTGTGTGTGTGTGTGTTTCAGCTGCTGTTGTTTGCTGGTCTGAGTTTCGTGAGCGCTGGCCGTCTGTCGTCTCTGGAGTTCGTCACACACTCTCTGGACACACACACTCAAGTGCGCTTTCAGGTGTATCGACCACGCTGCCCGAGCTTCACACACACACTGCTGCCAGGTATACACACACACACACACACATAAACTCTCACTCTGCTGCCAGTTTTACACACACACAAATACCCAAACACACAATGCTACCAGATACACACAAACACACACATAGACACACATACATACTTACACAATTACATACTTCTGCCAGGTACACACACACACAGACACAGACACAGATACACATACACACACTGCTGCGAAGTGCACACACATATACAAAAATACACACGCACACACTGCTGCCAGGTACCCACACACACATGCTGCTCCCAGGTATACACAAACACACACGTATACATAAATAGACATACACACACTGCTGCCAAGTGCACACACATATCACATGTCAGATACACACAAACACACACATACTGTATGCACACGAACACACACACACAAACACACACTCCTGCCAGGTACACACACACACACCCACACACAAATACACATACACACGATTGCTTTTCTCAGGCTGTATGTTCTTCTGTTGTGTTTGTGTGTGTGTGTGATGTGCTGCTGTATTTTCAGCTTGCGGTGAGCTCTGCGCCCCCATCAGCGTCTGCCAGGCTCCAGATGAGTGGATGAACAGCACTGAAGCTCCAGCGGCTCCAGGGTGTCCAGCAGAGCGCCACTTCTGCCCCTTCTCTGAACGCTGTGTTTCTCTGTCCAGCCCCTGTCCCAGCAGCGCTTGCTTCAACTGCTCCGGGGTCAGTCCTCCGCCCGCGGGCACACAATACCCAGAGTACAGCCTGCTGGACGAGGTGCTGATCTCACTGCCAGCCGGACCAGCAGCCAGCGTCCTGGTGAGTCAGAAACACAACTAAACTAAACTAAACTAAACTAAACTCTAAACTAATCTCTAAATTAAATTAAACTAAACTAAACTAAACTAAACTTAACTATAAACTAAACTAAACACAACTAAACTTAACTATAAACTAAACTAAACTAAACTAAACAAAGCTAAACTAAACTAAACTAAACTAAACTCTAAACTAATCTCTAAATTAAATTAAACTAAACTAAACTAAACTTAACTATAAACTAAACTAAACACAACTAAACTTAACTATAAACTAAACTAAACTAAACAAAGCTAAGCTAAAATAAAATAAAATAAATTATTAAATAAAATAAAATATAAAATAAAATACACAATAAAGCAAATTATAAAATAAAATATAATATAAAATAATAAATGAAATAAGATATAATTTAAAATAAATTACAATAAAATATAAAATAAAAAAAGAAATGATAAAATAAAATAAAATATATAGGATAAAATAAAATAAAATTTAAATTATAAAATAGAATAAAATACAAAATAAATTATGAAATAAAATATAAAATAAAATTATAAATAACAAAAAATAATAAATAAAATAAATATAATATAAAATTAAATAAATTATATAAAATAAAATACCATAAAATACAAAATTAAATTAAAAAATAAAACAAAATCAAATTAAATAAAAAAATAAAAATAAAATAAAAAACTATTAAATTAAAAATATTAAATGATTTAAAACAATAAAAATAATAATAATATATAAAAAAAATTACAATGATAAAATAAAAATAAAAATTTTAATGAAATAAAATAAAAAATAAAATAAAGGCGATGCACTAGCAGAGTGGGTAGCGATGTCACCTCACATCAAGAAGGTCGCTGGTTTAAGCCCCTGCTGGGTCAGTTGGCATTCCAGAGTCTTAGTCAAATATCAGCCAAGAGGTCAGAAGGCAGGCAGCAGACAACGTAAATAAACAAAGCACAGGATCAAAAACAAGGCAAGAAAAATGCATCGTAATGTCACACAGTTAAACAAGACTCTAACAAGGGTCTAATCAATGAAGACTTGGAGCAGGTGTGTGTGTGTGTGATGCATGACTGGATATTCTAGTCCATATACCGGCAGATTTGTAGTTCTATAGTGGGGATCTGTAAGTGTACCAGCAATCTGTAAGGATTAGATCCGCTGGTGATTGTGACGATATGACGTTATATTCGTTTTTAATACTGTGGAATATATGGATCAGAGATGAGACCTCCTGTTTTAAAATTTATATTAAATATTTTTTTTACATATTTATTGAAATTTTTACAGTTTTTATTAAGGATTTTAATAGTACAAACAGAAAATCAGACAAACAAACAAGCAAACAAACAAACCCCAAGCGCTGCTAATTAAATAAAAACGTACAAATATATCCGCTTAACAAAAAAAACAATCAAAACAATATAAATAAATGATTGTTTATTTATTTTATTATGATATTATGTGTCTAAAACAATAAAAGTGCAACCACAGCCTTCATGGACATGACAAGAGCACGGATCTCATTCAGCTCTCTGCCTGCTTTCCCTCAGGTCCAGGAGGAGGTTCAGGACCTGCTGGTATCCCCCGGTGATATCATCGCCCTGCAGCATGACGCTGGACCCTCGGGACTCCTGCAGTGCTCCCCAGACCCTTCATCCCCCTGGAGCCAAAGTCTGCTCATCCAGAACCGCTCACACTGGTGGGACGCCAACGAGACGCTGCAGGCTGACGTGGAGGGGGTCTGGGAGGAGGGTGTGCTGTGCCAGATCCGGGTGTTGTATGTGGGACAGAACCAGACGGGTCTGCAGGGTCCGTTTCTCCGCTCTGGACTCCCGCAGGTTGGTTTACGATGGTGTCAAATTGTCTTGTTGTGATATTGCTCAGTAAGGCATAGTAAATTCACACTACAACTAACTCTCAGCACCAAAGCGACAATCGGCCGTTTATTTCAACGTAGAGCAAGCTACTTTCGGCCACCTCCGTCTAGCAAGAGACAGCGATCGTTGGCGACCAGGTTGGCCTGTCGAGCAACGCAACAAAGTTGAGAATGCTTCAAATTTATGCAAATGAAAAGCAACTTTCTTGGGGGACAGCCAATAGGAGCACCAGGAGAGCTCACGTGATCCTCTCTCTGCCTGCTCATAGGCTGGTTGTATTCTCCATGCTGTAGACCTACACAGATCACCACGAGCGACAGACAGCTACAAAGTCGCTGCTAGTGTGAATGAGGCGTAAACAATCTGTTTCCTGTTTTCAAAATAAAAGCCCCACATACATAGTAAGTTAAATATAAACTTTTAAATAACTAAGTGAGGAAAAGGAAACGTTGCTTATCAAACATAGCCTGAGGCGTGCATATTAATGATCCCAGCACAACAAATCTGTGTGTTTTGGCTAGTGATTTGCTGATGAAGCTGCTTGGTCATGTCTGGATTATGTTGAGTCTGACCTAAAGTAGATGCAAATGATGAGGACGTGCCCCGGGAGTCACGCAACAGTCTGCTTTGTGTTCCGATTTAGTTCACTGGGGTTTTACACTTGTGGAATTTACACAAGAAGGAGGAAACAATGCTGTCTGAGGTCATAGATCTATACACTAGATTTCGCTTACGGACCCTGAGCATGCGTCAATATCGCCGCCACATTGGTACAGTGCTCCCAGGACAAGAGTCATTTAACTGCACTAGTCAAGACAGTATTACTATGCTAGACTTTAGCGCTGTCTACGGGTTTAGTAATAAGCAAAAAAAAAAACAAAGCACAAAGGCAGAACATTTCATAGGTAAGATTAAATAGTTTACGTTTTTTTATGTTATGATCTTTTGTGCCAAACAGGTCACGTTTTTGATGATAATACAGTCTCTTACTGCATTCACCATAAGGCAAAGTAGCACCAACTCGCACTAAACACTCGGCTCATGCTAGTTTTGTTGAATAAAATCAGCAAACAATACAAAAGAAATATGACAACGAGATGCTGCGCTGCCAGAAACGTGTATTATTCATAACAGAGATTCATTCACAAACGAACCGCTCCCTCCGCCAGTATGAGAAGTGAAAGCAGGAGAGGAGGTGTGATTCAGGACATGATTAGATCAAATTGACCTGGCACGGCGGATAGTACATTTCCATACACACAAACACAAGCTTTTTGTCAGGAATGCCTGTGCGATCACTGATCCATCAACTTAGAAAAGTGATGTAAAATTATAATTTTCGTAATAAAAAAATAAAATTGCATACTGACCTCCAGGAAAACTCATAATCATAGATATATGTGTATATGTGTATATCTCTGGCTCTGGATGGCCACAGTCTTCCACTGTAGCTTGGTCCCGCATTCATTTCAAAGGAGCGCTACCCTGTACTAAAATGGCGGCTCTACTGATGCATTCCTTCCAATAGACAACAACAGGATAGGCGACATCTAATGTATATATCTATAGTCTGAGGCTATGTGTGTGTGTGTATTAACTAATGTTTACCATTGCAACAATATTGGACAGTGTTAATGTACAACAGCCCTATCAATTGTGACATAATTTTTAATTATGTATTTTATTATGTGTTTTAATTAAGTATTATAGCATGCCCAGATTAACATTTGAAAATGTTTGAACTATTAAGCTAATTAACCAATAAAATCTCCAAGCATTTGACGCTGTACTGAACAACACCACTGCAAATACAATTCTTAATTCAATCAATTAAATTCTGAATATTCTTAAAAATCACTCTAAAGGTTTAAATAATCAATAATTATTTACAGTATTTTGAAGAGCCCACAATAACGTCATTGTGCATGTTTATTACCACAATATATTGAATTATTGATATATATATATGTCTTCCCACAGGTTGGAGATTACAGTTTAGAAGTGACGTCCAACGATGAGGATTTTCCCGTCACTGCATCCTGCCCGATTCAAGTCATCCCGCCACTGACGCCAACTGTAATCCATCCGACAAATCACAACAACACTGTGTACTTCCTGCCCAATCAGACGTGGGTTCTCATTAAAGTGCGCTCTCAGCACAGTGCTCTGATTGGCTGTCAGGGCAACAATCTGACTGTGGCATTTGAAAGGGCGTGTCCTCAGAGTCTGCTGTCGAAGGTGGCCGAGTGCAGGCAGTCCGACCCATTCAATGACACCATGTTTGCCTGGGTTGACCTGCAGGCTGGATCTACGCCAGGACAGACCACCGTTGTGCTTCATGTCAAGAGTGAAGTCACTGAGGCCTATCTGCAGATTCAGGCCAGAGTTCAAGAGCCACTGCGAGGACTGCTCATACAACCACATCCTGCGCACAGAGTCCTGATGGAGTCCGTAGTGGTAAGTGACATCTGTCCTGATGAATAAATGTGTAAGCATGGTGGTTTTGGGGTGGTTTAGACTGGTTTCTTGGTCTGAGAAGTGCTCATAATAGACAAGATAACCAAATTGGCTTGGTTTAAACCATTTTCACTCTGCTGGGCTAGTTTTCTAGCCTAAGAAGTCCTCATGGTAGTTTAGATAACCAGATAAGCCTGGTTTAAACCATTTGTGAGCCTTTTGGGGCTGATTTTCTTGCCCAGGAACTGTTCGTAGTAGACTCGATAACCAGATTAGCTTGGTTTAAACCATTTGTGACCCTTTTTGGCTGGTTTCCTAGCCTGAGAAGGGCTCATAGTAGACTAGATAACCAAATTAGCTTGGTTTAAACCATTTGTGAGCCTTTTGAGCTGGTTTCCTAGCCTGAGAAGTGATCATAGTAGTCTAGATAGCCAGATTAGCCTGGTTTAAACCATTTGTGAGCCTTTTTGGGCTGATTTTCTTGCCCAATAAGTGTTCGTTTTAGACTCAATAACCAAATTAGCTTCGGTTTAAACAATCTGTGACCCTTTTAAGCTGGTTTCCTAGCCTGAGAAGTGCTCAAAGTTGACAAGATAGCCAAATTAGCTTGGCTTAAACTATTTATGAGCCTTTTGGGCTGGTTTCCCTTCCCGAGAAGTGCTCGTAGTAGATTTGATAACCAGATTAGCTTGGTTTAAACAATTTGTGAGCCTTTTGAGCTGGTTTTCTAGCCTGAGAAGTGCTCATAGTAGACAAGATAACCAAATTAGCTTGGCTTAAACAATTTGTGGCCCTTTTGGGTTGGTTTCCTAGCCTGTGAATTGCTCTAAGTAGACCACATAACCAAGTTTGGTTGGTTTAAGCCAGGGATCACCAATCCTGGTCCTGAAGGGCCGGTGTCCCTGCAGGGTTTAGCTCCATCTTGCCTTAACACACCTGCCTATATGTTTAACGTATACCTTGTAAGACCTTGATTTACTTGTTTAGGTGTGTTTGATTAGGGTTGGAGCTAAAATCTGCAGGACACCGGCCCTCCAGGAACAAGTTTGGTGGCCACTGGTTTAAGCCATTTTGTTTAGGGTTTGTTAACTTGTAAACATCTAAAGTCCATTTACTAGGTAAAACGAGGTGGATTTAGCTGATTTCCTACTTTGATATAATAGAGTAAAAAGTTACCTTCTAATTATTTATTTTTTAAAGCCTATATATTGCTTATTACAAAAAAGCCCAAACTTAACAGAACACTGTTTTCTAAAATGTATGAATTTAATATTTGTATTGTTATTAATAATGCCACAGTAACGGGAAATGTTTTGTTGTAGATTTGAGTGTGAGCATTGGTTGTTTTGATGGTTTTAGTTTGGTTCGATTTATTCTGGTTTTCTAGAACGAGAAGTTCCTAAAATCTGTCTGAAATCATCAAAGCTGACCTGATAAGCACCTCTGCCTGCTGTAAATCACTTTCAACGTGACCTTTAAACATCCACTTTACAAGGAGGCTCTTTTTATTGCTTATATTTTACAAACCAGATGGCTTTTTTAAACTGATCTCTTAAGCTCTGACCTCTTTTCAAGCTGTCTTAAACTATCAGTGCAGACCATATAACCACTTTAGTCCGGTTTAAACCACTTTTTACCTTCTTAACATTTGGGGTCTCATTTATAAAACTTTGCAACATAAAAGTGAACATACACCTGAATCATTTTATATGATTTAAAGGGGCTTTAGTTAAGTCAATATTTAAGTTAAATATATTTATTAGAGTTCACTTACAGCTCTGCTCATCCACCAATCAAGCTAGTTATTTCCCCTTTGTGTGATGTGGTACAAAATGGGTGAAAACATGCATACGTCACATTTATAAATGACACCCCTGATATCCAAGGGCAATTTATTTATCATTGTGTCTGTGAGACAGAAGTTTTTCCTCTGTTCATTATTCACCATGTCTCTTTTATGGCCTCAACCTTCCTCTTTAATGGTCTTGTTATTTGCTGTCCGTCTTGTGTTTCAGTGCTACACGCCGTCTGTGGAAGCAGGAACAGACCCTTCGTTCAGGTGGACAGTGGATGATAAACCACACTTCACGTACTACAACAGCATGCTAAATATTATCTACCAGAACGCAGCGGTGTACAAGCTCACGGTGACTGCTTTTCATTTAACTCTTGTCCTAGAATTCTATACACTGATTGCCTTTGGGGTCAGAATGACCCGCATTCACTAAACCTCTAAAATATAACAGAGACAGTGTTCATAAAAGTGAAAGCAGGCTATTCTTAAAGTACAAATTAAATCAAACTAACCATATGGTTTTGTTAGCTCACATTGCTAGTTTTCGGCTGACCCGCAACTTGTTTTACTAGGTGACGGCGATGAACCAGGTCAGCATGCTGACTGAAGACTTCAACGTGACGGTGGACCGTATGAACCCCATGACTGACCCGACCGTACACGGAGTCCCCAAAATAGTGCAACAGGGTTCACTACTGAACCTCACTGCGTTTATCACGATAGACACAGCGGTGGACGTCACCTTCTGGTACGTTCTGTGATGGTTTATTAAAGATTGACGTGTAAAGATTCTTCCATCATCATGATTCATAGGTCATTGTGATGCTTGCGAGTTTGTTGGCTTGAATGAAATTTGAAATTTATAATCTGCTTTTATTTTAGCCAATATAACACAAATAAAACTTTCTCCTGAGGAAAAAAATACTACAGAAAATACTGTGGAAAAAATTATTTGAGAAATATTTGAAGAAGACAAAAGTAATAATTTAATAATATTTTTTTTAATCATTTTTGACTTAAATGATTTTCATTAGTATATTTTCAGTAATATTTGATTAAACAGTCTTTCTTAAATACTCTAATATAGTTACATTTTATTATATAGTAATAAACTATTTGCATTTAGTAATACTGCATTTACAGTCAATCCCGAAATTCTTCATTCCCCTGGAAAATTGCGACTTATAGTGTTTGTTTATATGTAAGTTGTAACATTAGGATGCTATACAGTGGAGTTTGTTGCTTATTGAAAGCTTAGTCAGACAGGCAACAGTCAAACAGGAACAAACATTAGCATAAGGGGTAATCCAGAGAGTAGTTGAGGTCATAGGCGAAGAAGTGTAGGCGGCAAACAGCATAAACAAGAAGCAAGACAAGGATCAAAAGCCACGGCAGGACAAGATGAGGATAACACATTGTAATGCTACGTGATAACAAGACTCTTCAAATAGTGAATGTGAATGAGGTGTCTTTATAGTTCTAGTAATCAGTCTATAATGGAGAGAACTGGAACTGGTGTGTGTGAGGTGCATGTTGGGATTTGTAGTTCTTATTAGTGGGACATTTGTAGTCTGGGTTTTCCAGTGATCTGCAAGGCCTAGATCAATGGTGATCGTGACATAAATAAAAGCTGATTTTTTTTCCTTCTTGAACATTGTCTTATTATCTTTTTAGAGAAGCCTGTGTTATTTCCAGTCCAAAAAAACTTGTCGGTTGAATAAAAAAAGTAACTTTAAGTTAGAATTTGCCAGGGGAATTAATAATTTTGGGCATTTAGTAATATGGTATAATGCACTATAGTTAATTCAGCAATTTAATGTTTCTTATTGTCATTAAAAACAGACAAAGCAATAATATTATTCAATAATAATACATATTGAATAGATTTGAGCCATATAGTATAGTGTAGTATACACTACTTGACAAAAGTATTGTCTGCGATCCCAGCTGTATAAGCAACAAATAATAACCTGACTTCTAGTTGATCATCTGGTGAACAGCATCCCAATCATCACAAATACTGCAGAAGACCTACTGGAACCAGCATGGACCCAAAACTCTCACAGAAATCAGTCAAGTTTGGTGAAGGAAACATCATGGTTACATTTAGTTTGTGTATTAAGTTACAAGCTTTGTTGTGGATGGCAACATCAACAGCCAGAGGTGTTAAGACATTTGTGCTGCCCATTACATTACAAACCACAGGAAAGGGCAAATTCTTCAGCAGGTTAGCGCTCCTTCTCATACTTCAGCCTCCACATCAAAGCTCCTGAAAGCAAAGAAGGTCAAGGTGCTCCAAGATTGGCCAGCCCAGTCACCAGATATGAACATTATTGAGCATGTATGGGATAAGATGAAGGAGGAGGCATTGAAGATGAATCCAAAGAATCTTGATGAACTCTGGGAGTCCTGCAAGAACACTTTCTTTGCCATTACAGATGACTTTATTAAGTGATTAGAGTCATTGCAGAGATGTATGGATGCAGTCCTCCAAGCTCATGATGGAGTCAGACACAATATTCAGTCAGTTTCCACTGCAGCATGATGTTAAGTGATAAGACTTTGATCTAAGCATAGTCAGAGCTTACTGTCTTAATGAAATAATTAAAAATTAAGGCATGAACGTATTTTATTTTGGTAAAATAAGTGTAATCTAGAGGCCTTTGCCTTTCACATAAGCCACTTCTGATACCAAATCAGAAGTCATTATCTGTTGTTCCTAAAACTTGGATAGGCGACAAGACTTTTGTCAGGTTTGTTTTTGCCATTAAAAATGGACAAAGCAATAATGATAATAATAACAAACATTGGCTTGATTTGAGCCTCAGCATTGGTATGCATTAAAAGTAAACCCGCAATTACAGTCTAAATCAGTTCCTGATGGATAAAATCATGCATTTTTCCCCCTCGCCGAATACCACATTACTCTTTCAAATGTCTCATTATGGAAGTGAAATGAGTTGCCGAATGCTCTCTCTTTTTCTTGGAGAGTCGCTTTCAATGTACACAAACTCCCGGGCCCGCTCTCATTTAATGGCACTTTCCTCTAGATTTACAGTTTGTGGTTTGCACTCAGAATGCTGACGAGGATTTTTCCCTTAGAAACTTTCCACTCCATCCCCCAGTTGCCTGCCGCGCGCCACTGCAGATGTCTGCTGGCATGCTTTATTTATTTATTTATTTCATGTATATCTCTATTCCTCGTCATAGTCCTGCAGGGCGGTTTTCTTCCCTGCTCTTTTATCTGGGCGTCTCTGGAGTTCAGTGGAGCGTTTGTTCAGTCAATCGCGCTCCTTGATTCTCCTTTGGGTTCCTCTTGCGCTGAGCAGGTGTGGGTAAGATGGAGCGGGAAATGATTCAGCAGCAGATCCACTTCGCTCTCCCGCGGCCGTGAGTCAGACAGATTTGCAAGAAGGTGCCTTTATTCTCTCCGGCTAAAAATATCTTCAAAAACAGACCCGCCACCTTGCTGTTGCGAAATCCCAGAAGGCACCAGAAGTTGTCTTTTCATCGCCAGCTTTTAAAGCCATCACCAAGCCAGAGTTAACTTTCTTAAATGCATGCACCGGGTTTTAATGCGCACAGTGAACTCTCTTTGGTTTGTTTTGGGGTTTTTTAAAGCACATTTGTAAGCATAATGGTTTTAAAATCCAATTTCTAAAAGCTGATTTCTATTGTTTTTGGCAGGATGACAAGTGCATAATACTTTGTGAAGTTTGAACTAATTTTATTATTCAATTTATGATTCACCAATCAAACGATTCCTAAGCCACTATTTATACCCTAGGCTCCATATAACAGCCATCTTTATTTGAAGAATCCCCCCTTCCACCCCTACTCCTCCTCCTTTGCTAGATGGGTGGCACGGTTGGCCCAGTGGTTAGCACTGTTGCCTCACAGCAAGAACGTCACCGGTTCTAGTCCTTACAAAGCCTGCCAATTCTGTGCCGATTTTACAAGTTCTCCTCGTGCTCACGTGGGTTTCCCCCAGGTTCCCCTTTTTCCTCTCACAGTCTAAAAACCTGCTACTTAAGTTAATTGACTAATCCAAATTGGCGCAATAGACATCCTCTTAGTAAGTAGTTATCAAATCTTTTGTTCAAACTCGGTCTTGGAGGGCCGGTGTCCTGCAAAGTTTTGGTACAACCCAATCAGACACACCTGGGCTAGCTAATCAAGCTCTTACTAGGCTTTCTAGAAACATCTTTGCTGGTGTGTTTAGGCAAGTTGGAGCTTAAATCTGCAGGACACCGGCCCTCCAGAACCAAGTTTGGACAGGACACCCCTGTCTTAAGAGCAATCACTATCTGTTCATTAGCTAGGGAAGTTCTCGAGATCTACCTGAGCTCAACCTCCACCCCGCAAGCTAGAGGGAGCCCTGGGCACGAGGATCTTATGTGCTCAGGGCTCTCTCCAGGGACAGCATGCCAAACAAGCTTTATAATCAATCATCAGCTAAGTGTGAACTCTTGAAATTAGCTATTTATTAGATACTATTCAGCAGCCGGCAGTAGCTCTCTTCAATCTCACTTGGTTGCCCACTGAAGCTAGGCATGGTAGACCACATGGGAAAGCTTGGTTGTTGCTGGAAGTGGTGGGTGGTAGCGAGACCAGCAGGGTGCGCTCAACCTGCGGTTTTGTGTCAGTCCTAACGCCCCAGGATATTGACGGGGATCTTATACTGCTCAGTCAGTCAGTAAAGCGATGACACAAATTTATCATTTCACGACCTTCAGAGTGACCCGAAGGTCCCTTCTGAGTGGATAGTAGGAAAAAAAGGATATCAGACCTCATTTTCAAGTAGGTTAAGGGAAATAACTCTGATTACCTAACATTTTCTTTCCCAAAAAGGTTACATAGGCTAAAGCAGGGAAGTGTCCCCACTGTAAACCGCTTTGAGTGTCCAGAAAACACTATATAAATATAAGGAATTATTATTATTATTATCACTTGGTAAATATTTTAAAAAGAATACAAATTTTACAGGAACCTAAGAGACTTAAGTAGTAAAATGGGTTGTTCATTTCATGTTAAGTCTCACTATAAAACATAATTTGATAGAGTGTGAAATTTCTATCAAAAAAAAGGAAGAATTTAAAAAAGGAAGAAAAAGGAAAAGGAAGAATTTAAAGTAAACTTTTATACATCGAACAAAAAATCATATATATATATATATACAGTAATACAGTAGGTTGACAGCAAGTAAAGTGAGACAGAGAGATAATTTGATTGGAAAAGGGCTACGAGCCGGGATTCAAACTCGGGACACTCCATATGTCGCACCATATGTTGGCGCACTAACCACTGGGCTACCAGGTTTAATGTATTATTGTTTTTTTTTTTTTTTGTTACGTTTTGCAGGTGGTGGTTTGGGGACGGAGGAAATCGTACTCATCAGTTTAAGTCACCGTATGATGATAACCCCTCTACTAACATGGTGGGGATTCGTGACCATGTGGAGTACATTTATGCACAGCCAGGTAAAAAAATTAATGAGGCAAATGTTAAAAAATTCACAATGTTCTCATTTGTTTTACTTGTATATTTTATGTGTTTGCTAGTTGTAAGTAATTTTGATAGAAACTAAATAAAGAGTCCAGTGGCTCTTGAGATCAAAATAAGGAAAAATGTACTTGAGTCTGGTGTATTTTCACAGCGACTAAGAAGTAAATGATGGTTTTAAGAAAAGCTGCCCCAAAAAAAATTTTAAAAACCAGTTAAAAAATCATCAATTTCCCGCTAATATTTGAGCCTTAGGGTGCTTTCACACCTAGACTTTTGTTTCGGAACCTGTCTCGTTTGCACAGATAGTACGGTTTGGCAAATATGAATCCAGCAATCGTGCTTGGATCCGCGCTAAAACAATCACTCGGAGACCGGCTGAATGAAGTGGTCTCGGTATATAGCCCGGCTATATCACAGTGTTTTATGGATATGTAATAGACATATGGCTATAAGAAGAGAGAATTATGAGTGGTGCGGAGGTCATTCCAGACATCCCAAGTCTCCCGGAAGTTCCGGGAGTCTCCCGCGAATGCACAGAGACTCCTGGTTTTTCAAATACATCACGCACCCTTCTCATACCACCCCGCCCCATCCCTCCTTGCTCTTCAGAAACCCCCGACAGCTGAGCGGGTATCTGCAAAATAAAGCTTGATATTCGGACCAATGTGAGGAGAGTTTACTCACACGTGACTTGTTTTAGCTATTTTGGTCCGTTTAGGAACTTTGCCATGTGAAAGCGAACCACACCAATAACAAAGAGCAACAATGTAACAATTTTAAACCCTGTTTCAGAACAAATGAATCAATTCATAGGTGTGAAAGCACCCGTATTCTATAAGGCAAGGGTTTTCAATATCGGCTCTGGAGGTCCAGTATTCTGCAGAAACCCCAATCGGACAAACCTGGGCTGGCTAATCAAGCTTATACTAGGCTTTCTAGAAACTTCCTTGCTGGTGTGTTGAGGCAAGTTATATCTAAAGTCTGCAGGACACCAGACCTCCAGGGCCGAGTTTGAGTTACCTTCAGAGCCAATCACAGTCATATCTGTTGAACAGCTCTCGAATGTTACTGGGTAAGTAACAATTGGTGCAGAAGTCGATACTTTTGACAACCGTAGTACTGGAGCATCTCTAGTTATATTTTACTTCCATTTTTTATTTTAGTTTCAGATTTATTCAGTCGAATCTAATAAAATTAATTTAAAATTTGTTCTACCTTTTTTTGCAGGGGAGTACACCCTACTGTTGTCCACGTCCAACCGCTATGAGAACAAGACATGCAAAGTTGATGTATATGTCTTCAGCATTCTGACGAGTGTGCAAATCGAGGTTTACCCGCCGCTCCTGCGTGCCGAAAAACCAGCTGACTTTGAGGCCCACCCTCTTCCTTCTCCATATGGCATCATATACACCTGGAATTTTGGGGACAATTCGAGTATACAGCAGGGACGGGAACGCAGGGTTCCTCACGCATACACTCACAGTGGTATCTACAACATCTGTGTGAATGTGAACAACAGCATTAGCTCAACAGACACATGCGCTAACATTATTGTCTATGAGGATATTAAGGGCTTGGAAGTAATGTCCTCTGCTCCCACAGAACACAACACACCTACTGTTATCAGAGCTAGTCTGGAAGCTGGCAATAACGTAACTTGGAGCTTTGACATGGGTGATGGAAAGGTGCACAAGAGTGTTGAACCCCAGATTAAATACAAGTATAGGGAAGATGGAAACTACACTGTCAATGTCACCGCAGAGAACGCAGTGAGCTCTCAGTGGCTGACCATACCCGTTGAGGTGTTTGTTCTACAAGTGTTATCGCTAGAACCTACCGGGTGCATTGAAGAAAACAAAATAGTCAGCTTTCATGTGTTTGTGTCTGGGAATGCTTCAGGACATCAGTATGTGTGGAGTTTTGGAGATGGGAGCCCCAATGAGACTCAGTATGGGACGCCGCTGATTACCCACTCGTATGTTAATAGTGGTGATTACAATCTGTCACTTCTTGTGTCAAGTGACGCCAACAAGGCCCATTTTTACACAAGGATCTGCGTCCAACCTAAAGTTACAGTAGTGTCTGTGACCCCTTTGAGGACACATGTCAGACTTGGTGAAGAGAGTAGATTTACAGTAGCTGCTGTTCCTGAATTCAATTACACATACTTGTGGGACTTTGGAGTTGTGGACTCGGGAGGTCCAGTTCGAGGTGGTAAGGAGATGACATATACCTTCAATAGTGCTGGGGAATACCAAGTAACAGTTACTGTACAGAACAACATCTCCTCTATCAATGCCTCAGTTTCCATTGAGATACAGCAATCAGTTGGACTTTTGTTAATCAGCCATAATGGAGACAAAGGAAACCATCTTTCTTTACACCAAGAGTACAATTTCAAAGCGTCCTCAGATTCGATGAATGCTGTCTACATTTGGGACTTTGGAGATGGGACTCAATGTAATGGGAAAATTGTGTCACATTCTTACAATTCTTCAGGCAGGTTCAGCATCAGTGTCATAGGGAAGAATGAAGTGAGCAAGACCAAAAATGAGACTTCTGTTGTGGTCCTGGCACCAATCACGAGACTGTCTATAAATGCCAGCCTTGTCAATGTACCATTGAATGCTTCTGTGCACTTCGAGGCACAACTCGACCAAGGAGATGATGTACGATACTCTTGGATTCTTTGTGACCGGTGCAAGTCCATCCAAGGCACTCACACCATGTTCTACACATTTCTATCTGTCGGGACCTTCAATGTCATTGTTACCGCAGAGAATGCTATCAGCATGGCTCAGTCCAGCATTTTCATCTTTGTGCAGCGTGAGTTGGAAGGCTTGCAGATAGTGGCCGATGACCTTATTGAAGGATGCTGTTTTGCAACAAATCGTATCCTTCACTTACAAGCCTCATTAAAAGAAGGCACCAACATGACCTTCACCTGGAACCTTCTGAGAGAACATGAGAACCATGACAACCTCACAGGCAAGACCATAGAGCTCAATTTTTCCACACCAGGTCCTTGTGAGGTCATTCTTAAGGCGACCAACTTGCTTGGCCAGCTGTCTGTGAATAAAACGATTGAGTTTCTAGATCCTGTGCAGGATCTGGTGCTTGAGTCCTTACCAAACCCTGCTGCTGTAAACGCCATGACAAATATGACAGTATCTGTAAATTCTGGGACCAATCTCCATTATAAATGGTGGGCAGATGGTGATCTGTTGGAGTCTGACATGCCCTCCATCTTGCATCGATTCAGAAGTGCTGGTTTGAAGCTGGTTAAAGTAGAGGTTTCCAATAAAGTCAACTCTGAAGTGGTGTCAAAATGGATCAGCATTCAAGAACCGATCTCAGGACTGACTTTCATCGCAAAAAATGTTACAGAGAATTTTGTAGCCACTGGGGACAATGTTTCCATGCGTGGAGACACTCAAATGGGGACCAACATTTCATGGATGTGGCTATTGCCAGATAGCACTAAATCGAACCAACGTGCCATCTCATACATCTTTCACACTCCAGGACTTTTCACTGTAGCTTTGAATGCCACTAATGACGTGAGCGGAGAAATGTACTTGCGGGATTTTACAGTTCAAGATCGCATCCAGGGTCTGGAACTCAAGGCAAGCAAACAAATTGCTGCCGTTGGTGAAAATGTTGAGTTCACCATATCAGTCTCATCTGGAACTTCCGTCAGCTTTATCCTGAGCATTAGTGGAGATGCAACCGTCGTACTAAACAATCTAACATACGTCCACCAGTTCACCAGTGTTGCCAAGTACTATGTCAACCTTACTGCCTACAACCACGTGAGTTCAGAACGAAGGACCCTTCACATTGAAGTGATGGAGCCTGTGACCAAGCTGACTATACTAGACTGCTGTGATGCTGCTATACCTGTGGGAGTTCCTAGGTCTTACGTAGCATCCACACCAACACGTGAGCCACTGACCATCCTTTGGACCTTTGACCTTCATCATGGTTTCAAGATTTCTCGGGTTGGCAAGTCTATGACATATGCCCCAGAGCAGCCAGGCAATCTGACCATATTCCTGAGAGCGTTCAATTCTCTGAATGGTCTAAATGTAACTAAGGTTATACAAGTTCAGAGCATTATCAGATCAGCATTGTTGGATGCTCAACCTAGTGACACTTTTGTAAACAAGACTGTTAACTTCCATGTAGGCATAACCCCTGCTTCAACTCCAGCTACATATCAGTGGGACTTTGGGGATGGTACTTCTGGCACTATCACCACTGCACCTTTTCATAATCATGTCTACTTGATTCCTGGACACTATGTAGTGCGAGTCAATGTAAGTAACCTGGTGAGCTGGGTTACAGCACAGATTGAGGTCAACATCTCAGTCTTAAAGTGCGATGAACCAGAGGTGCAGATCATTCAAGCTCCACGACTTGCCATCTGGCGGCATCAACCAACTTTGGTAGAAGCCAGTGTGAATCTGAAAGGTTGTGTCCTCTATGGTGTAGAGTACCTTTGGGAGATCCTCACCTCCCCTCGCTGTCAGGATGATGACAAGAAAGGTCCACCACCGTCTAAGATTCAACTCCCTCCAGAAGTCAATGTTCGAAGGCTCCAACTTTCAGTGCCCAAGATTTCGATTCCCGCTGGGAACTACACTCTAGTTTTTTCTCTGTCCTACGAAGGGGTGCCACTGCGGAAAGCAGCATGTCTTCAGCTTTCGGTCATGTCTAAAAAGTTAGTGCCCATCATTGAAGGTGGCACCTACCGTGTGTGGTCTAAAACTCACGATTTGGATCTAAGCGCAGAACAATCCTATGATCCCAACCTGGACCCGGAGAACCAGGTACCACTCAGCTACCACTGGGAATGTGTGAGCACCTCAAAGGTAATCATTACTTATATGTCAAATATATCTACAAATAAACAATTTTCTTCTTTCTCACTGTTGGTATGAGTAGATGTAGGCCAATCCTGCTTTTTCAGAAGGTCACTTTCCTGCCTTGAAGTTTTTAGAGATCCTAAAGAACTTGATTAGGTGTTTTATGTGTCAAACAGCAGGTCATATAGTATTTAAAGTGTCCTAATATTGTTCTGGAGTCCCCTACAACAGGTTTAAATGCATCTAAAACGTCCGTCTAATTTAGGCTGTGAAATACCAGTAGGTTTAATAGCAAATGTGGCTGCTTAAGATGCTTACATTTTTAATCTGGAAAAAAGCTTGAGTTGTTGACTGTTCATTTAAACCTCAAATGACTTATTAAGCCAAACAATCTCCGGAAAAATGTTGAGTTTTTTTTCCCATAAATGTTTAATGTGAATTGAACGTTATGGCTGAACCGTTTGAGTGTTTGTCAGTAAAACAAGTGATCAAATGCTTTGTTCACTTGTCTTGTATCCATGCTTGAGGGTTTGATTCACAAAACTTTTACCATAGATGTGAACGTGTGATATTGAGTATGTGAGCGGCGTATAGTATCAGAGGCTTGAAAACGCTCAGAGCAACCCTGAAAGATAAAATATGTCAAGTATGAGCCACAGAAGTGGATGTTTGGGTGGTGTATACTCGAGATCAGTTACATAACTAGCAGCGGATAAACTCAGCATTCCTCCGAGTTCTCCCGGCCTATCAGAATCACTGCCAGAGGGGAGCAGAAATTCCTGCCTTTTATTAAAACGTTCCATCACTGACAGCAAATCAGAGGAATATTATATCAGGTAAAATGGAATATGGCCTTAAAATAGCACTCGCGTCACATTAAAAATGTATGAATGTCATTGCATTGCTGTGTAAATCTAAGTGTTGTTTATTTTGGTATAAAAGCAAGTGCATTTTTTGAAACCGCGTGCTCCGCGTTTCCCCCACAGTCCAAAGACATGCGGTACAGGTGAATTGGGTAGGCTAAATTGTATGTAGCGTATGAGTGTGTTTGTGAATGAGTGTGTGGATATTTCCCAGGGATGGGTTGGGGCTAGAAGGGCATCCACTGCGTAAAAACGTGCTGGATGAGTTGGCGGTTCATTCCGCTGTGGTAAACCCCGGATTAATAAAGAGACTAAGCCAACAAGAAAATGAATGAATGAATGAATGAATATTTTGTTTATATATATATATATATATATATATATATATATATATATATATATATATATGTATGTATGTATGTATGTATGTGTATATATATATATATATATATAAACAAAATATTCATTCATTCATTCATTTTCTTGTTGGCTTAGTCCCTGTATTAATCCGGGGTTTGCCACAGCGGAATGAACCGCCAACTCATATATGTATGTATGTGTATATATATATACATAAATTAAATTTTAGATTTTTTAATTAATTTTATTATTAAATATTATTAAATTAAATTATTAAATTTATTATTTATTAGTTGTGTTGTGTTAAAACATAAGCAAAACATTATAATTATTAGGGACAAAAGGGATTGACAGATTTATTACCAACTTTTTTGTAGTTTTAATGCATATTTATAATTTTGTATTCTTTTAATGTTCTTGACACTTATTTTTCAGCTATAAATTTCATTCTAAGGCAAATATAAAGTGATTAAAACATGTTTTTGTTTGTCGTTGAGCAGGTGGCATATGGTTGTCTTGTATATCCTGTGGTAAATAAGTGAGCCCATTTATTACCATCTGCTGTGTTCTGCTTAAACTGTGTTTTCATGCCTCCCCACAGGGTCCTGATCACTGCTCCACTTTGCATTTTGGCTTGGGTCCGAGCGACCCGGTTCTGGGAATCTCTGGTTCTGAACTGGAGGTTGACGTTGAATATACTTTCCGCCTGACTGTCAGCAAAGATGGCATGGCCCCCGAATCCACCACCCAAACGGTAGATAATGCCAATTTTTCCACACCTGATGTGTTTGTATTAGCATTTAATACATTCCTAATTATTAGCAGGTTGGTGTATTTATATAAAGGGATGATTATCTGCACATTGCGCTGTCGTTATTTTCCACATCACTCAATTGAAATTAAAATATAACCTTATTGTGCACTAAATACCTTTGTGTATTCAGAAAACACCCACAATTGTTTCTGCGGATAGCTGAGTCGTATGTAAATAAAGTCGTTGCTATTCTCTTCAGTGCAAACGCACCTTTTTTCTATGCAAATTATGGAACACCAATCATTTACATTTAAAACCTCAAATGTCTTGAATGCTGCAGTTAGGATCGTGCTGTTGCCGCCCTATTGAAAGCTGGCGGGAAACTGAATTTGGCTTTTCTAGTGATTATGAGCATAGTGAATCATCAAAAGCACATCCTCCACCAACTCGCTTCTCTAAACTGTGACATGCAAATAGTGTTTTTGTGCTTTTCGCCTAATATGCATACCTTAAATAGTGAAGCGTGAGCTAAAACAATTGAGTGTATGCAAATAAAGGAAAGTTATGAGCATTCATTATTCATTGTTAGTGAATTCTCGCTATTTCGTTCTGCTGTGCTCAAATTAGTCACTATTAGTAATCTAAACTACTCATTCTTATTCAGCATGCGCTCTGTTTAGCTATAATTAACCGACTTGAACAGGTGAAAAGTCGTTTTTGCATAATGTAAAATATAATCTTGCTTTTTACCTTCTGACCTTTGCATTTTTAGCTACATCTGATAGCTTAATATCAGTATTAGTCAGTATTCAATATTAGTATATGAAGCTATGGAGTTTTTTTTAATCCTTAAAACAGTTTGGTATGTTTATTGTATTTAAAAAATCTGATTTTTATTTAAACATTTATTTAAAATGGAATAAATACACAAATATTATCGTTTGTTATCTTGTTATTATTATAATTCTTTTCCAGAAGATGACAGTTTGTCAAAATGTTTATTTGTTTGTTGTTATTGTAAATCAGAACATATGTATTGTGTTAAAAATATTTTAAATATGTAAAAAAAAAAATTATATATATATATATATATATATATATATATATATATATATATATATATATATATATATATATATATATATTTATTTTTTTTTTTTTTTTTTTTTTTACATATTTAAAATATTTTTATTTAAATATTTATTTATTTATTTATACAACTATTCTGTCTGGTTCTTAAATCTGATTGGTTGATATATTTAAGTAATATCAGCACCCATACAGCCTCTTTACCCTTTATGTATGACTCCGCCCACATACAGCCAGCAAAAAGCAGACACTACAGATCTACAGTTTAAAAGATGCTTGCTCAGCTGTTTAACTGACAGCTTATGATTTGAATCCAACGCGGAAGAAAGTAGTTCCTCATACAAAAGTGTTTTTGAGACTCTCCATGTTTGATTTTGTTTTTATATACACAATTATGCCGTCAAACTGTTGTATAAACGCGATATCACACGAGTGGCAGTGCAATATGGCTGTATATCGGCAATGGTGGGAGGCGTGCAAAAACCCTTTTGTATGAGGAACTACTTTCTTCCGGATTCAAATCATAAGCTGACAGTTATACAGCTGAGCAAGCATCTTTTAAACTGTAGATCTGTAGTGTCTGCTTTTTGCTGACTGTATGTGGGCGGAGTAATACACAAAGGGTTAAGAGGCTGTAGGAGTTCTGATATTGCAGAATATCGCACGGCTATCAGCCAATCAGATTTGAGAACCAGACAGAACTGTTGTATATAATATAATATAATATAATATAATATAATATAATATAATATAATATAATATAATATAATATAATATAATATAATATAATATAATATTTTACATTTGGTATCATATTTCCAACTTCAAGTGGTCTCTAATTGAGTATATTTCCTTATACTCACTGGACTGCCTTGACATGATGAACGTTAAAGGGAATATTTCATGTGATTTGACTTTGAAGGTCTGATTGCTTTAGGGATCCTGATTAAAAGGGTGGCGTGTCACGAACTCAATCATTACAATCCTTTTATTTCTCTCAGTAGTCAAACAAAATTCAGGATTGGTGTGTGTGCGATCAGCTCAGGGAGATCAGACACCAATGTTGTGTAAATATGAATCAATTAAACAAACGAGGAAAGTTTTAAATCTATCTCTCTTGCGTGGTCAAACAGAAAATAACACTGAATTCATTTGCTTCTTCTCACAGGTGTGTGTGCAGAGCGGTCGCATCCCGATGGTTTCTCTGAAGTGTGTGTCGTGTAAAGCTCAGTCTCGCTATGAGATCAGTCAGAGTTCCTACGTTTATTTGGCCGGCCACTGCAGCAACTGCCAAAGCTCACACAGAGGGGTGAGAACAACACTTAACATACTTTGTACATTCATATTTTTGTTTTTGAGGCTCCTACAACAGGTTTACATCCATCCAAATTCTAACGACTCTTTGCTTACCATATGTATAAACTGCAGAATCAGCTTGTTTCTTCACAGTGTCTGGAACTGTTCGTTCAAGGATACAGTCTCTCTAGGCCCCACTCTTCTGAGAGCCTACTTTGTTCTGATTGGTCAGATGGCTCTACTCTGCAAATGTTCACTATCATATCAGGGGTGTATGATACTTATCTTAATTGTTATTTCAATGATAAGTAATCTCACAATATTGAGTATTCAGTTACATAGAAAAGTAAAACATGGTTGAAAATTCACTGCTCCATGTGGAAATCAGACATGTTAAAGTCAGTACTTTAAGTTTGACATCATGTTTCGGGGTTTTGTTTATTGATTTAAAAGTTTATTTATGTCTGTAATGATGTTGTGTGCACATCTAGTAAATTGTCACAGAAAACAATTTTAAGCACTAATGAGGGTGTCAGTCAATCTAATTGCTTTATGAAAATGTTCTAGTTTAACTCTCATCTGCTGTTCAAAACTAGCCTAGAGCATCATCTGCTGTTCAAAACTGCCTAGAGCATCATCTGCTGTTCAAAACTGCCTAGAGCATCATCTGCTGTTCAAAACTGCCTAGAGCATCATCTGCTGTACAAAACTGCCTAGAGCACCATCTGCTGTTTAAAACTGCCTAGAGCATCATCTGCTGTACAAAACTTCCTAGAGCGTCATCTGCTGTTTAAAACTGCCTAGAGCATCATCTGCTGTTCAAAACTTCCTAGAGCGTCATCTGCTGTTCAAAACTGCCTAGAGCATCATCTGGTGTTCAAAACTGCCTAGAGCACCATCTGCTGTTCAAAACTGCCTAGAGCATCATCTGCTGTACAAAACTGCCTAGAGCACCATCTGCTGTTTAAAACTGCCTAGAGCATCATCTGCTGTACAAAACTTCCTAGAGCGTCATCTGCTGTTTAAAACTGCCTAGAGCATCATCTGCTGTTCAAAACTTCCTAGAGCGTCATCTGCTGTTCAAAACTGCCTAGAGCATCATCTGGTGTTCAAAACTGCCTAGAGCACCATCTGCTGTTCAAAACTGCCTAGAGCATCATCTGGTGTTCAAAACTAACCTGGAGCACCATCTCCTGTTCAAAACAAGCCTAGAGCATCATCTGCTGTTCAAAATTAGCATAGAGCGCCTGTTCATTACTAACCTAGAGCATCATCTGCTGTTCAAACTAGCATTGAGCGCCTGTTCATTACTAACCTCGAGCACCATCTGCTGTTCAAAACTAGCCTAAAGCGCCATCTGCTGTTCATAACTAGCCTAGATTGCCATCTACTGTTTAAAACTAGCCTGGACCACCATCTGTTGTTCAAAACAAGCTAAGAGCGCCATCTGCTGTTCAAAACTAACCTAAAGCGCCATCTGCTGTTCAAAACTAGCTTAGAGCGCCATATGCTGTTTAAAACTAGCCTAGATTGCCATCTACTGTTTAAAACTAGCCAGGACCACCATCTGTTGTTCAAAACAAGCTAAGAGCGCCATCTGCTTTTTAAAACAAGCCTAGAGCGCCATCTGCTGTTAAAAAACTAGCCTGGAGAGCCATCTGCTGTTCAAAACTAACTTACAGCGCCATCTGCTGTTCAAAACTAGCTTAGAGCGCCATCTGCTGTTCAAAACTAGCTTAGAGCGCCATCTGCTGTTCAAAACTAGCCTAGAGCGCCATCTGCTGTTCAAAACTGGCTTAGAACGCCATCTGCTGTTCAAAACTTGTTTAGAGCGACACCTGCTGTTCAAAACTAGCCTAGAGCGACATCTGCTGTTAAAACTAGCTTAGAGCGACATCTGTTGTTCAAAACTATCCTAGAGTGACACCTGCTGTTCAAAACTAGCCTAGAGCAACATCTGCTGTTAAAAAAACTATCCTAGAGTGACACCTGCTGTTTAAAACTAGCCTAGAGCAACATCTGCTGTTAAAAAAACTATCCTAGAGTGACACCTGCTGTTTAAAACTAGCCTAGAGCAACGTCTGCTGTTAAAAAACTAGCCTAGAGCGACATCTGCTGTTAAAAAAACTATCCTAGAGTGACACCTGCTGTTTAAAACTAGCCTAGAGCAACGTCTGCTGTTAAAAAAACTAGCCAAGAGCGACATCTGCTGTTCAAATCTAGCTTATAGCAACATCGATTCAAGAGAGAATATTGATGCATTTTAAAAATGTATAGAATCAATGTACAATCGATATCTGGACTGATTTTTTTAGAACGTCTGTGCTATTAATTGCACACACTTCCCAAAATATTGAGATATCATTTTTTGTCAATATTGCACACCGCTGTGCCTTATTAAACAGTGATGCAAACATTATTAATGATGTCAGCATAAATCAGCATATACTGTAATAAAGTCAGAAAAGCAAACATAGTGACGTTTCCTGTCGCTTCAACTTTGCGAGGGCATCCTGAAATAAGAATCGTGCTGCAGTTTTCAGTCCATGTCCATTAGCGTTTTGGCTTGTAAGTGGCATCAAATTTTAATTTGCGTCTTTGAGCTTTTCAGAAAGCATGGAAAGCCTGATATACTTTGTCTGCAGCAATAGCACAGTCCTCATATAATCTGAATGCTGGGAATGACATATTTGGGTTTTGTGAGTCACCCTTGCCTTATTTCTTAGAGGAAACATGCCGTCATCATTTATAGAAGAGAGCTGTACATGGAGAGCTATCAGCATGATGTCATCCGAGAGACACTTGTGTTTTTTTTTTCATGTACATTCCTCTTGATTTTGTTTCCGAGCGGCGTTCTCCTAATGTTTAGACTGCGACTGGAGTGATGTTATGCTTATGGCAAGCAGAGGGAGGGAAACCTGAGTGGGCGTTTGGGATGATGTCATCATTATGATGCGATGTGTTCCACTGCATTAAACACTAACGACGTGCCAGACCTCATTAAACACACACTCGCACACATTTGCTTGGTGAGCGGGCGGTCAAACACTCGTTCCCCTGAGCCTGAGATCATAAATATTAGGGTAAATCTGCTTATCTGGTGGTTCAAACACTCGCTGTGAGATGAGATGATGAGTGCTGATGTGGACTGATGAGGATTGAGGTCGATGTAAGGTCGCTGGAGGAATCTGCCCAAATCTGCTTGTGTTTTTGCACATTATAGGAAGCCTTTATTTTAATAGTACATTAAATGGTGGGTAAATAGTTGCAGTTTATCAGTGGTTGGCACTGTCACCTCACAGCAAGAAGGTCACTGCTTTGAGCCCCGGCTGGGTCAGTTGTCATTTCTGTGTGTGTAGTTTGCATTTTCTCCTCATGTTGGCGTGGGCTTCCTCTAGGTGGTCCGGTTTCCCCCACAGTCTAAACTACTAAATTGTAGTGTATGAAAGTGAATGAGTGTATGGGTGTCTCCCAGTACTGGGTTGCAGCTAAAAAGGCATCCACTGCGTAAAACAAATGCTGGATGAGTTGGCAGTTCATTCTGCTGTGGCAACCCCTGATGAATAAGGGACTAAGCCTAAGAAAAATTAATGAATGAATTAATTTTTTAAAAATTCTTATAAAATATTAATAAAATATTTATTATTTACAGTTAATAGAGAAAATTGTGTATTTTAAAGTATTATTGAGACATGAACTAATATTTTGATGAGGAAACCTGCTCATTAAAAATCAACATTTAATTAAAAAAAATTCAAATGTAATGCATGAATTTGTAAAATTTATATCTAAAAATGATATAATAATTTAAATAATTATGTAATCTATGCACTATTTCACAGTTTAAAATACATACATTTTATATGTAGTCATTTATTATATAAAAACTTTTTTTAATATTGTTTGGAAATATTAATGTATTTTAATAATTTGAATGACATAAAAATAAATAAAAAATATATTAAATAACATGGAAATACAAATGCAATCATCTAGTGTAGGCATTTGAAATTTATATTATTTTTTTTTTTTTATTTATGTGTATATATATTTTTTTTCATACAGCTGAAGTCAGAACTATTAGCCTAAAAAATATTAAAATAAAAATATTATTAATTTTTACCTTAAAATGGTTTTAAGAAATTAAAAACTGCTTTTAATCTAGCGGAAATAAAACATATAAGACATATTTGCTTGCTCTGTTAAACTTCATTTGGAAAATATTTAAAAAAGAATTTTTTTTAAATTATAATTCTTAATTAATTATAATTAAAAATAATTCTGACTTATATTATTCATATTTTTTAACATTTTTTAAAGTTCTATATGAATTATATAACATATATTATCATTAATTTTTATTTTCAATAATTAATATGCTTGTAAAAGTAAAAAAAAACATTTGTAATAAATTCATATAATTTAAGCATTTTAAAATATTTTATTATATTATAATAAAAATTATATTATTTTAAAAATAATGTCAGTAAGTTCTTTTAAAGGGCTTATTTCTAAATTCTATACCTTATTAATGAACTCTGATTCCTCAGTTTATGATTCCTTGAAATCACTATGGGAACCTCGGAGTTCTGTTTAGTCCTGAAGATTGGTCCAAGATCTGTGATGGTACTTTTCCAGAATGTACCTCAATTTCCAAACATAAACGAAATTTTAAGTTTTTCCACACAATATGTTTTACACCTGTTCGTCTGCATAAAGCGTTCCCAGCCTGTTCCGACCTCTGTTTTAAGTGCAAAACCTTCAAGGCTACATTTTTTTCATGTATTTTAGTGCTGTTCAAATCCAACTGTTTTGGAGAGGGGTTCATTCTCCAATCCAGGAGATAATTGGAAAACGTTTTATTTTCTTCCCCTCACGTTTTTGTTGAATGACATTCCTGAAGACCTTTTTGACTCAGAGCTCAAACCTCTGTTTACAACTCTTACATTTCTGGCTAAGAAATGTATATTACTAAATCTGTCTCCTTCTCAAATTCCAACTATTTCCATGTGAATTTCTCAGTTGTCAGTCTTTATTCTTTTGGGAAAAACTAACCTATAATCTCAACCATGAATAATAAAAATAATACATTTTAAAGTAATAAAATTTACATATTTCCATCATTTTTGTTGTCAGCGGTGGACGGCGATGACGCGGCGTAACGAGACGCTGGTTCTAGATCTGAATACCACAACCACAGGCAGCGACAGCATGCGCCTGGTGCTTCGGCAGGGCATCTTGCGGGACAGGGAGTCCTACATCTTCAGCCTCCACGTCACCGATGACGGGATGGACCGAGAGGGCGTGGCCTACATCGAGCTCCACCCCAACCTGCCACCTGACGGAGGGGCGTGTTCTCTGTGGGCGGACGGGGGTGGAACTCAGGTGCAGACGCTGCTGGAGAGAGTGCACTTTAACTGCTCAGGTAAGGCTGAGGATCAAGCATTGACACCTAGTGGTTGAGCTGAGTATTGCAGTACACATTCAAACTACCGAAGAGGGTTTTTTCACTTGGTGTACTGGCATTGTACCTTACCCGTCAGATTATGCTACCAACACTGTATTTTATTGGTTCTGAGGTTGGGTTAGGGATTATGTAGAGCGATATTACAACTTCATATCACACTGCTCCACGTTAAAATTTACACTGGTAACAAAATCTGATGATTAGCTTATTGCGTCATTAAATTGTGCTAACTACTTTTTGAATGGGAGGTAGGACGATCTGACGAAAATCGACAGAACGCCGGCCCCTCCTCCAACCACTCCACACACATGGAGGTTGCCAGATTGACGACATCAACAGGAGCATGCCTGCAGATCAAGCGTTACACTGTAAAGGCTGATTTACACGTCTGCGTCAAGCGCACGCTTATGCTACATCGCGACCTACACGTGGACGCATAGCAATCGTCGTGGCCGTCGGCATGTCGCAATGATGCGTAGCGTAAGCTCTGTGATTGGTCGGCTTGGTAGCGCTGACGAGTGTAAGGCGGGACTGAGAGGCCCCAAGCCAGATAGAGCGATTGTTAACAAGTATGGAGTCCCGCAAAGGAGCTCCGGATGAAAAGTTTTGTTTCGTGTTTACCTCATGGTTAAAGTTTTTGCATGTTCCTGCCTCAAAATGAGCGAGTTTGAACCACTTGTACATTAAAAAAAGCATTCAGAAAAATCACCAGTAAAGAAACTCAACACAGAGGAACATTAACACCTCACTGCCAACTAGCGTTTCGGAAGTGTTATTGCACACAGAAGTATGAATGCACAGCTACGCGTGTTGCATGCACCGTTGGTCATGCCGATCACTTGACGCAGAAGTATAAGCCAGGTTTAAGCTGCTCAGCTAATGTTGACGTTTGTGATATTTGTATTATTTTATGGACCATTTTGATGGATGTAAACAATAACTTTGGTTGTAAGGTATTTCCTGTACTACATTTTGGATTTCCATAGCTTTCAAGAATGCACAAAGGTCCACATATTGATAAATTATGTGATGGCAGCCATTTTAACATCAAGATATAATTAAATTGTCTCTTGTTAAAGTTATGAAATAGTTTGGTAACAAGTACGAAATGTTTAGGGGCCAGTGACATTGCCACATTGAAATGGTCTATATTATGTCTCATTTCGGAAGCTGCTACTGTCCCCTGGAGGCATTTCACATAGATTGAAGAAGCCTCAAATGAAATATGCTGTGTTTTCCATCAAGGCAATCCTGGGTGCTTAAATATAATTGGTTAAACTGGCAGTGGGCTGCTTACAGAGGTCAAAACACAGACCGACATTCTGACAAGGAATGCACATCTTCAAAGCAGAATAACAGACTTTACTATCGTTTTTTTTTTTTTTGGGGTTAAACGTACGTTTACGTAACACGTTTAATTATCTGCCAAGGTATTATAAAAATACTTATTTTCAACCATATTTATAGTTTTTTAGAAGTCAGTATGTTAATCTTAAGTATATCTATAAGCTAGTGTGCTCAAAAACAGTGACAGTTTGCATTTAGACGATATAAACACTTCCACCTGAATGGATCAACAGTATTTTTGTCATCAATCATCACATACTTCAGTTTCTCTAATCAAATCATCTGACCAATCAAATGCTCTCTAGTGTCTGCCATGCCCTGCCCTCTTCAAGATGCTCCTTATTCATTTTTTATTTGATACGCTTGAGGTGGCCACCCTTGCTGGCAGAGCGGTGAGAAAAGCAAAACAGGCTGTTTTTTTAAAAAAGGGAGGGGCTACTATATGCCCCGCCCTCTATTTAAGTTTCAGTTAAAGTTTCAACATGCATCGAACCAAAAGGCAAATCTAAAAACACTTTGTAGGACTTTTAAACATAGTCTGTAGTAGGGTTGTCACAATACTGTAACAATACTGGATACCAATCGGTACAGAAATTAAAATAAATTTCCATTTCCTGCTAGCATTTGAGCAATGATCAGCGTTTTAAAGTCGTGATTTACCAGCGGATCACTCATATGTCAGCTTGAAAACAAACAAGCTGATCGACGTGACTTTGAAACACTCCAGTGTCCCTGAATCTGTGGTTACACTCTGTAAACAGAGGTGAGTTCGGTGAACTGATGACCTCCACGGCCAATCACAGTTATTTCTGTTGAGCACATGAACACAATGGCTGCGTCCGAAACCGCCTACTACTCAGTAGGTACTGCATTTAAATTTAAACGTACTACTCGGCCGTTAGAAAAGTACGTTCTATACAGTATGAATGTGAAAAGTATAAATGGAATTCGAACGTAGTACATCCGCCATTTTGTCATGGTCACGTGACCTACCTGCATCAGTTCCGTCGCCTCACTTCCATTCATGAATTCTCTCACGGGGCATTACGGGATAGCGCAGCGTGCATGGGATGCGCACTTCAGAATCTCGCCGGAAGTAGTAAGTCATCCGGGGACTTCTCGCCCTCTCATTTTCGAATTCTATGAATTCGGACATACTACTCGGCTCGCATACTGATTTTAGCGTACTATATAGTATGGAAGTATGCGGTTTCGGACGCAGCCAATGGCAAATCAGCTCTTTTAGAGAACGTGCTCAACAGTGCTCAAATGTTAACGGGAAATTGACATTTTTTAAATTTCAGTATTGATTGGTATCGACTTCCAGTATCGTGACAACCCTAATCTGTAGTGTATTGAGCTCTAACTGGCATCTTGTTTTCAGGTTACACTGATCTGGATGAGACAGAGTCTCCGCTGGTCTACAGTCTGCTGGTCGTGCGCTGCTCTGAGCTCTACTGCGAGGAGTTCTATGTGTACAAAGGCACCAGTCCAGAACATTCAGCCTTCCTGCCGCCCGGCTTCAGCTCAGCCCAGTACAGAGTGTCTGTGCTGGTGATGGTGGAGGACCACCAGGGGGCGTCAATCCTGGCTCGCAACACGTAAGACACAGTTTAGCTTTATGACGAGTGTTGGTTGTTATTAGTTACTGTCATTAAATTAATTCAGGGTAATTTAATTATGGTTACTTATAATATACTTAAATACTGTACATGAATTCAACAGTTCTGTATCAATCAGTACAGAGATTTTTTGGTTATATAGTTGTATATTGTTCTGCAGAATAATGTTTTTCAACCAAAGAATGTTAAATTTATCAAGATTACTGCACGGGCTTAAGAAAAAGCTTAACTGTGTGAGTAAAATATTAATGGAAATTAAGGTATGCATTCAGAGAAGCAGAAATATTGTGTATATATATATATACTCTCACTGGCCACTTTATTAGGTACACCTTTCTGGTACCGGGTTCAACCCCCTTTACCCTTCACAACTGCCTTAATCCTTCAAAGCATTTAACAAGGCACTAAAAATATTCCTGAGATTTTGCTCCACATTGACATGAAAGCATCACACAGTTGCTGCAGATTTGTCGGCTGCACATCCATGATGCGAATCTCCCGTTCAACCACATTCCAAAGGTGCTCTATTGGACTGTGGAGGCCATTTGAGATCCTGAATTCTAACAACTTGTACATGTTGCGCTGAAATGATGCTCAATTGGTACTAATAAGCCCAAAGTGTGCCAAGAAAATATCCCCCGCACCATTACACCACCATTGTTGATACAAGGCAGGATGGATCTATACTTTCATGTTGTTGATGACAAATTCTGACCCTACCATCCGAATGTTGCAGCAGAAATCGAGACTCATCAGACAACCTTTCTCCAATCTTCTATTGTCCAATTTTGGTTTCTGATTAGAAATTTGTGTTAACGAGCAGTTGGACTGGTGTACCTAATAAAGTGGCCGGTGAGTGTATATAAATATGTATGTATAGATTTTTTTGTTGTCATATGTTTAGCATTTTGTACAACAAAAGAATGTTAGATTTGTCCAGCAATGGCACATGCCTGAGAAACAATGAGATAGGTGATTTGTCAATATTTGCAGTGTGTGAAATATGGTGTCATTATTGTGAAATGTTTTTAAGTGCTATTAAAAAAAACACATTTAGCGTTTAGTCTGTTTGACTAGAATTTAGAGTTTAATCTCTGTTGTCGATATTTGTTAAGACTTATATGGATTTTTAGTAGTATTGAGTGAAGTTTATAAATTACTTATTGAGTAACTTTTCTTATAAAGTAATTGACCCTTCACTAAGCCACACCCAAAAACCGCCATCCACCAATTGTGGCTTAGCAACCGTAGCTATGCGCAGGGGCTCTGTCAAGCCTTCAGGCGAAGGAAACAGTCCAAAGCGTTGTGCTTATGGATTGTGCAAATCTGATACTCGGTATCCTTAAAGTTTAGACGGGAATCGGGATGGTGGAATTTTTTCCCTTTTCAAAACCAAATACGCAAGAGGAGAAATGCCAGCGTGGATCAAGCTGTGTGAGGGCCGCTAAAGGAGCGGAGATAAGTTGCTTTTGTTTTGATATTCCTGACATTCAGTGATAGACCGACGGCAATAACTCCTCTTACCCTTAACAGATCTAAACTGTTTAATACAAAAACACAAAGCAGGTTATGTTTCACAGCTGTGTTTTTCTGTTTTTTCGCTCGACATTATGAGCACTGCTCCGTTTAAGCCTTCGCCGTAGTAACTATTAGTCATATTAGTCATACTAATAGCGAATATGTCATAATGACATGAGTAATTGATCAGGAAACTACGAATCTGCGAATCTGTTGCTAACTTTACTGATCTTCATATTTCCATCTGTTTCAAGCTACGAATATTTGAAATTACAAATCAACAGAACAAAACCGAGATGTGATCACAAACTGAGCACTCAATATACTTTACCTGCAGCTGTTTATCAGTCATTTATAAAGAGCACACACACATACTGACAGTAATGCGTAACTTACTGTACATTGTTATGGTCAATGATGCTAATATTCGGCACAAATACAATAATCTCCCCTTTCTGGCTGCTCTTTTTATGAATGAATGATGTGGAAATACTGTGCGTGTTTCCTCGTAGGTTAGTAATGCTATTTTTCATTACACAACATTAGTCGATCAGACTTTTTGGCTAAAAATAAAGAAATCACAGTTTAATTAGTTATTATTAGATTATTTGTAAATTTCACCTCTCCTGCTGAGCATGAGCTAAGCTAGCTTTAATTTGGATGGATTTATTCTCTAATCGGTTGCCTATTATGTGGTGAATATACCCCTGTAATGCACACTGCAGTCCTTTTTTGTCTGGCTTTCTCGGATTTTGGATCTCACCTGTTCGCCAAAACTGACATTATATATCCCTGGGAATGTCTGACACCGGCGCACACACATTAAAAAAGCCGTGCCAGGCACGAAAGCTTAACTGGCGTACAGTAACTAAGGAGGGCGGGGCTTAGCGAAGGGTCAATTTAAATATTTACATTTACATTTAGTCATTTAGCAGACGCTTTTATCCAAAGCGACTTACAAATGAGGACAAGGAAGCAATTTACACAACTATAAGAGCAACAATGAATAAGTGCTGTAGGCGAGTTTCAGGTGTGTAAAGTCTAAGAAGCAAAGAGTAATGTAAGTTTTGTTTTTTTATTTATTTATTTATTTTTATTTATTTACTTTTTTTTTGAGTACAGTTAGTGTGGAATCCAGAGAGGCAATTGCAGATTAGGAAGTGAAGTGGAGACTAAATAGTTGAGTTTTCAGTCGTTTCTTAAAGACAGCGAGTGACTCTGCCGTTCTGATGCAGTTAGGGAGTTCATTCCACCAACTGGGCAGATTGAATGCGAGAGTTCGGGAAAGTGATTTCTTCCATCTTAGGGATGGAACCACGAGGCGACGTTCATTCACAGAACGCAAGTTTCTGGAGGGCACATACATCTGCAGAAGTGAGAGCAGATAAGAAGGAGCAAAGCCAGAAGTCGCTTTGTAAGCAAACATCAGAGCTTTGAATTTGATGCGAGCAGCAACTGGCAGCCAGTGCAAACGGATGAGTAGCGGAGTGACATGTGCTCTTTTAGGTTCATTGAAGACCACTCGTGCTGCTGCGTTCTGAAGCAGCTAAAGAGGTTTGATAGAGTTAAGGCTGATTTATACTTCTGCGTCAAACGCCGGCGTATGCTACGGCGCTGACGCATAGCCCTTTGCCGTGGCCATCACCGTTGCTGATGTGCACCTTGTCGCAACGACGCGTAGCGTAAGCTCTGTGATTGGTCGGCTTGGTAGCGCTGACAAGTCTGGGCGGGACCGAGAGCCGCGCGAATGGCGCGAGCGATTGTTTACAAGTGTGGAGTCCCGTGAAGGAGCTCCGGATGGAAAGTTTTGTATTGTGTTTACCTCATAGTTAAAGTTGTTGCACGTCCGCCGGTTCCTGCCTCAAAATGAGCGAGTTTGAGCCACTTGTACATCCCGGAAGTGTTCAGGAAAAGCAAAAAAGCAGAGAAGAAACTCGACACAGAGGAACATTTACACCTCACTGCCTACTAGCGTTTCAGAAGTGTTAATGCAGACCAACAGAGACAGCGCGCAGGAGTATAAATGCACAGCCACGCGCGTTGCCTGCGCCGTGGGTTACGCCGGTCACTTGACGCAGAAGTATAAATCAGGCTTTAGTTGGAAGCCCGGCTAGTAGAGAGTTGCAATATGATACAATACAATACAATATAATATTTAAAATAAAATTTTAATGATGTAATTAGCAATAAAAAAACATTTAAAACCTACCCTACACCGCTCATGACGAGTGTTGGTTGTGCGTTTTTGCTAATAAGTGTGCATGTGTGTGTCTGTCTTTGTGTGTGCATGGATGTGTGTCAGGTCGATGGAGGTGGTGCTCCCAGTGGTTCCTGACGGGTTTGTCTCGCTTCCTCATTGGCTGAGTAATGTGACGGCCTCCACTCTGCGGGAGCTGCTCCGTCAAGGAGACTCTCAGAGGGTCCGAGAGCTGTCCCTCGCCCTCATCACTGTCCTCAATGAGGTGCTCACTAAACACACACAAAGTAGATCAAACTCACCTGCTGGAGAGTCTCTAGTAGTCTTGAACACCTTGATTAGTTGGATCAGCTGTGTTTGATGAGGGTTGGAGCAAACTGTGCAGAGCAGCGGCCCTCCAGGAAATGAGCATTAGATGCACAGATAGAGACAGCCAGCTGTAGATCAGGTGCCCAAACTCGCTCCTGGACGCCCGGGGTCCTGCAGAGTTTAGCTCCAACCCTACGTAGACACCTGAACTAGCTAATCAAGCTCTTACAAGGTATATTAGAAACACCTGTGTTCACAGAAATGTGTGTGTGTGTGTCAGTATGAGCAGGGAGTGTCCCGCAGGCGTGAGCGTGTGTCTAAATCGGAGCGTCAGTATCGAGTGAGCATCAGAGGAAACATCACTAGAGCTCTGACCTCACTGGACCTCACCACGGTCAGCGACATCCAGCAGACCTCCGCGGCGCTCGCCCAGTGCACAGTGAGTGTGTGACGTCCTCACATTCACACAGTAACACATGTGCAGAAGAGTTCCTCAAGTGTGTGTGTGTTTTCAGGCTGTGAGTCGTGAGTTTGTGTGTGAGGAGTGTCAGAACAGCACTCTGGACAAACTTGAGTCCATGCTGGAGATCCTGCAGACGGACACCAAACAGGGCACAGTCACCCCCACTGAGATAGCAGACAACATCCTCAACATCATGGGTATGAGACACACACACACACTCATAAACACACTTTCTCACACTCACACATACACACTTATATACATACATACACATCCATGTACATACATACACACTCACACACTGACACTTATATACACACATACATACTCTATCACACACATGCACAAACAGTTAAACACACATTCACGCACACACACACTTTTTTTAAACACTCGCTCTTTTAAACACAATCATACACACCCACACTCAAACACACTAATAAATACTCATACACACACTCATACACACCCACGTAAACACCCATACACAGGCACATGTTTTTTCAAACACAGACACATACACTCTTACACACTTGTACACACTCACACACACACAAACTCTTGCACACACAAACAAACGCATACACTCATAGACACTCATACACATACACTCACACAGGCACACAATCATACGCACACACATACACACACACACTTTTTCCAAACACACACATACACTAAAACACAGACACATGCATACTCACACACACACACACACACACACTCATACACACACCCACACTCATATACACACTATCACACAAACACACACACACACTTTTTCATACAGACATACACACACACTCATACATACACACACTCACACAGGCACATGGCCATGCACACACACATACACACACACTCAAACACAAACAGACATACACACTCTTACTCACACACACACTTACAGTCTCACACACACACTCACATACACAGGCACACAGCCATTCACACTCATGCACACACACACACACACACAAACACGCACACACACAGACACAAACTCATGCACAAACACACTTTTTCAAACAAACACTCAAACACAAACAGACACACACACACTTACACACACACATGCACACTCTCACACACACACACACACATGCACACACCCACACTCATACAGACTCTTAAACACACTCACATAAACACACACACTCACATTCATACACGCCCACGTGCTCACACGCACTGATACACAGCGACACAGTTTTACACTCGTACAAACACCCACACTCAAGCATATACTGACATACAGTCTTACACACTAACACACACACATGTACACACACTTTCTCACACACACCGACCCACACTCAAATACATACAGACACACACTCTTACACACACACACTAATACACAAACACAGACACACACACACATACACACCCACACTCGTACAGACTCACACACATACACACACCCACACTCATATGAACACACACACACACACACACATTCATACACTCCCACGTGCGCACACACACTCATACACAACTCTCTCTTACACACATACACACTTATACACAACAACATTAACACACACAGACACACACAATTTTACACACTTAAACAAACACACACACACACACACACGCGCAGACTTACACACAGTTTCTCTCACAGTGATTAAGTGTGTTTTCCCGCAGGTGATCTGATCCACCAGGTGAATCAGGTGGCTTCATCTCCTCCTCCAGAAGCTGAAGATCAGGACGGCAGCGTTTCCCAGCAGCCTCCGTTCCTCCAGGAGGAGCTGCAGCACCACCCGCTGAGAGTGGCCGCTAAAGCCTACACGCTGTCCTCCGTCCTCATGCGGATCCTCATGCTGGGACGCGTCCTGAACGAGGAGCCGCTGATCCTCCGCGGCGCAGAGATCGCAGCCGTCGGCAAACGCGCAGACCCACAGAGCCTCCTCTGCTACGGCGAGAGCGACGCACCCGAATGCCAAGGCTTCTCCATCCCGCGGCCGTTCAATTCCAGTTTGGGACGGGCAGCAGAGGGCGCTCTGGCACCCAATAGCGACGACGGAATCGTGCAGCTACTCTTCCAGGTGGAGCCCAATCCATTCCCGTTCAACTACGTAGACAATTACCCTGTTTCCACAGAGGTGGCGTCCATGGAGTTTCGTACGGTGAACGGCACACAGATTCCCATCGCAGATCTGGACGAGAGTCAGGCCATAACAGTTGCGGTCAATAACGGGAGCGCGACCGGATTGGACGCTAGCGGATTGAAGGCAGTTTTGCCGCCGGCGGGAGCAGTGAATATTAGCCGATGCGATTCGATCATCGTGAGGGTGAACACCAGAAACACCAACAGACAAGCCGGAGTTTACATACAGCTCAACTTCACCGTACTTGACGGTAAGACGCACAACACTAGGGGGAGACACTGAGGCCATGTCCACACCAATATGTTTTCGTTTTGCCTTCTGTCCAAGCTGATTGAATCAATTATTGAATCAGTGAGTTGTTAACTGCAGACTCGCTCTGAGCAGATCATATGAATAGGTGAGTCATATGAATAAGTGAGTCATTTGAATCAGTGAGTCATTAACTGCAGATTTTCTCTAAACAGATAATTTGAATCAGTGATTCATTAACTGCAGACTCGCTCCGAACAAATCATTTGAATCAGTGATTCATTAATTTCAGGCTCCCTTTGAGCAGTTTATTGGTATCATTGAGTCATTAACTGCAGACTTACTCTGAACAGTTCATTTGAATGAGTGAATCGTTAACTGTAGACCCGCTCTGAACAAATCATTTGATTCAGCGAGCCATTGACTGCAGAATTGCTCTGAACAGTTTATTTAAATCAGTGATTTATTAACTAGAGACTTATTCTGAACAATTCATTTGAATCAGTGAGTCATTAACTGCAGCCTACCGCTGAACAAATCTTTTGAATCAGCGAGTCAGTAACTTCAGGCTCCCTTTAAACAGTTTATTGGTATCAGTGAGTCATTAATTGCAGACTCACTCTGAACAATTCATTTGAATCAGTGAGTCGTTAACTGCAGACTTTCCCTGAACAGTTTATTTGAATCAGTGAGTCATTAACTGCAGATTCTTCTTTGAACAGTTCATAGGTGTCTAAAAATTAGAAAAAGGAACAAACACAATTTCATGATTATGCATCTATGATCATATTTTACTAGTTTTATTTGAGTAGTTCTTATATTTAGGTAACTTTTTACAGTAGTTTGCGTTCATCATGTGTTTCTTAGATACTCCAGACTCGTGGATCACAGCCTATCTGGACACCTCTGAATGGCCCAATGAATTCAACAGCACTGACAGGAAACGCATCACGCTCAACATGACAAGAAGGCCGGACCTTCATCACCGTGACTACACCTTCTTCCTTTCTCCAAAGTAAGAGATGTCCTGAATATGTTTTCTGACAATTCTTTCTGTTTTTTGCAGTTGTTCACTGTAGACTCACTCTGAACGGATCATTTAAATAATTGAATCATTTGAATCAGCCATTTGAATTTGCATACTTGCTTTGAATGGATCATTTGAATCTGTGAGTCGTTAACTGCAGACTTATTCTGACTGGATGTTTTGAATCGAAGAGTCGCTGACTGTAGATTGGCTCTGAACAAATAATATGAATCAGTGAGTCATTAGCATCAGCCTCACTCTGAACAAATAATCTGAATCAGTGAGTCATTAGCATCAGCCTCTATCTGAACAAAAATATGAATCAGTGAGTCATTAACTTCAGCCTTCCTCTGAACAGATCATCTGAATCAGTGATTCGTTAACTGAAAAATCATTTGAATCTGTGAGTCATTAACTGCAGGCTCACTCTGAAAAAATCCTTTGAATCAGTGATTTATTAACTGTAGACTCTATCTGAAAAATCATTTGAATCAGTGAGTCATTAACTGTAGACTCACTCTGAAAAAAATCCTTTGAATCAGTGAATCATTAACTGCAGACTCACTCTAAAAGAGTCTTCTGAATCAGTAAGTCATTAACTGCAGACTCTGAAAAAATCATCTGAATCAGTGAGCCATTAACTGAAGACTGACTCTGAAAGAATCATCTGAATCAGTGAGTCCTTAACTGCAGATTCACTCTGAAAGAATCATTTGAATCAGTGAGTCATTAACTGCAGATTTGCTCTAAAAGAGTCATCTGAATAAGTTGTTTACTGCTGATTCACTTTAAATGGATCCTTTGAATCAGTGAGCCGTCAACTACGTACTTGGTCGGAACAGTTCGACTGAATAAGTGAGTCATTAACAGTAGACTTGCTCTGGGCAGATAATCAGAATTAATGAGCCATTAATTGCAGATTTGATCATTTAAACAGATCATTTGAATCAGTGAGTCATTCATTGCTGACTCAGTCTGAACAGATAATCTGAATTGATGAGTTGTTACCTACTGAATCACTCTGAATAATTAGTTAAATCAGTGATTCGTTTAATCCAGACTCACTCTGAACATATCATGTGAATCAGTGAGCCATTAACTGCCGACTTATTCTGAACAAATCATTTGAATCAATGAGTCATTTGAATAAGTAAGGCATTAATTGGAGACTTGCTTTGAACAGATTTTTTGAATCAGTGAGTCGTTAGCGGCAGACTCACTATGAACAGATTATTTGAATCAATGAGTCATTAACTAGATTAATTAGATAGATAACTTACTGAAATGAAGTGGAGCTCTACCATGTAGCATGTGAAAGTGTCCTAAAATAAAATGTGTGCTGATGTTGTTGTGTGCCCTCTTCTTTCAGTGTGTACGACACCACGCAGGATCACTTCATCAACGTGTCGTCAGGCTGTGGCACTGCAGAACCAGAGCTCCTGCGTCTGGAAGTGGCCGTCTTCACGTCTCTGTGTCAGTACTTTAGTGAAAGTGCCAAACAATGGCGGACGGATGGCATGGAGCCGCTCGCAGAGACCAGCGTGGGTCAAGCCGTGTGCCGCACCCATCACCTCACCGCATTCGCTGCCAGCCTGTTCGTCCCGCCAGACGCCGTCTCCTTCATCATTCCTGTGAGCATATACTGCTGCAACATTTTCAACAATTTACAGCATTAAATGATCATTTTACCTCTTCAGATACTGATTCTTTAACCAATATCTTTAAGTTCATAGCAAAAAATAACCTCCAAAATATCTTAGAGTGAGTCATTTGAATCAGTGAGGCAATATATATAGATTTCAATAATTTAATCATTTAAATGAGAGTTATTACCTGAAGACTCACTCGATAGGATCATTTGAATCAGTGAATCGTTAACTGCATACTTATTCTGAAAGGATCACTTGAATAAGTGAATCATTTGAATCAGTGAATCATTAACTGCAGACTCGCTCTGAACAGATCGTTTGAATAAGTGAGTCTTTCGTATCAGTGAGTGGTTAACTGCAGACTCATTTCATGCTATCAAGAATAATTTAAATTAGTGATTAATTTGAATCAGTGAGTCATTACTGCAGACTCTGAAAGGATCATTTGAATCAGTGAGTCATTTGATTAAGTGAGTTTGTAAATGCAGACCCTGAAAGGATCATTTGACTAAATGAGTCATTTGAATCAGTGAGTTGTTTACTGCAGACTCACTATAAAAGCATAATTTGAGTAAGTGGGTCAATTGAATCAGTGAGTTTGTAAATGCAGACTCATCCTGAAAGGATCATTTGAGTAAGTGATTCATTTGAATCAGTCAGTTGTTAACTGCAGACACACTCTAAAAGGATCATTTGAATCAGCGAGTTGTTAATTGCAGACTCACTCAGAAAGGATTATTTGAATAAGTGAGTCATTTGAATCAGTGCGTTAGTAAATGCAAACTCACTCTGAAAGGATCATTTGAATAAGTGAGTCATTTGAATCAGTGAGTTAGTAAATGCAGACTCACTCTGAAAGGATCATTTGAATAAGTCATTTGAATCAGTGAGTCGTTATCTGCAGACTCACTCAGAAAGGATCGTTTAAATAAGTGATTCATTTGAATCAGTGAGTTGTTAATTGCAGACTCACCTTGTAAGGATCATTTGAATAAGTAAGTCATTTGAATCAGTGAGTCGTTATCTGCAGACTCACTCAGAAAGGATCGTTTAAATAAGTGATTCATTTGAATCAGTGAGTTGTTAATTGCAGACTCACCTTGTAAGGATCATTTGAATAAGTAAGTCATTTGAATCAGTGAGTCGTTATCTGCAGACTCACTCAGAAAGGATCATTTAAATAAGTGATTCATTTGAATCAGTGAGTTGTTAATTGCAGACTCACCTTGTAAGGATCATTTGAATAAGTAAGTCATTTGAATCAGTGAGTCGTTATCTGCAGACTCACTCAGAAAGGATCGTTTAAATAAGTGATTCATTTGAATCAGTGAGTTGTTAATTGCAGACTCACCTAGTAAGGATCATTTGAACAAGTGAGTCATTTGAATCAGTGAGTTGGTAAATGCAGACCTACTCTGAAAGGTTCATTTGAATAAGTAAGTCATTTGAATCAGTGAGTCATTAATAGCAGACTCACTCAGAAAGGGCCATTTAAATAAGTGAGTCATTTGAATCAATGAGTTGTTCACTGCAAACTCACTCTAAACGGATCGTTTCAATAAGTGAGTCATTTGAATCAGTGAGTCATTAACTGCAGACTCACTCTTAAATAGATCATTTGAATAAGTGGGTCATTTGACTTTGCAATCAAAAATGTGAATATAATGAAAGTCTATGGGGCAAAAACAGCCACCAACATAATGAAAGAGTAGTTAATTTGAACAGTGCTCAAAAGTTAAATCTATTTATCTAATAAAATCTTGCATATATTTATGCTATCAGGAGCGTTCAGTGTCTCGGAGTGTGGTGGTGGTCCTGGTGTGTGTGGTTTCTCTGCTGTGTTACGCTGTGGCTGGAGCAGTTCTCCGTAAGCTGGATCAGATGGACCTGAGGCGGGCGTCTGTGGTGCCGCTCTGTGGGAAAGACGGACTCTACAAGTACGAGATCCAGCTCAAGACCGGCTGGAGTCCTGGAGCAGGTCAGACTCACACCCCGTTTCCCTCATCCTGCTTTAATGTGCATTCCCAACTATTGCATCAGGAACCAGTGAAGGAAAAGCCAACATGACATTAATCACAGTAAAAGTTTATGCTTGTTTTAACTGGTGCAGAAAATGGGAATAGTTTACTAAGTCGCACGACATACATTTTGCCCGTAGGTAACTTCAATGTTCAGAAACACTAGTTAAGTGGGTGAGCGCCGCATTTTGTATTTTTGCTTATTATTTCAGGGGGTTTATGTGTGGCGTCGCAAACGCTGAAGATTTCGGTTTCTTTTTCACATTTTGATTTTTATTAGTAAGTTTAGAGGGGGATCTTGTGTTCTAGTTTAAGTGGCTTTTGGTTTTGTTTAGTTCTTTGCTTTGGCGCCACTCTAGTTCCTTTTCCCCTAAAACTTTTTGATTGTATTTTTTTTATTATATATATATATATATACATTGTACAAAGCGCACGCATGTAAGCCTCTCTTTTGTTGGCTTCATTCTTCTTCTCCTCGTAAGAGGAATAAACGAATTGACTGTAAATTTTGTGTCCTGGTGTATTTTCCATCCATCTTCTCAGTAATAATTTAATATTATAAGTGTTTCGTTTATTTCCCTAGACAACTTAATTCAACCGTAACAGGTTCAATTCAATATCTCGGTGCATCATGGTGCATTGACTGTGCTTTTCATACACAGTTTTATTTTTTCTTCATAGCAGAATTCTTCTATTAAAATGTATGAATATATTAATATTTATATACTATTTGTAATGCAATTTTGTCATTTAATAGAGTCATATATGTAAACTGTACCTTCAAACAACACAAGCATTTATAGCAATTAATATAAACAAATATAAATATCCAGCTCGCTTTCTGATCCTTGTCCATAGATATATACACTAGATGTCGCCTGGCCTATTGTTGTCTATTGGACGGAATACGTCAATAGTGCCGCCATCTTGCTACAGGGTAGCGCTCCTTTGAAATGAATGTGGGACCAAGGTACAGTGAAGGACTGTGGCCATGCAAAGCCAGAGATAGTACACATATATCTGTGATCGGGAGTTTTCCTGGATGTTAGTATGTAATTTTTTTTTCCTAATTGCGAAAATTATAATTTTACATCACTTTTCTACATTGATGGATCAGTGACCGCACAGGCATTCCTGACAAAAAGCTTGTGTTTGTGTGTACAGAAATGTGCTATCCACCCTCCCTGTTAAATTTGATCTAATCATGTCCTGAATCACACCTCCTCTCCTGCTTTCACCTCTCATACTGACGGAGGGAGCGATTCGTTTGTGAATGAATCCCCAAAACGACTCTTTCACTAACGTTAGGTGACAATAATACAAGTTTCTGGCAGCGCAGCATCTCGTTGTCATATTTCTTTTGCATTGTTTGCTCATTTTATTCAACAAAACTAGCATAAGCCGAGTGTTTAGTGCGAGTTGGAGCTGCTTTGCCATATGGTGAATGCAGTAAGTGACTGTTATCATCAATAACGTTACCTGATTAGCACAAAAGTTCAGAACATACAAAAACAGAAAAAAACTTAATATTACCTATGAAATGTTCTGCCTTTGTTATTAGTTTCTTTGTTTGCTCGTTACTACACCCGTAGACAGCGCTAAAGTCCCGCATCTTCACTTAATAACACTAGCGCTATTGACGCATGCTCAGGGTCCCTATACGATATCTAGTGTATATATCTATGATCCTTGTCTATCAAGTTCTCTTACACCCCTTTGATTGGTCAACAAAAACGGCTGTGATTGGTTGTTGCGCGCTGCGCTCTTCACAGATGAGTGATACTGATAAGCACCAGGTGGCAGAGGCGATCACAGATTATCCATAATTGACACGGTGGAGAAAACTCTGCAGACACGCGCTCGTGTCTGTAACCAGAAGTATCACTTTAAAACAGCCGAGAGGAGAGGAAAGTCACGCCAGCAGGTCAAATGAGCCACTGTGAGAGAGAGAGAGAGAGAGAGTGAAATGGAGTACTTTCACTCTCTCAATCGCAGTGAAATATTGGCTTCTGCTGTAAATATCTGTGAAAGACTGATCCAGCAAACACACGCAGTGAAATTGTGCACAGTTTCTGCGTTTTTAAGTAGTTGGAGCGTTGTAAATACTCGCACTCGCCTCGCTCGCCAATTGAGGTACAGGGACATAGCGGATATGAGATTAATGACTTTAGTACATAATAACCGGTTATGATTATTACTGAACCGATATAAAAATTGTCCGCGTCTTCATCGCGGTGCACCGAAGAAACAATTAATTTTGACAGCTCAACTGGACATAAAGGTCATATCCTGTGGTCATATCCCCCACATTTACACCACCATCACCAGCCTGAACCGTTGATACAAGGCAGGATGGGTCCATGCTTTCATGTTGTTGACACCAAATTCTGACCCTATCTTCTGAATGTCGCAACAGAAATCGAAACTCATCAGACAAGACAACACTTTTACAATCTTTTATTGTCCAATTTTGGTGAATTGTAGTCTTAGTTTCCTGCTCTCAGCTGTCAGGAGTGGTGTGGCACCAACAACCATGCCATTTTGATGCTTGGTTTGAACTGCAGCAGATCATCTTGACCATGTCTACATGCCTAAATGCATTAAGTTGCTGCCATGTGACTGGCTAATTAGAAATTTGCATTAACGAGCAGTTGGACGAGTGTACCTAATAAAGTGGCCGGTTAGTGTATATGCATAATATGTATATTTTTTCTCTTTATTAGAATTGTATTTAATATTTAGCCAAAACATATCAATTTGTGTGTACAGATTATTGGACCGTTATCTAATCTAATCAGCCGTATCATCTATGAATGTTTCATCACCCCAGAATTACAAGGTTCTATTTGACATTTTTGACAAAATTGAGCCATTGACATATTCGTATTAAATGACATCTTATTTACATTATGGGATGTTTTTTATAAGTTGTTTACATTTTAAGAGTTTTCTTTAAAAACAAATGTTACACTGTTTTCTGTATGGAATGCAAAAACTTTAAAGCTGATTATCTCAAAATCATTCAGAACGCAGACAGAACCTTATAATTCCAAGGTGGCGGTTTGTTTATCATGTTCAGGCATTAGATTAAATCTCCATGATTGTGATCTCCAGCAGTCTAATAATCAGTCTGTGATCATCTTCATCATTATCTTGATGTCCTCTGGTGCTCCAGGAACCACAGCTCACGTTGGCATCAGTCTTCATGGCAGTGAGGGCCGCAGCGGGCACAGACACCTGGATAGCGTCGGCGCCTTCGCTCGCAACAGCCTGGACATCTTCCACATCGCCAGTGACTCCAGCCTCGGCAGCGTGCTCAAGATCCGCCTGTGGCACGACAACAAAGGTAACAGTGGGAAAAACCCATTCGTTTTCTCCATAGGGGAGCTGAGTTTTAATTATAACTCCATAAAAAGACCTGTTGTGAGCTTTGAGGTTGCTAATCGATTGTGTACGCTTTTGTTGAGACCGTTTGTTCACAATGAAATTGTGTTTGTGTGTAACTTGAGCTTAATAGCAGAATCTGTGCAGAAAAACTACATTGCAGGGTAGAGAACATTCCACCAATCAGAGAGCCTCAGTGAGCCAAAATAGAACTTTAGCTCCGCCCACTCCCATGAAGCATCACAAATTATGTAATCGGGTCTTTTTTGGTTGTTAATTTCCTGAACGGCGAAGCATCATGTTAGCATGCTTTACCTGAGTAATAAGTTTTTATTTGTTTTAGACATCGCTAGTGTGTTTTTAGCATGATTTACCATGCTGCTACCATGTTTTACCTCAATGTAGATGTGTCTAGCATGATTTAGCACACTACTAACATCTTTTATCATATTGCTATTTGTTAGCATGTTTTTCTAACGTGATTTTGCACCATATATTACCACATTAACATGATTTGTTAACACTGTTAACATGCTTCTAGCATGATTTTGCACATTGTTAACATCTTAACATGTTTTTAGCACCCTGCTGCCCTGTGTTTCCATGTTATTTAAAAAAATCTGATTTAGCACACAAGTAGCATGATTTAACATGCTGCTAACATGTTTCTAGCATGATCTTAACACACTGCATTGTATGATTTAGCAAGCGACTAACTTTTTAACATGATTTTCACACTGCTGGCTTGTTTTTACATTGCTAACATGTTTCTAGCATGATTTTAACACAGTGCTAGCATGTTTTAGCACATTGTTGACATTTCTAGTATGATTTAGCAAGCACTAACATGTTTCTAGCATGATTTTGCACATTGTTAACACATTTCTAGTACAATTTAGTACACTGGTGCTATATTTTACCCATTGTTATTGTTTTTAATTTAATTTAGCATGTTTGAATATACTGATAACATGTTTCTAGCATGATTTAACACGCTGCTACTGTATTTTACCTCAATGTAAATGTGTCTAGCCTGATTTAGCACACTAACATTTTTCAACATATTGCTATTTGTTAGCATGTTTTTCTAACGTGATATTACACCATATATTACCACATGAACATGATTTTGTTAACACTGCTAGCATGTTTTACACCGTTAACATGCTTCTAGCATGATTTTGCACATTGTTAACATGTTTCTATCATGATTTAGCACCCTGCCCTGTGTTTCCATGTTATTTTTAAAAAAATCTGATTTAGCACACAAGTAGCATGATTTAACATGCTGCTAACATGTTTCCAGCATGATTTTAACACAGTGCTAGCATGTTTTAGCACATTATTGACATTTAAAGTATTGACATTTAGCAAGTTACTAACTCTCTAACATGATTTTCTCACTGCTGGCATGTTTTTACATCACTAACATGTTTCTAGCATGATTTAGCACATTGTGGACGTTCCAGTACGATTTAGCACACTGCTGCCATATTTTACCCATTGTTAATGTTTTTAATATGATTTAGCATGTTTTAATATAATGCTAGCATGTTTCTAGCATAATATAACATGCTGCTACCATAGTTTACCACAATGTAAGTGTGTCTAGCATGATTTAGCACACTAACATTTTTTACCATATTGCTATTTGTTAGCATGTTTTTCTAACATGATTTTGTTAACACTGCTAGCACGTTTTTACACTTATAACATGCTTTTAGGGTGATTTTTGTACATTGTTAACATGTTTCTATCATGATTTAGCACCCTGCTGCCCTGTGTTTCCATGTTACTGTTTCTAATCTGATTTAGCACACAAGTAGCATGATTTAACATGCTGCTGGCATGTTTTTAGCATGATGTTAACACACTGCACTGTATGATATAGCAAGCGACTAACTTTCTAACAAGATTTCACACTGCTGGCTTGTTTTTACATCGCTAACATGTTTCTAGCATGATTTTAACACAGTGCTAGCATTTCTAGTATGATTTAGCAAGCGCTAACATGTTTCTAGCATGTTTTGCAAATTAACACATTTCTAGTACAATTTAGTACACTGCTGCTATATTTTAACCATTGTTATTGTTTTTAATATGATTTAGCATGTTTCAATATACTGCTAGCATGTTTCTAGCATGATTTAACACACTGCTACCATATTTTACCTCAATGTAAATGTGTCTAACATGATTTAGCACACCGCTAACATCTTTTAACATATTGCTATTTGTTAGCATGTTTTTCTAATGTATATTACCATATATCACCACTTTAACATAGTTAAGGTGAGACTGTTAGGATGTTTTTGCACTGCTAACATGATTCTAGCATGATTTTGCGCATTGTTAGCATGTTTCTATCATGATTTAGCACACTGCCGCCCTATGTTACCATGTTATTGTTACTAATCTGGTTTAGTACACACTTTGCATGATTTAATATGCTGCTAGCATGTTTCTGGCATGATTTAACACAATGCTACCATATTTTACCTCAATGTAAATGTGTCTAGCATGATTTAGCACAGTGCTTAAATCTTTTAACACATTGCTATTTGTTAGCATGTTTTTCTAATGTATATTACCAAATATCACCACTTTAACATAGTTTAGGTTAGACTGTTAGAATGTTTTTGCACTGCTAACATAATTCTAGCATGATTTTGCGAATTGTTAGCATGTTTCTATCATGATTTAGCACACTGCCGCCCTATGTTACCATGTTATTGTTTCTAATCTGGTTTAGTACACAATTTGCATGATTTAATATGCTGCTAGCATGTTTCTGGCATGATTTAACACAATGCTACCATATTTTACCTCAATGTAAATGTGTCTAGCATGATTTAGCACAGTGCTAACATCTTTTAACACATTGATTTTTGTTTGCATGTTTTTCTAACATGGTTTCGCATATTATTGCCTTATATTACCACATTAAAAGGGTTCACATTAAAAGGGATGCAAAGCATAATAAAGAGTCATGATGCTATTCACAGTATATTATCTCTGTCTTTCTGTGCGATTTTTATTGATTTCTTTGTTTGTTACAGTACTCCTAATTTCTGGTTGGTTTAGTTATGGCTCATAACACTAATCAAGACCTTTTTTTAAATTTCAGTCAATGGGAAATATAATGTGAAAAGGGTCTCTTGCACTCTATGAGGCCCAACAGTATGATTAACCCTGTCTGTCTGTCTGTCTGTCTGTCTTCCAGGTCTGTCTCCTGCATGGCTGCTCCAGTATGTGCTGGTGAAGGACCTGCAGACGGGCAGCAGTTTTTTCTTCCTGATTGAGGAATGGCTCTCGGTGGACAATGAGAAAACCGACGGCAGAGTAGAGATAGAAGTGGAGGCTTCAGGTAAAGCCCCGCCCCCCCCCTGACGAAACACTGGTTGTGATTGGTTGGTGCTGGAATGAGAGTTCATGAATATATATGAAAATATTTATGGTGTTTAACATGTGCTGAACTGACATCGCATGCTGTAAGTTCTGCAGAAGTGTAATGTTCATGTGTGTGTGTTTGTGTGTGTGTTGTGCAGAGGAGCTGTATCTGCGTGACTGGCCACGGCTGCTGCGCTGGGAGCTGCAGAGAGCCGTGTGTGAGAGTCACGTATGGTTATCTCTGTGGGAGAGACCCTCGCGGAGCCCCTTCACACGCCTACAGAGACTCACCTGCTGCTCGCTTCTGCTGCACCTCCAGATGCTAGCCGCCGCTGTGTGGTACGGCACTGTCAGCTACAAACACAGGTGAAGCACGCACTCATACACACACTCACTCATGCTCTGCACAATCTCTTAACTGGTAAAAACTGCTGTCTCCTGGAGGTAAAGTCAGCATGATAGCAAAATTCACTCTTCTTAATTCGCTAGTTACGAAGTATCTGTGCACTTTGTTATTTTGTAAAAACTGATTTGCCCTCATAACCTTATTCAACCATTTTCAAATTTAGCATAACCTTCCCTCCCTCCTCGTAATGACCGTCCGGATATCAGTCATTTAGGGCGAAGCTATCAGTCATTTAGAGCAGGGCTGTCTATAATTTAGGGGTGGGACTATCAGTAATAAAGGGCGGGGCTATCAGTGAGTTAGAGGTGGGACTATCAGTGATATAGGGTGGGGCTATCAGTAATATTGGGCGGGGCTATCAGTAAGTTAGGGGTGGGACTATCAGTAATAAAGGGTGGGGCTATCTGTAATTTAGGGGTGGGACTATCAGTAATATAGGGCGGGGCTATCAGTAAGTTAGGAGTGGGACTATAAGTAATAAAGGGCGGGGCTATCTGTAATTTAGGGGTGAGACTATCAGTAATAAAGGGCGGGGCTATCATTAAGTTAGGGGTGGGACTATCAGTAATATAAGGCGGGGCTATCTGTAATTTAGGGGTGAGACTATCAGTAATATAGGGCGGGGCTATCATTGAGTTAGGGGTGGGACTATCAGTAATATAGGGCGGGGCTATCTGTAATTTAGGGGTGAGACTATCAGTAATATAGGGCGGGGCTATCAGTAAGTTAGGGGTGGGACTATCAGTAATATAGGTCGGGGCTATCTGTAATTTAGGGGTGAGACTATCAGTAATATAGGGCGGGGCTATCAGTAAGTTAGGGGTGGGACTATCAGTAATAAAGGGCGGGGCTATCTGTAATTTAGGGGTGAGACTATCAGTAATATAGGGCGGGGCTATCAGTAAGTTAGGGGTGGGACTATCAGTAATATAGGGCGGGGCTATCTGTAATTTAGGGGTGGGACTATCAGTAATATAGGGCAGGGCTATCAGTAAGTTAGAGGTGGGACTATCAGTAATAAAGGGCGGGGCTATCTGTAATTTAGGGGTGAGACTATCAGTAATATAGGGCGGGGCTATCAGTAAGTTAGGGGTGGGACTATCAGTAATATAGGGCGGGGCTATCAGTAATTTAGGGCTGGGACTATCAGTAATATAAGGCGGGGCAATCAGTAAGTTAGAGGTGGGACTATCAGTAATATAGGGCGGGGCTATCTGTAATTTAGGGGTGGGACTATCAGTAATATAGGGCGGGGCTATAAGTAAGTTAGAGGTGGGACTATCAGTAATATAGGGCGGGGCTATCAGTAATTTAGGGCTGGGACTATCAGTAATTTAGGGTGGGGGTATCAGTAATTTAGGTTGGGGATATCAGTGGTTTAGGGTGGGGAGATGAGTCATTCAGAGCCGGACTATCAGTAATCTAGGACAGAACTTGCAGTTATTTAAGGGGGAGCTGTCTTTCCTCTAGAGTGGGGCTATCAGTAACGTAGGGCGGAGCTAGGCAGTTATTTATGGTGGAGCTATCCCTCCTTTAGGGTGGGGCTATCAGTCATTTAGGGTGGAGCTATGAGTCCTTTAATGTGGGTCTATCAGTACTATAGGGCAGGGCTTTTAGTAATTTAGGGTGGGGCTATCAGTCCTTTAAGGCAGCGATATCAGTCATTAAGGGAGGGGCTATCAGTTATTTAGGCCGGGTCTTTCAGACATTTAAGGCGGGGCTATCAGTAATATAGGGTGGGGCTACCAGTCCTTTAAGTCAGGGATATCAGTCGTTAAGGGCGGGGCTATCAGTAATTTAGAGCGATGCTTTTAGACATTAAGGGCGATGCTTTCAAACATTAAGGGTGGGGCTATTAGTAATTTAGGGCGGGGCTTTCAGACATTTATGACGGGGCTATCAGTAATACAGGGTGGGGTTATCAGTCCTTTAAGGCAGGGATATCAGACATTGAGGGCGGGGCTATCAAAAATTTAGGGCAGGGCTTTCAGACAGTTAGGGCGGGGCTATCAGTAATTTAGGGTGGGGCTTTTAGACATTTAGGGCGGGGCTATCATACATTTAGGTCGGGGCTTTTAGACATTTAAGGTGGGGCTATCAGTCCTTTAAGGCAGGGATATCAGTCATTAGGGGCAGAGCTATCAGTAATTTAGGGCCCAGCCCTCATTTTTTTACCCAGCTTTTATCCATTTGTTTTCCTGCATCTTGTAACAAGCCAATCAGTTTGCTAAGGATGAAATCATGCACCACCTTAAATTTTTCTAGTTTTAGAACCTTTTTAATTAAATGTATGAGGGGAAAAAAAGCAAACTTAACTTCTTTTTATGCTGACTTTAACATGCGTTCAGATGAGTGTCTTATTAGCAGTACAGCAATGTAGTAAAACATTAGCATAGTTAAATCCTCTAAAAGCATGATAAACATGCAAATATTTGCTAACCCTACATGCTAACAATGTTAAAAACATGTTAAAAACAGGTTAACAATGTGGTACGTCTTTGCAGCGTCTTTGCAGTCATACTACAAACACATTAAGCATGCTAATTCATGCTAGCATTGTGTCATCCTTGCTGAAAAAAAACATGCTGGTTTTAAGGCTGCTGGATCAAACTGGTTCTTGCTAGTTCTTTGCTGGTCATGTGCAGGTATAAGCTGGTTCCTTATGTTTCTATGTCAACCAAGCCAACCAAAATATGCAGTTTTTTTCAGCAGGGATATGTCATGGTAAATTTTGCTTGTCATATGCTAAATCATGCTAGCACCAGATAGAAACATTCTAGCAATGTGCTGAAACATGTTAACCGTGTCCTAAAACATGCTAAAAACATGCTAGCAATGTGTTAAAACATCCCACAACACCCCCTATTAGATTTTCACCATTAAAACACGTCTAAAGCGGTTTTCATTCGTGTCTGCAGCTGATTTTAACACGCATGGCTCACACTGACCCTAACACAGAGGGGATTATTATTCCTCTTAGCATAATAGGTGTAAGTAATTGCTCTTATTTTATTTTCATTGTAAATTCTGGTCTCTTCAGAAGCTCTAGTGGAGGGTTTCTGTTTTTACACCAACCTGTACTTGCTTTTTTCCAAGAAAATTGTCTTTAAATTGCTGTGGGTCAAGTTGTACCCAATTTCTAGCACTACATGAGGGCTTTCTGCAGGTGTGTGTGTGTGTGCTGTAACTGTGTGTGCGTGTGCGTGTGTGTGTGTGTGTGTGTGTGTGTGTGTGTGTGTGTGTGTGTGTTTGTGTGTGTGCTGCAGCTCGGTGCCGGTGGCTGATCTGGTGTCAGTGAATGTGGAGACGCTGTGGGCCGGGATGGTGAGCTGTCTGCTGGTGTATCCCCTCTATCTGCTCGTGTTCTGCCTCTTCAGACTGAGCCGCAGTAAGGTGAGACACAAACACACACACACACATTTTTGCAGATGCACACACACACATACACACAGTTATTCTTTGATCTCCTCTGTCTGTGTGTGTGTCAGGTGTCAGTGGAGCAGCTTCCTCCTCAGGTGGATCAGGAGTCTCTAGAGATCGACGACTTCCTGGAAAACTCTCTGACAGGAAGCTCTTTCCTCATGCTGAACGCCATTCCTGGAGAGGTACAGTATGATGGAGGAGCGCAGCAGCACTGTCACACACACACAGACTGTCAATCTCTGTCTATATGTGGTCAATACACTTCTAGATGTTCATGTTTTATTTAAAGTCTTTCTGTTTTCAGAGGCACACACTGTTTAGCAGCGTACTAAAAACACACGAGCCAAGCAGTGGCGCAGTAGGTAGTGCTGTCGCCTCATAGTCAGAAGGTTGCTGGGTCGAGCCTCGGCTCAGTTGGCATTTCTGTGTGGAGTTTGCATGTTCTCCCTGCATTCGCGTGGGTTTCCTCCGGGTGCTCCAGTTTACCCCACTGTCCAAAGACATGTGATACAGGTGAATTGGGTAGGCTAAACTGTCCATAGGATATGAGTGTGTGTGTGAATGTGTGTGTGGATGTTTCCCAGAGATGGGTTGCGGCTGGAAGGGCATCCACTGCGTAAAAACTTGTTGGATAAGTTGGTGGTTCATTCCGCTGTGGTGACCCCAGATTAATAAAGGGACTCACACACACACACAAACACACACACATATTTGCTGAAATAATGTTGAAAACAATTTGATTTTAAATGAACTAAGATTTCAATTGTTTTCAACAATATTTCAGCAAAAATTAAAAGATAATGCATTTTTATTGATTTATTAATTACAAAATGCCATTAAAATAATTTTTTTTGTTGTTGAATATTTTAAATGTCGTTTGTTTGCTTCAAAATTGAAAGAAATTAATGAGCAAATGATCGATTTCATCTAAAACCAGTTTAAATTTGACAGGTCAAGATCCATATTGAATCAAACTAAGTGCAAGTTTTAAAAATATTGTTAAATATTAAAATATAAAATATTATTTGTTAAATGGGTGGTAGACTGTATTTTTAAGGCTTGATTGTGTTTATAAGATGCAAAGCATTGTGTGCTCATGCTTCACTTGTAGAAAATCGTGTTACTTTTTCATATATCTTTGATTATATACAGCTACTCAGCTAACATTGCACTAGTTTCTCTGAATGGCCCGCCCTCAAGATGCTCTGATTGGTCAGCTAACATAATGTGCTGTGATTAGCGGATTTTCTCCATGTCATGCCCCTACAAGTGCGTGCTTTTGCGCTGTGTAAACATTCCAGTCGTAGCAGCTGTTAGCAGCGTTAGCGGCCTGAATCAGACAGAATTGAAGAGCACACAGCTGAACCTCATGCCTGCTCTCAAAAATAAAATCTGACAAGTGTCTTTCACATACATTCAGAATATGCATGTGTAAGTAATATAAAGCGTTCACATATCTTTTGTGAATTTGTTATTTGAGATGTAGAACACACGGAAAGCGTCCGCATAGAGAGACACACATAGAAAGACACTGATGGCGTCCGCATAGAGAGACACACATAGAAAGACACTGATAGCGTCCGCATAGAGAGACACACATAGAAAGACACTGATGGCGTCCGCATAGAGAGACACACATAGAAAGACACTGATATCGTCCGCATAGAGAGACACACATAGAAAGACACTGATGGCGTCCGCATAGAGAGACACACATAGAAAGACACTGATATCGTCCGCATAGAGAGACACACATAGAAAGACACTGATATCGTCCGCATAGAGAGACACACATAGAAAGACACTGATATCGTCCGCATAGAGAGACACACATAGAAAGACACTGATGGCGTCCGCATAGAGAGACACACATAGAAAGACACTGATATCGTCCGCATAGAGAGACACACATAGAAAGACACTGATAGCGTCCGCATAGAGAGACACACATAGAGAGACACTGATATCGTCCGCATAGAGAGACACACATAGAAAGACACTGATATCGTCCACATAGAGAGAGACTGCAGCGCTGCTGAAGATTGTGTGTGTTTACAGCGGTTTGATGGATAAATATGAATTTGTAGCTTAATTGTTAGCGATGCTAAACAGCATTTCCCGTTGTTTACATCCTTGTTTACATCCTCGCTAGAACATACCGTTAATGCTAGAAACTGCCTGTAGTTGATCAATTTTAATAAATTAAAACACTTACGGGTTGTGACTCGCAATCCACAGCTTCATCAGTTGGTGGAGCTTTTAGCCGAATTCAGCACTGAACTGAAAGAGATTCTGGAAGTTCTCCTTTGTCAAATGCTAGCGTTATATCTTTTTTATGTAATTCTCTGGCACATGATTGAAATGAAACTGTAAGCACTTCTCTCTTTGTATCGTGTCCTTTGGAGGCCCAAATACAAAAACAGAAGAAGCTCTTTGGAAATAGCAGCGTTTGGACGCCATTTTAGCTCTCTCTGCTGTAACATTACAGCACCTCCAGCCACGCCCCTTCACTGCGCAGGGTGTGTGCGTTTCCTTTGTGATCTCACTAGCCCAGATGTATTTTTTTGTAGTCCTCAAACTTCGTTCGGTGTAGGCTTTGCTAAGCTAACTCTGTAAAAGCCTATAGCTGCGTCCCAAATGGCACACTATGTACTTATGCACTTACACACTCAACAGGATAGTATATCTATGTAGTGTCATCCCAAATGACACACTAATGTTTTTTACTAAGCATCAGTTTCCCTAATGACGTTTGACAGTTGCCAAACCCGTGAAATAAACGACCGAATTATCAGATAATACCTGCCGTGAGTATATCCGCATTCACCATCGGGAGGTGCTATAATCCCTCTCGTAGGAGAATTTTGCTTTCACCCTCCAAAATAAGTAAAGTTATCCAACATGTGCGCCAGATAGCTTCGCCCCTTCCGATACGTAAGCAAACCTGCGGTCGTTGAGTGCGTGAAGTGTCCATCATTCCACACTTCATTTTAGCGGCTGAATGAGTGCATCATCCGGGTAATTAAAGTGCACTTAAGATTTTTAGAGTTTTCAGTGTGAACACACTACTTACACTATTTATTATACAAAGTTAAGTTTGAATATAAACTAATTTTGAGAGGATCACGTGCTTATGATTTATCACGGCCGGTCTCGCATTTGCTAATCAATATCTTCCAATCATTTGAGCCCTGAGCTACTATAAATAACCACAGTTTTCAGTTCACTTTATCTTCGTTTGGAAGAAACCCCCCTCCTCCCCTTTTCTCCTCCTTTACCTCTGACTGGGCGACACGGCGGCCCAGTGGTTAGCACTGCGAGCCCCACAGCAAGAACACTGCCGGCCTTGGTTCCACAGGACCGGTGGGTGTTTCTTTGAGGAGTTTGTATGTTCTCCCTGTGTCCGCGTGGGTTTTCCCCGGGTTCTCCGGTTTCCTCCCACCATCCAAAGACATTCAACATACATAACAACCAAGCATTTATCTAACCCCTCGTGTTCCCTTAGCTACCGCAGCAGGGGAGTTCTGAGATCCACCGAGCTCAGGCTCCCCTCTCTCGCTCTGCCAAACGGGAGGAAGCCCCGGGCTCGAGGAGTCCTTGAGCTCGGGGCTCTCTCCCGGGACAGCATGCCAAACAAGCTTTTATAAATCATCAGCTAAGTTCGAACTCTTGAAATGGCGTAGAATAGTGCATAAGTATGCGATTTGGGACGCAGCTAATGTTTTCCTTTGCATTGAACTTTGAGTGAGATACACATCAACTAAGGTTTAAAATATGATATCGTAGGGGACCACCCCTTTAATGTTTGAAATGTATTTATTTATGTTATATACATTACAATTTAATGAATAAGAATGATAATGCAAATCAATATAATATTTAGTCGACTGTCGATTGATCGATAAGAAATCATTAAATGCATATGAATTCTTTACAAATATATGAATTGACTTATGCATTAATTAATGTATTATTACAAAAACTATTTTGATTTGTTTGTTCATTTACTGTGTATGTCACCGTTTCTTTATCATTTATTTATTACATTATTTAGCATTTTATTTTAATACACATTTTTTAAATATAGTTTATTCAATTCTTCACCTGCTCTACTTTGTTTATCAAATATTCACCTGCAGCGCCATATAAATACTCTATTACTGGAGTAATATACAATGGTTTATGTGTGCGTTGCGTCTCTGAGCTCTGAACTGTGTTTCCGCCACTCATTCTTTGATGCAGATGCACTTTATATTCAAAGGCGGAATACAATATGTGTTTTATTTACTCTGACGGAGACCCAGATGCGTTTCTCTCCTTCCTTTATACAAGTGCAGATTGAAATGCGTCTCTCCCGATGCTTTGTTTGCATGTTTGAAATGATGCACTTTCGCCAGCACCCTCACATTACACAGCTGATGTAGACACAAAGACACAGCTGATGTATTTCATTTCTCTCCGCTGCGATACGAGAAACAAACCAATTGAAATACTTTAGAAAATGAAGGAAAGGTGCTTTTCTCATCGTCATAAGCATATTTAAATGCGCAGCAGTCTCAGACGGCACATTATCACATTTACAGCCCCTTTTACATTCTGATGACTATAGAGTCAACAATCTGACATAAATGAAGAGCGGAAACTGTATTTATATTCCAGTGCAGTGTGAGAATCATCCATTATACATTGGGGACATCGATACTTACCAATATTTTTCAGTAATGTTAGTTTATGTATATACAGGGCATCTGGAAAGTATTCATAGCACTTCACTGTTTCCACATTTTTTTATGTGACAGCCTCAACAGCCTGTTTTCCTCAACAAAAAAAATGACATGTACATCAGTATTCACAGCCTTTGCTGTGAAACTCTAAATTGAGCTCAGCTTCTGTTTCCACTGATCATTCTTGAGATGTTTCAGCAGCTTAATTGGAGTTCACCTGTGGTCAATTCAGTTGATTGGACATGATCTGAAAAGGCATACACCTGTCTATATAAGGTCCCAGGGTTGACAGTGCATGTCAAAGCACAAACCAAGCATGAAGACAAAGGAACTGTCTGTAAAAATCAGAGACAGGATTGTCTCAAGGCACAAGGCTTGGGAAGCTTACAGAAACATTTCTGCTGCTCTGAAAGTTCCAGTGAGCACAGCGGCCTCCATCATCTGTAAGTATAAGATGTTGGGAATCACCAGGACTCTTCCTAGAGCTGACCGGCCATCTAAGCTGTGTGATCGGGGGAGAAGGGCCTTAGTCAGGGAGTTGATCAATAACCCAATGGTCACTCTGTCTGAGCTCCAGCATTCTTCTGTGGAGAGAGGAGAACCTTACAAAAGGACAACCATCTGTGCAGCAATCCACCAATCAGGCCTGTGTGGTAGAGTGGCCAGACGGAAATCACTCCTCTCCTGGAATTTGCCAAAAGGCATCTGAAGGACTATCAGACCATAAGAAACCAAATTCTCTGCTCTACTAAAATCGAACTCTTTGGAGTAAATGTCAGGCGTTACAATCGGGAAAACCCAGGCAGCGCTCATCACCAGGCTAACACCATCCCTACAGTGAGTATGGTGGTGGCATCATCATGCTGTGGGGATGTTTTTCAGCAGCAGGAACTGGAAGACTAGTCAGGATAGAGGGAAAGATGAATGCAGCAATGTGCAGAGACATCCTGAATGAAAACCTGCTTCAGAGTGCACTTGACCTCAGACTGGGGCGACGGCCCAATGCACACCGCTAAAATATTAATAGAGTGGCTTCACAACAACTCGGTGAATGTCATTGAGTGGCCCAGCCAGAGCCCAGACCCAAATCCTATTTAACATCTCTGGAGAGATCTGAAAATGGCTGTACACCGTCGCTACCTATCCAACCTGATAGAGATTGAGAGGTACTGCAAAGAGGAATGGGCAAAAATTCACAAAGACAGGTGTGCCAAGCTTCTGGCATCATATTCATAAAGACTTGAGGCTGTAATTGCTGCCAAAGGTGCATCAACAACGTATTGAGCAAAGGCAGTGAATACTGATGTGCATGTGAATTTTCAAGTTTTTTATTTTTAATAAATTTGCAACAATTTCAAAAACTCTTCCTTTACATCGTCATTATGGGGTAATGTGTGTAGAATTTGGAGGAAATAAATCAATTTAATCCATTTTAGAAAAAGGCTGTAACATAAAAAAAGTGGAAAATGTGAAGCGCTATGAATACTTTCCAGATGAACTGTTTAAACATGTAAGAATTTAGTCTGCCTCGTCCCAACTGCCATTCTAAATAATGTGTTGATGCTCATTTCATAAAATGGCTGAATTATGATAGAAAAGATACACTCACCAGCTACTTTATTAGGTATACCTTGCTAGTACCGAATTGGACCCTCCTTTGCCTTCAGAACTGCCTCAATCCTTCATGTCATAGATTCAACAAGGTAATGGAAATATTCCTCAGAGAATTTGCTCCATATTGACATGATAGCATCACTGCAGTTGCTGCAGATTTGTCAGCTGCACATCCATGATGCGAATCTTCATTGAGATCTTCCACATCCCCATCATCTTTTTAGATACAGTTGAAAGGGCTGACTCTCCCCCCATACATCTTCTTTTGACCCCCTTCGGGGGCAATAAAGCATGAATTAGGGAGATAATTTACACGCTGGGTTAATGTGCAGTCCATCAGTTGAATGAGCTTATATCTGCTGTTTTTCTGTTTCTCTGCAGACGTACTCTGAGGAGACTAACATCGACCTGCCCACTCCCTCCACTAAGAGGTAAGCCTGTGGTCTGAGATATGTTTAAGCAACTCATCACTGAGAGAGATGAGCCTGTATTTACAAAACATTTGCTCTTACTATTAAGAGTTCTCCTCAATAGCAGTGAAACCAAATCACAAATTTTTTTTAGATTCAACTTTATTGTCATTACACATGTACAAGTACAATGCAACGAAATGCAGTAAAGTACAAATCTGCTGAGACAAAGTTTACTAGGAAGATTCTTAAGTATTAAAGCTTCTGTATGTATGTTTTTGACTTTTCTAATGCATAAAAATAGCATAATATGTTTGCAGATATTTAAGAAACATGCTGAGTGAACACTTGTTTATCTGAAAAACAATGTTAAAGTCAGTTATTCTGCTTTAAGAATAATCATTCAGTGTCGGAATATCTGTCTGTGTTTTGGTCTCTATAACCAGCCCACTGCCAGTTTAACCAATCAACCAATAAACTCAGCTTGCGAATACAAGTGAATGAGAGTCAGTAAATTACTGATTCATGTGAATCAGTACAAGAGAGCATGAACAACTGAATGAGTAAGTGTAAGTGAATCAAATAGTGAAGGTGTGCAAGTGACTCAGTATGAGTTCATCAATAGTGAATGAATCATTTTATAACTATGAATCAACACAAGAGAGTATGAGAAGCTAAACAAATTAAGTGAAAAGAAATTAATCAAAATAGTAAATGTAATGAAAGTGACTGTATGAATGAATCAAGAATGAATTAAGCATTTTATTACTGTGAATCAACACAAAAGAGCATGAAAAGCCGAATGAATTAGAACGAGTGAATAAAATGTGAATGAATTATTGATCAAGTGAATCGGCAAGAAATCATGAACAATAGAATAAGTGAAAGTAATGAATCAAAATAGTGAATGTAACAATATGCTTAAGTGACTCAGTATTAATGAATCAAGAGTAAATGAATGACTACATAACTGTGAGTCAATACAAGAGAGCACGAAAAACTAAATGAATTAGAGTGAATCAAGATGTGAATGAATTAATGAAAACAAATGAATCAGTGAGTTAGCAGTAGACTAGATTGTGAACAAATGAATGAATGAGAGTAAGTGAATCAAGAGTTAATCTATGTGTTGTAAGTGACTCAAGTGTTCAAATGAATCAAAGTGAATCAAGAGTAAATCTATTAATGTGTTGCAAGTGACTCAAGTGTTCAAATGAATCAAAGTAAGTGAATCAAAAGAGGGAATCTATTGATGTAAGTGACTGAAGTTTTTCAAATGAATCAGAGTAATTGAATCGAAAGCATGAATGAATTCAAATAATTCAAATGAATAAATTACTGAACACAAGTGAATCAGTAAGTCAGCAATAGACTAGATCATGAACAACTGAATGAGTAAATGTATTGATGTGCGCAAGTGACTCAAGTGTTCAAATGGATCAATGTAAACGAATCAAAATAGTGAATAGTATTGATGTTCGCAAGTGTTCAAATGAATTAGAGTAATTGAATCAAAAGGCTGAATGTATTGATGGGTGTAAGTGATTCAAGTGTTCAAATGATTCTGAGTAAGTGAATCAAAAGACTGAATGTAATAATGTGCATAAGTGAGTCAAATGTTCAAATAAATCAAAGTGAATCAAATGACTGAATGTATTGATGGATGTAAGTAATTCAAGTGTTCAAATGATTCAAAGTGAATCTTAAGACTGAATGTATTGCTAGGTGTAAGTGATTTAAGTGTTCAAATGATTCAGAGTAAGTGAATCAAAAGACTTAATGGATTAATATGCGTAAGTGAGTCAAATGTTCATATAAATTAGAGGAAGTGAATCAAAAGAGCTAACACGACATGACTCATTGAATCAGAGTGGATCTCTGCATCTGTTCCCCTCTGTAGTCTTCAGAGATGGAGCATGCCAGACTGTGATTGGCCAGATGTGTTGACGGACCCGTCAGTGGAGATGGGACCGGTGTTTCCCCCGCGGCTCAAGAGAGGTCAGGGCAGCAGACATCTGGGGGTGGACATCACCTTCAGTCCAGACCACGAGGACGACACGGTCTGCCAAAACAGCCACAGGAACAAATACTTCTCCTCCTCAGGTGACGCACGGAGCATCACACACTCAGAGGAGACTTTACACCCTCCAGGCATTCAATTCATCTTTCTTCCTATAGAGCTTTTACAATGTAGATTGTGTCAAAGACGCTCAACATAGAAGTTCTAGTAAATTTAAACAAGTTTTCAGAGTTGAAGTTCAGTTCAGTGTGGATTAATATTCACTGCTGAAAGTCCAAACACTGAAGAGCAAATCTACATCAATAGATATTTTCAAGAGTTCACGCTTAGTTGATGATGGATAATAAAGCTTGTTTGGTATGCTGTCCCGGGAGAGAGCCCTGAGCTAGAGGTCTGCTCTAACGCGGGAATAAATTTCCGAATAAAGCGTGGGAGCGGTCGGTTACTGGTGTAATTTTGGACGGGAGTGGGCAGTCTAACAATATCACTCCCGAGCGAGCGAGCACGCGTATGTATGTGTGTGAATGAAAGAGCGTGATGCTGTGTTTAGCTTGTTGTGTATGTGTATGTGTGTGTGTGAATGAGAGAGAGTGTGATGCTGTCTGTGTGTGTGTCACTTTGAGGTGTGAACCTATCCTGGTCTCACGATTCGATTACGATTATCATGCTATCGATTCGGTTCAACTCGTTATCTCGGTGCATCACAGTGCATTGACAATGCTTTCCATACAGTGTTATATCTTGGGTGAGGCTATAACAAGCTATAAACACACAGACCCACATCATCACACTGTCTCTCATTCACACACATACACAAACATAGACACCACCTAACAAACAAACACACACACACACACACACACTTAAGCCCTCACAAAATGCGTTTAACCGGGAGAGCTTGAGCTGAGCGGAGCAACAAAAACAAAAAACAAAAAAAAGAGCACTTTTCCGACGGTCCCTTATTGAGAGCTCCGCTATTGTCTATAACGTTATTGTCTATTCCGTTATTGTCTATAACTGAATGTGTCAGGAATATCGAAAACAAAACCAACCCCCTGGATGTACAGCGCACTTAGCATTTGCCTATGCTACGGGCCTGCCCTGAGTTGGCTTCTGAGTGTTGTAAATACTCGCCTACCTACCTCTCGACAGAGCGCATAGGAGATAAATGACGTTATGAATAACCGATTATGATTATTACTGAACCGATACCGGATTGTTTGCGTCTGCATTGCGGTGCACCGAAGAAACAATTCATTTTGACACCCCTAGTGTCACTTGCTTGGTGCTTCCGTGTGTGTGTTTATTCAGACAGCTTGTTATAGGCTGTCTGGACTCTGTATAGCTGGGTGGTTTTCGGTTTTGTACTCCCACCACCCCGCCTCTCCCTCGTTAGCAGGGGCGGGGCGGGCAGCAGGACTACAAATGCTGAATATAAGCGGGAGCAGTCGGGTACGGACTAAAACCTGGCGGGAGCGGGATTCAAAATTTAGTCCCACGCAGATCTCTACCCTGAGCTGATGAGATCTTTGAGCCCTGGGCTTCCTCCTGTAGATCTCGATTAACTCCCCCTGGCTTATTTCTAGCTAAATGACGGATATGGATGACTGTGGAGAGGTGTACTCGCTAAGAGCTTGACTATGGTATCAATTTTGTGTGTTCAATTTACTGGAGAACCGAAGAACCTCGGGAAAACCCACACGAGCACGGGGAGAACAAGCAAAACTCTGCACAGAAATGTCATCTGGTTTAGTAGGGATTTTAACCAGAGACATTCTTGTTGTGAGGCAACATTGCTAACCACTGGGCCGCTGTGTCACCCATCTGAAAAGGAGGGGGGAGTAGGGGTTGGTAGGGGGGGTTCTTCAAGACGAAGATATTGAGATAAGAAACTCTGGTTATTTATAGTGAGTTAGGAATCATCTGATGCAGGAACAGCTTAGACCAATCATAAGCATGAAATTAGTTTATAAATAAACTTGACTTAGTGGCAAACATCTGAATTTTGGAGGGGCGTGTCTGAAAAATGGAGGTTGTTGTTGATTGGTTGCTGGTTTTAATTTGACAGATGAGGATCTAATCAAGCGCATTCTGGCTGACGGACAGCTGCTCTCCCAGACGGACAGTGATGTGGGCGATCTGTGAGTGTTAATGAAATTTTATAAAATATTAAATACCCCGACTATTAAGACTGGTACAGATTAATACAACTTATTACACATCTCTGTGGAATACTTGATACTGATTGGTCAATTTAAGGTATGTTATTCCCAGATAACTGCTGAAACTAATGTCACGGGTTCATATGGGTACGTCAAATTAGTAATTTATTGATATAGATAATTATGGTGTATGTATGGTGCCATCTTGTGACTGAATAATGAGTAGGTTAGTGTATAATCCATTCAGCCATTTTTTTTCTGCAGGCTTTTCTTTTTTTAAATGGTAACAGCTTAGATCAGTAGCCCCTTTCACACATACAGACCTTTCCGGAAAATTACCGGCAATTTTCTGGAAAGGTTGTATGTGTGAACAGGTCCTTTTTGAAAATACCGGTAAATTTGTTCTGGCTATTTTCCGGAAAGAGAAGTTGTAACATTACCGGTAATTTGCCGGAATGCTGCGGTGTGTGAACGCAGAAGGAAGATTGCCGGAAAGAGCGCGTCCACGTCTAGAACGTGCTGACGTGAGACACCTGCTTTAGCCAATCAGAACAGTCAGACGCATTCACGTGCGCGCGGTTTATGAGAATAAAAGCCTTTGAATATTTTTCCAGACACCTTTAGCTGCTAGAAGTTAGTCAGATAATGTTTCTATGTTCCTTCCTAATGCCAACTGTGTAAATAATTAATAAATAATCGATAAAATTAATAAATAATCGATAAAATGTTTATGATAATCCGTTGTTTGTTTACCTTCAAGCTTTGCGTGTGCCCGTGAGCGCCCATAGCGCCAGCACACACACATATCATGAATATCTCGACATGCGAAAGTGTTTCCCTATGTTTTCATTAGAGTTGTACTCAATACTGATCCATCCAAAGAGTTTGTAATGTAGTCAAATGTTTACAAACACAAGCGCAGCCATTTAGAGGTTATTTCTGGTTAATGATGTCAGAATTTACCGGCATGCGATGGATGTGTGAATGCTCTTTTCCGGAAAAATTCCGTAACGTCCTCACCTGTGTAAACAGCGCTTTTTTGAATTCACCGGTAAAGTCGTTACGGAAATTTTCCAGATATTTACCAGTATCACTGTGTGAAAGGGGCTAATGTTTAGTCAGGGTTTATTCGGCAAGAACAAGTAAATGTACTCCATCCTTTAAGTAAATGTTTCATGTGGATGCATTTTGATATACTTTTTTTTTTGTGGATCAATTTGATCCAATTTTTTCCATTTTTTTTTCATCTGCATCAGTCATAACTGGAGAGATGCTGTAGGTTCAAACAACACAAGTATTGTAATTTCTTAATAATAATGCACATCTTCACTAGTTTTCAAATGCATATTTCAGCCGTAGACCATTTAGATTATACTAAGCCATGCGACTCCTAATACACAGGGTTTCATGATAAAAAGTTTAAGCTGAAAGATCTGTAGAGTTGCTTTAGATGAGTTGCATGTCTCTGTGCTGATTAATGTGTGTGTGTATGTGTGTTCAGCTCCAGTATATTCGGTGATAAGACGGAGGTGATTTTACTGCAGAAGATGAATGAGCCGGTTCCTTGTGCCACCTTTAGACGAGACCCACCCAAAACTGCCTTTACTTCGCGCACAGGTACACACACACAGAGATGTTGGTATTGGTGGTTTATGAGGACTCTCAATATGCATAATGTATTTATTACAATAAAAACTGCTTATTATATGGCCTTATTCCACCTCTACCCCTAAACCAAACCCTAACAGTAAATCGCAGCAAATGTTGAATGTTGAAGTATGATTTTTAAGCATCTTGAATAACAAGGAGACGTCACAAACCACCTTAATAGGTTATACATGCATCATTATACACTTTTGTTAACGTCCATCTCTGTCTTTCAGTGGTGGCGGATGTCTGTAAACCCAGACCGCTTCCTCCTCTGTGCGGATTGGCAGCTCTGTGGGCCAGCTGGGCGGGGCTTATCCTGTCCAGCAGTCTATCAATGTGGTTGGGGCGGGGCTTCAGTGAAGGCGTGGCTCTGATGTGGCTCATCTCCTGCATTGTCAGCTTCCTGTCGTCATTCCTCCTTCTTGAACCTCTAAAGGTACATTGATACATCTGCGTTTCTTAAATAGCAGTTTTTAAAGTATTGTCAAGTTTACTTTGATAAATGTTTTCTAATGAATAATAATTTAATTTTCAAATGCAATTGAAAGTTAATATTATTATATATCAACAATTTTGATTTAACAATTTTGATCATTCAGCAGATGCCTGTCCAGCTGCAACCCATCACTGGGAAATGATGATATTCATATCAGATTTAATATTGTGTGAATTTGAATACAAATTCAAATTTAATTAACTAATGTATTTACATTTTGGGCAACATCCTCGGTAAAAAATGAATATAAATATTATTTTCTCATTAATATTAATTGCAATAAGTGAATATAACATTTAACAAGTGTGTTGTCTTTTGATAGTTAATTAAACATTATGTTAAACGATTTCTATTAATTATTATTGTGTGAAATTTAATGCGTATTCATATTTAAAATATTTATTTATTGATAGTTTTCAAATTAATTTGAGTTATTTCTTTTATACAAAACTTGGGCAGCATCTTTGCCAAAAATAAACATTAATATTATTTTATCATTAATATTAATTGCAATAAGTAAATATATCATAATTTAACAAATGAATTGTTTTTAATTGTTAGACTTTTTAAAAATGATGTATTAATTAGACCATGTTAAATTATTTGTATTATTATTTTGTGAATTGTAATGCATATTCAAATTTAATTTATTTATTTACATTTTTTAATTAATGTGAGTTTTAATTATATTTTTTATACAAAACTTGGAGAACATCTTCGCCATAAAAGAACATTAATATTATTTTCTCATCCATATTAATTAAAATAAGTAAATATATCATCATTTAGCAAGTAAGTTGTTTTTAATTGTTAGACTTTTTAAAATTCTGTATTAAATAAATCATGTTAAATAATTTGTATTAATTATTATTGTATTATGAATTTTAATACACACTCAATTTTTAATAAAATAAATTTATTTAAATACATTTGTCTAATTAATTAGATTTTTTTATATTAAACTTGGGCAACATCTTCGACAAAAATGAATATAAATATTATTTTCTTATTAATATTAATTGCAATAAGTAGATATATCATCATTTAACAAGTGCGTTGTTTTTAATAGTCAGACTTTTAAAAATTCTGTACTAATTAGATCATGTTAAATTATTTGTATTATTTATTATCGTGTGAATTTTAATGCATATTCAGATTTAATATATTTATTTCTTTACATTTTATAAAATAATTTATTTCTTTTATACAAAACTTGGGCAACATCTTTACCAAAAATGAGCATGGATATTATTTTTTCATCAATATTATTTACAATAAGTAAGTATATCATCATTTAACAAATGTATTGTTTTTAATAGTTAGACTTTTTAAAAATCAGTATTAATTAGATCATGTTAAATCATTTGTATTAATTAGTGAATATTAAACTTCCCAGTGCTGGGTTGCGCCTTAAAGGGCAATCACTGCACAAAACATATGTCAGAATAGTTGGCGGTTCATTCCACTGTGGTGACCCTTGATGAATCAGGAATTAGGCCGAAGGAAAATAAATTAATGAATGAATATAACATTTTAAATATTGTATGAAAACTGTTTTTAAATTGTATCAATATTGATAGCAGTGAGTATTAACGTACACTACCTGACAAAAGTCTTGTCATTAATCCCAGTTGTAGGAGCAACAAATATTAACTTGACTTCTAGTTGATCAATTGAAAGTGGCAGAAGGTGGATTTTGCTGATGAATCATCTGTTGATCTGCATCCTAATCATCACAAATACTGCAGAAAACCTACTGGAACCAACATGGACTCAAGATTCTCACAGAATTCAGTCAAGTTTGGTAAAGGAGAAATCATGGTTTGGGGTTACATTCAGTATGGGGGTGTGCGAGAGATCTGCAGACATCAACAGCCTGAGGTATCAAGACATTTGTGCTGCCCATTACATAATAAACCACAGGAGAGGGCAAATTCTCCAGCAGGATAGCGCTCCTAGATGCCTTTGCCTTTCATATAAGCCACTTCGGTCCCACTTTATATTAAGTGTCCTTAACTACTATGTACTTGCATCAAAAAATAAATACAGTGTACTTACTGTGTTCATAATGTCTTTGAGAACACCTGTGGTGCGTTTGAGTTGGGATAGAGGTTGGGTTATGGACAGGTTTGGTGGTATGGGTAGGTTTAAGGGTGGGTTAAGGTGTAAGGGATGACCAACAGTGTATTTACAAATGTAATTACAATAGTTAATAACAGATGTAATTACATACGGGTATTTAATCAAGCATAAATACACAGTAAATACATGTATTTACACAATAAGTACATTGCAACAAACTATTAATTCCCGTGTAAGTACTTATTAGTTAAGGCCACTTAATATAAAGTGGGACCGCCACTTCTGATACCAAATAATCAATTAGAAGTCAAGATATTATTTGTTGTTGACAAGACTTTTGTCAGGTAGTGTGTTGTATTGTATTTTGTTTGTTGTTTTAAAAATTGCACTTGAAATGTCCAGATGTCCATATTTGCTATTCCTGTGTGTTCTGTAACTCTGCGATGTGTGTGTTTAGGTGTTGCTGGAGGGTGTGTATTTCTCTCTGGTGGTGCGGCGTCTGCGGCCTGAGGAGCAGGATGTGTTGGTGGAGTGTCCGCGTGTGGAGCGAGTGGTCCAGCGGATCCCCCGAGTGCGCCCGCCGCAGGGATTCGCTCTCTCACAGGCCAGAGAAGAGGCGCGTAAAGTCCGTCTGCTGCACACCATGCTGAAGGTACCGCGGTTGCACCACTTCATTCATTTTACCATGGTATATACGTTGATGTCAGACGGTTGATGTCTGAATTATGAGCCCGCTTGTATATATTCTTCCCCAATTTCTCTTCAACGGTAAGCAGATTTTTTTCAACACATTTTTAAACATCGTGGAGTTTTATTATTTCAGCAAATAGAGCTGTAAAACAAATATTTGGTAACACTTTATAATAACTACACACTATAAATCATTTATTAAGCATTAGCAAATAGTGAATTCATTATCTGTTAAGCATTAACTCTACATTAATAAACGTTAGTAAGCAGTTTATAACTGCAGCTACAAATGCTCTATTCTTGACTTATAACCACATTTAAAATGTGCTTAATAATTGTTTTTTCATACTTAGTAAATTATTAATATTTCATTACTAAATTAAGTATCGCATTATTTACAAACCAGTTGTATTTAAGAGTAGTTGAGGGTTTTTAGGATCATTCAGAATGAGTTAGTAAATAATTAATAAACTATTGAAATCAACGTTTATATGTCTTATTATTCAGACATATATTAATGGGTACTATGTATATTAATAAATGCTTTATTAACTCAACTTCAACTAGTTTTGTGACCTAATCTAAAGTGAGGACTATTCATGCTTTATAAATCCCTTATAAATGACAAATAAAGGCTCAGTTAAATTCTAAACAGGAAAAATGACATTATTCATACCTATTCAATTCAAGATACACAAATGAAATTGTACTTCAAATAAAAAATAAATCTTTGCAACCTGATCTAAAATAAAATCACTGTAGAGTTTAAACATAGCATTTTATTACATTGTTTAATTATTATATTGTTGTTTTATCCAGTTTTGTTGTATTTTGACACTCCTGTTATTCAGCAATGTTTAAACTTTACTGTAATTTTACATTTTAGAAAAGATTGCAAAGATTATCGTTCATTTGATTCTGAGCCTTTATTTGTCATTTATAAAGGATTTATAAAGCATTAATAGTCCTCACTTTAAATTAGGTCACAAAACTGCATGAAGTTGAGTTAATAAAGCATTTATTAATATACATAGTACCCATTAATATATGCCTGAATAATAAGACATATAAACGTTAATTTCAATAGTTTATTAATCATTTACTAAATCATTCTGAATGATCCTAAAAACCCTCAACTACTCTTAAATACAACTGGTTTGTAAATAATGCGATACTTAATTTAGTAATGAAATATTAATAATTTACTAAGTATGAAAAACAATTATTAAGCACATTTTAAATGTGGTTATAAGTCAAGAATAGAGCATTTGTATCTGCAGTTATAAACTGCTTACTAACGTTTATTAACGTAGAGTTAATGCTTAACAGATAATGAATTCACTATTTGCTAATGCTTAATAAATGATTTATAGTGTGTAGTTATTATAAAGTGTTATCAATATTTGTTGTACTCTCCCATTTAGTTAGCTCTAAGCTTACCCAGCTATGATGACTTCTGCTACTGAGAAACACTGAGAAATGTGAAAAGGGCCTTCATCATGGCTGGCAGCTGCCATTCAATCCAGGATCCATAATTGACAGTGTTGTTTTTCCAGCTCTGCGTTCTGATTGGCTGTCGGACAGGATATGGCAGTGATAGACGTGTGTCTGTATCAGCTATGAGTGAGTGGGAGTTTGAATAACGGCCGTCTGCTCTTTGCTCTGACAGGGTTTCCTGCTCTACATGCTCTTCCTGATGGTGGTTTTACTGCTCAATTACTCCGACTCGGAAAAAGACGCACATCGCCTCAGACTGAACGCTCAACTGCAGGATCATTTCCTTACAAAACACTTTAACAACATCAGCAGGTACTCACACACACACTTGTTAAGCTATCATTATGGGGACTTCCCATAAGTGTAGTGATTTATATACTGTGCAGACTGTATATACCATTAGACCCAACCCTCACAAGAAATAATCTGCATTTCTACATTATCAAAACACTTCATTGTGGGTGATTTATGAGCCGTTTTCCCTTGAGGTCAAAATTTACTGGTATTACTATACTTATGGGGACATTTTTATACAAGGTACACACATGCACACATAATGTTCTGCACATTTTGTTAAGCAACAGACAAAAACTGTTCAAACTAAATAAACATCATTTGGTCCAAATAATCTGGAATAATCTCATGCATACCTGTCAACACTCCCGGGAGTCTCCCGTATTTCAGACCCATGTCCTGCCCATGTCCCGTATTGTTTTGTCTCGAAGAAAACTCCTGGAATTCCACCCCCAACCCCCCAACCCCTCAGCTTTTTGGTACAGTCCTCATGCGCACCAAACCCAATGTGCAACCACCGGATTTTATGATCAAAATGTTGGTAGGTATGCTCCCATGATGCACGACAACAATGAATATCCTGTGTGATTGCCACAAGGGGGCGTATTTCGACAGTCATGTGCAGTGAAAAGGCGGCTTATGACAGGCTGATGGCCGCCGATGCACTGTCTCCAAAATATTTAATATTTAAAACAGGCTCTTTCCTTATAAATAAACTGCGTAGTTGCAATCTAAACAACTACAATCTTGTCAAACTGTGGTGAATTTATTGATCTGCAGTTTCTGTATGTTGGTGGAGTGATACAGAAGGATGAGGAGGCTGTAGAGTGCTGTTATTGCAGAATATCGCGCTGATATCAGCCAATCAGATTCGAGAACCAGACAGAACTGTTGTATAAATACACACACATATATATATTAGGGATGTAACAGTATTGTAAATACCATCATACCGCAATAGTAATTCTTTTAAATATTACCGTAGGCGCATGACTCAATAAAACTATATTTCTGAGAAAAGTTTGCTTAGGCGAATGAAGCGAACGGTAGGTAGCGGGAACTACAATTCCTATCAGCCTAGGCGTGGCCATCATTCTTTGCGGTTTGTTGTCACTACAGATCCAGTAATGCGGAAATGGAGTGTGTTGCTAGTAGCGGGGAAGAAAAAGAGCTGGAAATAATCGAACCTAAAGCGGGTTTTAAATCGGATGTGTGGAAGCATTTCGGTTTCTTTCTAAAAAGATACGAAAAAGGAGAAAAGGTGACAGACAAAGAAAAAAACAGTATGCAGGCACTGCCAGACTGTGGTGAAATATAAGTCAGGCAATACGACTAAAAACAGTCATGGGGACTGCAGAACACAGCACACTTGTTTGATGCAGACATTGACTTGTACTGCAAAGAGACCTCTATCTCACTCATGGCTTGTCCTCTCAAGTGGTGGAAAGACGATGCACAACGTTACCCACTGCTGTCAACCTTGGCTAAATCATATCTCTCTGTCCCAGAAACCTCAGTCCCAAATGAGAGGGTTTTTTTCTGGTAGGGTAGGTATGTAACAGTATTGTAAATACCGTCATACCGCAATATTAATTTTTTTCGATATTACCGTAGTCGCATGACTCGGTAAAACTATAGGTCTTCTGAGAAAATTTGCTCAGGCGAATGAAGCGAACGGGAGGTACCGGAAACTACAATTCCCATCAGCCCATGCTTGACCATCATCCCTTGCGCTCTGTTGTCGCTACAGATCCAGTAATGCGGAAATGGAGTGTGCTGCTAGAAGCGGGGATGAAAAAGAGCTGGGTGTTGTCGCTGCGCCCGTACTGAATAGTGGTGTTGTCGCGCGAGTTCTTATCAGCTGTGTTGTCGCGCGCTTACTGAATAGTGGTGTTGTCGCGCGAGTTCTTATCAGCTGTGTTGTCGCTGCGCGCGTACTGAATAGTGGTGTTGTCGCGCGAGTTCTTATCAGCTGTGTTGTCGCGCGCTTACTGAATAGTGGTGTTGTCGCGCGAGTTCTTATCAGCTGTGTTGTCGCTGCGCGCGTACTGAATAGTGGTGTTGTCGCGCGAGTTCTTATCAGCTGTGTTGTCGCGCGCTTACTGAATAGTGGTGTTGTCGCGCGAGTTCTTATCAGCTGTGTTGTCGCGCGCTTACTGAATAGTGGTGTTGTCGCGCGAGTTCTTATCAGCTGTGTTGTCGCGCGCTTACTGAATAACGGTGTGTCGCGCGAGTTCTTATCAGCTGTGTTGTCGCGCGCGTACTGAATAGCGGTGTTGTCGCGCGAGTTCTTATCAGCTGTGTTGTCGCGCGCTTACTGAATAACGGTGTGTCGCGCGAGTTCTTATCAGCTGTGTTGTCGCGCGCGTACTGAATAGCGGTGTTGTCGCGCGAGTTCTTATCAGCTGTGTTGTCGCGCGCATACTGTAAAGCGGGGACGGAGGGTATGTCGCGTCGCGGGGGCACTTTTGATCATTTTGGAAGGGAACTTTCTATCCAAGACTAAAAAGGGCATGTGCACTGCGCAGGTTGAGCACTGTGTGTGCACGTGCATGCAAGTTGGGGAATAGGACTAATAATCAGTCATGGGGACTGCAGAAACACAGCACACTGTTCAGATTGATGCAGACATGAGACCTCTATCTCACTCATGGCTTGTCCTCTCAAGTGGTGGAAAGACGATGCACAACGTTACCCACTGCTGTCAACCTTGGCTAAATCATATCTCTCTGTCCCAGAAACCTCAGTCCCAAATGAGAGGGTTTTTTTCTGTTGCAGGGGACATTGTAAATACCCAGAGATGCCAGCTTTTACCAGATTATATTTATATGATAATTTTCCTTTAAACCCATCTCTATCTAAGTGAGTGAGTGATTAAATGTTGAATGTGATGAGTTTTCAACACTACTAAATTGAAACTTTATTTTTTTTGGTTTAATATTTTTTTGTTATTAAAATTGAAGTTCCTGTTTCAAAGCTAACAGATAGATGGCTAATTTGTATGTCATTGACACTTTTGGCACTTTTTTGGAGTATTTTCATAAGTTTTGTTTTTTCCTGTAAATGATTCAATAAATACCGTACCGTGACATTCATACCGAGGTATTACCGTACCGTGAAATTCTGATACCGTTACATCCCTAGTTGCAGGGGACATGCCCAGAGATCCCAGCTTTTACCAGATTATAGTTATATGATAATTTTCCTTAAAAAAAACATCTCTATCTGAGTAAGTGTGTGATTAAATGTTGAATGTGTTGAGTCTTCAACAATACTAAATTGAAACTTTATTTATATATATATATATATATATATATATATATATATATATATATATATATATATATATGTATATATATATAAATGGTTTAATAGTTTTTTTTTATTAAAATTGAAAAATTGAAGTTCCTGTTTCGAAACTTCCAGATAGATGGCTAATCTGTATGTCATTGATATGTTCAGTGCTAAGGTAAATAAACACTTTTAGCACTTTTTTCGAGTCTTTTCATTAGTTTTGTTTTTCCTGTAAATGATTCAATAAATACCGTACCGTGCCATTCATACCGAGGTATTATCGTACCGTGAAATTCTGATACCGTTACATCCCTAATATATTTATATATATATAGAGAGAGAGGGAAGGAGGGAGTGAGAGGAGTATGTTATTTTCCCACAGATAATTGGTCTTGGCTACTTCAGCACAAGTTGTTCCAGAGTCTGTGAGACTTGAACAGAGAGTAAAGGCAGCACACTCCTCTCTGTGCTGTTATTTGCTGAATCTCTGTGCATGTGCTGTTGATCTGTGTGCGGTCAGGCAGGTGTGTGTGTGTGTGTGTGTGTAGATCTGTGCTGATGTATGTGTTCAGACAGATGAAGAAGAGCTGACAGTGTGTTGATGTCGAGCCTTCGACAGGTGGATGCTGTTTCACACCATGAGCCTCTCTGAGCATCTCACACACACATGCAAACACACACACGCACACTCAGTCTTGCACAAACACACACCAAAACATGTGCAAGCATAAACACACTTACATGTACACACTCGCAAAATCACACACACACACACATTCACACACTCACTACTTTCACATAATGTCGTACACACACATACGCAAACAGACACACTCACATTTACACAAACACACACACACACATACACTTAAACATACACACACAACCTCAAACGCACGCACACACACATAAACATGCTAACACACAAACACACACACATATTAACTCGTGTCTGATCTGATCTGTGCAGTCGTGAGGATGTGTGGGCGTGGCTCTCAAACTCGCTGTTACCACGGCTACTGGACGAGCAGGTGCTGATGGAGAAGACGGGCAGCCTGCTGATTGGTCGAGCTCGTCTCCGGCAGACGAGAGCTCAGCCAGGTACCTGAACCAGCACTAATCACATGACCACTGTTGACCATACCCTCATTAACACATCATCTACTACACAATGGCTTGATTTGATGTATTCTCTTACTAATTGCAGCTGTTAGCTAACTGTTAAACCAGTAACAGAGTTGACATTTTACAGCCTTGTGTGTTTTAGCTCAGGATGCTAACCTAGATAAATGATCTGTGAATGGAGTAAGCAAAGTAATCCTGTTTTTCCCTTTTGAGAGAAGATTATATTGCTTACCTCATTGGCAGATTATTCTGCATGCTTTAAAGAGCAGCTCACTTAATTTTGCTGTATTATTTCTAAAAACACCACAATATGTTCTGCTTGGCTTGAAAAAGCTTCTTGATTTAAGGATTTTTAGATATTTGGACTAGAAACAAGGCAGAAAATCTAAGAAAAGCAGTTTTTGCAGTGTATAACTTGAGTTTACTTGTTTTGATACATTATTTAAAGTATATTTCTCTATCATACTCTCAGCGCAATAAGGCGTAAGATGTGTTTGGCGGGATTTGTTGCTATTTTCAGACCAGCGCAACAGTAATTTTTTATGTTTTCCACCACATTGTTTAAATAGCAAATCAATTTGCACCACTTTGTGAACTCATGAGTGTGCTGGTCTATAAAGGAGGTGTGTTAAGGCGCATTGTTGGTGTGTTGCTATTTTGAGGAAATGAAATAGACCGCACCATTGACAAACTTAAAGCTGCTCTAAAGTCCAGCGCAGAGTGCGCTAGTTTTCCATTTATGCAGGTCCGAACACTTAAACATTGCTTAATACACACAGGATGTACAGAAACACACAAATATCTTTACAGGAGAAAACAATTCAAGGATTAAAATGTTACGGAAATTATTATTTTCTACATAAATATAAAAACCACTGCCTCCATGCAGCTTTCAGTTTATTCATGACAATCTGCATTTGTATAATGTTATTATTATTAGCTGTATTATTTATTATCTCCATATTTATATTTGTTTAATAAACAAAAGTTTAGATTTTTCCACCTGTGGGGTTTGGAGACATCTGCATCACCGTATGGGGCATAAAAACAGGATGTGTGTTTGGATATAACTCAGGTTTTTGACCACACTTGGTTATTATTATTATTGTTCAATTATTCATTTACATTAAATTTAAATTTGTAGGCTAATGGATGTCTTCAGAGGAGTGAATACATTTCCTTATCCACAAAAGTAAAGGAGTAAAAGTAAAGAGTATAGTAAAGAGGCTGAATGGAGGAGGCTTGTTCTTTATCCTCGCGCTGCAGATGCTCTGTTTAACTCGCTAGTGAAGTGTTCAGTTTTTACACTTAAAAAGCACAACTGACTCTTATGTGAGATGAGACTCTGATTGGTGTAATGCATTTTATGCTCAAAACACGCCCAGAACTCATTAAGAGAATAAGCACAACCCTGTTAGGCCATGCGCCGGGCGCAAACTGTATTTTTCCATCCTTAAAATAGCAAAACTGGATTCGGACACGGCCTTAATGCTTATACGCCATGCGCTTTAGACTTTGCACCTAGATCTTTAAAATAGAGTCCTAATAAAAAAAATTTTGATTAATGGGGCAAGTAAAAACTAGGTAACACTTTATTTTGATGGTTCATTTGAGTATTAGTAGACTGTCTGCTTAATATCTGCTAATACTGCTCCATCAAAAGACATTTAACTGACTATAAGACACTTTGCAAGTACATGTCAACTTACTTATCTAAACCCAACCCTAACCTAACAGTCTACTTATAATCTATTGAGAATTAGTTGGCATGTAGATGCAATGTAACTTCAATTCAACAAACGGACCATCAAAATAAAGTGTGATCAAAAACTCTTTTACACTGGCCAACAGAGCACTTTTACCTGTATTTTTATGACATTTTATTGATGTAAAAAGTCTTAAATTTGACTTGACTTTTGACTTTTCTGAAACCCTGAAACCATATCGGTAAAATGGCTAATTTTATCATTTTTTTGAGAGGTCAGGATGAAATTTTCTTTCTTAAAAATGTTTAACGCAATGAAGAGACGAATGAGCTATATGCACATGTGTTTATAAAACTAATAATAAAATGCAGAATCTCTTCACCTTATGACACTCTCTGACCCTCGCTGTCCTCCAGAATGCCCCGTCAGTGGATATTTCCCAGCATCCTCTTGGTTTGGGTGTGTCCAGGCCGGGTGGGCCGAGTCAGCATCCGGATTGGTGCAGAACTGGAGCGTCAGTACAGCTCAGAGCAGCGGGTGAGAGTCACATGACCAGATAGTAAACTCATCAGATATAGAGAAATCTGACTGAAAGTATAAATACAGTTAAATTTTTCTTGTTTTTTTTTTCCAAATCTTTCCCAAATGATGTTTCATAGATTCAGGAAATTTTCACAGTATTTTCTATAATATTTTTTCTTCTGGAGAAAGTCTGGTTTGTTTTATTTCGGCTAAAATAAAAGCAGTTTTAAATTTTTTTAAAATCATTTAAGGTCAATATTATTAGCCCCTTTAAGCTATATGTTTTTCAAATGTCTACAGAACAAACCACTGTTATACAATGACTTGTCTAATTACCCCAGTTAAGCCTTTAAATGTCACTCAATACTACAGGGTGTTTGCAGGGTCTTAAAAAGTCTTACATTTAAAAAAAAAAAAAAAAAAAGTTTTTCAGCTTTTAGGTCCAAAATTATTTTGAACTGTTCTTAATTTTCCTTTTTTTATGAACACATTCAATCACCAACAATTCATCTCAATTTAACTTTTAGCATAACTCTATTTATAATAATATTATAACATTTTGTTATGTGTACATTAGTTTATTAACAGTTTAAGTTATGTTAAAAAAATTGCATGTACTGTACACAACTAGTGTCTGCTTGATTTGACACATTATTTCCAATATGAAGAGATCAGATGCAGAAACCTTTTAATGCCGTCTGGAATTTTCTTTTAAAATGAGCATTTCCATCAGTCCTTTTTTGGCAAAAGATAAATTCTTTTCATGATTTTTAAAGTGAAATAAATCCACATAAACAAAGGAGAGAAATTTCAGACGGCACTTAGAGGTTTTTGCATCAGAACTGTTCATATGTGGATAAAATAATTCATTAGAATTTGTTTCTTTGTTTGTTGATGGGGCAAGAAAACACTTTTTTTTTCTGCTGGGCCATTAAGGAAATCCTTAGTGTTTATCCTTATATAAGTCGGAAATTTCATTCTTGATGGTCCTAAAAGGTCTTAAATTTGACCCTGTACTAGTATCTTGAAAAATATCTAGTCAAATATTATTTAGTCATCATGACAAAGATAAAAGAGATCAGTTATTAGAGTTATTAAAACTATTATGTTTAGAGATGTGTTGAAAAAATATTCTCTCCGTTAAACAGAAATTAATTGGTGGAAAAAAAATACACTGGGACTAAAAATTCCAACTTCAAATGTATATACACATATTAGCCCCTTTCACACATACAGACCTTTCCGGAAAATTACCAGCAATTTTCCAGAATGATGTGTATGTGTGAACAGGCCCTTTTTGAAAATATCGGTAAATTCAGTCAGTTTTCCCAAAAGAGAAGTTGTAACATTACCGGTAATTTGCCGGACTGCTGCGCTGTGTGAATGCAGAAGGATGATTGCCGGAAAGAGCACGTACACGTCTAGAATGTACTGACGTGAGACGTCTGCTTTAGAACAGTCAGACGCATTCACGTCCGCGCGGTTTATGAAAAGAGAAGCCTTTAAATGTTTTTCCAGACACATTTAGCTGCTAGATGTTAGTTAAAAACGTTTCTAAGCTCCTTCTTAATGCCAACTGTGTAAATAATTATCGATAGGATGCTTATGATAAACCGCTGTTTGTTTACATTCAAGCTCTGCTTCCTTCAGTTGCTTGACACGTCGTGTGAGCTCGTGAAACAGCCCGTGAGCGTCAGCACACACACATATCATGTACATCTCGACATGTGAAAGTGTTCCTCTAAATGTTTATTGAAGCTGAGCTTTATTGAAGCTGAGTTTGTGGTGTAGTCAAATGTTTACAAATGCAAGCTCAGCCGTTTAGAGCTCATTTGTGGTGAATGATGTCAGAATTTACCTATATTTTGGAATGGATGTGTGAACGGTCTCTACCGGAAAAATTCCGTAACGTCCTCGCCTGTGTGAACAGCACTTTTTTGGATTTACCGGTAAAGTCGTTCCGGATATTTTCCGGATATTTACTGGTATCGCTTTGTGAAAGGGGCTATTGTTTCTATCATGGACTTGTCATCAGTGATTTATATAAACTGAATGTGTCTGTAGCTTTTATTAAGAACGATAAATCAAAGCTTCAGTCGTGTCCCCTACACTGAAAACTGCAGATTCTGCTGGGAACAGAGCCAGTTTGAGCCTGCAAAGCGATGCCTTCAGTCAAATATTAGAGGTTTGCTCGTGCTTTTATGACAGCGCTTATAAAACTACTGCCAGACCAATTTGGCTTTTGATCTGATAGAAATGAGCTGAAACTTTAGCCCTGGAGTCCTGCATCAGTGTCAGTCTGTGCAGATCTACACATCAATATTTCAGCAGTCAGACTGATCCTGGAACAGCTCCGAGTCTTTGTTTTCTCACCTCTGTGTTCACACGACACTGAGATTCTCATGCAGGTTTGATGTGTGTGTGTGTGTGTGTGTGTGTGTGTGTGTGTGTGTGTGTGTGTGTGTGTGTGTGTGTGTGTGTGTGTGTGTGTGTGTGTAGTGTGTGGCACTGGGGTCAGGTGTCTGTCTACAGCAGCTCTGGATTCGTGCAGGATCTCAGCAGGAAGATGCAGGACTCGAAAAATCTGATCAATCAACTTAACACACACCAGTGGCTCGACCCGCTGTGAGTAACACACACACACTCAGATCCTCTACATACTAATCAGTCGAGGAGATAGACAGCAGAAAAAGGCAGAAGAACTATGAAAAGAGTTGTTTGTGTTTTATAATGTGTTTTATAATGATTATTAAGTTACTGAGCTACTGCACACAACACTCAAAGCTGTCTAATAAGGTTTTATATTGCTATTCATATTATAAAATAAATATTTTTATGTTTTGTCATTTTTTCTGTCTTCATTTGATTTAACTTTGTATTTATTTTATTGTTTTAATTGTTTGTGTTGTTTAATCAAATACTTTTTAATGACCAAAATTATCCTTTATGTATTTTTTTATTTATTCTTATATATATATTAAAAACATATACTATATTATATGTTTATATATTTTATTAGATTTTAATATTTTAATAATTAATTGTTTTATTTTATTAATTATTTTATTTTGTGAAAGTAAGATTACAGTTTATTTTGTAATATTTGATGAATATTATTTTGTCCAATTACTTTTGGACCCTTAACAAGTGGGAGGCACATATGCAAACTGTTGTAATTCCTAGAGTTCACCAGATTTAGATGTAAATACCCTCAAATTAAAGCGCACAGTCTGCAGTTAAAGCACATCTTGTTTGTTTCATTTAATTTAATTTTATTAATAATTTTATTGTAATTCATAATAATATTTAATAACAATATTTTAAAATCATATGTAAGTATTTATATTTATTTCTTTAAAAATTCCTTTTTAAATATTAAAAGATTAAATACAAACGATTTTTATTATTTTATTGATTTTATTAATAATTTTATTTAAATTAATAATAATATTTAACCATATATATATATATATATATATATATATATATATATATATATATATATATATATATATATATATATATTCATTTTTAATGCATATATTATATTATATTATATTATATTATATTATATTATATTATAATTTGTGTTTTAATAATATTTCCATATTTATGCAAGCTGTTAATAATAATTTTATTTATTGATATATGAAAATATCTTAATTATACTTAATTATACTTAATTATAGTACAAAACTTCCAATCAGTTGTAGTTGAACAGTTAATAATTATTATTTATTAACAGTTAATTATTACATTATGATGTTGTGTGTTCGTGTGTTTTCAGGACGAGGGCTCTGTTCTTGGAGTTTTCCCTCTATAACATCAACACAGATCTGCTGTCCGTCTTCTCATTCCTGCTGGAGTTTCCAGTGTCGGAGCGTGCTCAGTTGAGTCTGGACCTCAAGACCTTCAGCCTCCACACGCTCAGTCACGGCATGGACCTGCCGCTGTTCCTCACGGTAATCTCACATTAGCACTCAGATCTCATTTCTGACATCTTAAATAAAAAATAGGCTCATCTTACAGCTCTTAGTGTTAAACAGTTGAGTTTTACCACTTTTAAATCCAATCAGCTGATCGTCGGGTCTAGCAGGAGCACTTTTAGCTTAGCTTAGCATACATCATTGAATCGGATTAGACCATTAGCATCTTGCTCAAAAATGACCAAAGAGTTTTGATAGTTTTGTTATTTAAAGCTTGAATCTTCTGGAGTTTCATCGTGTAGTAAAACCAAAACGGAAAATAAAAAGTTGCTATTTTCTAGTCTGATATGCAAAGAAACTATATAACTCTTATTCTGGCATAATAATATAGGTTTTTATACCTGTATCCTGCACTTGCTGCTATTGCACTGCTGGTTAGAACTAAACTGCATTACGTTGCATTGTACTTGTACATGTGTAATGACAATAAAGTTGAATCTAATCTTATCTAATAAATAAACTTTGCTGCCACAAGACGGTTGCAGCAGTGCAATATTATTATCCAGCGCCTGAAAATAGTTCTGAATCATCTCTCACTAATGCCTTCATGGTTGCAAGGCTTGATCCCTGTACAGGCAGGTGATCACACTGGTTATATTGACAGTAGTTAGCAGATTTTCAGGCACTGCGTAATCTCATTGCACACTTTGCTGCCGTACCATGACTGCAGCAAAGTTCCTTGAATATTACGCCAAAATGAGAGTATAGTTCTTCTAGCCATGTTGGTCCTTAAAATAGCAACTTGTTATTTTCCGTTGGTTTTAGTACACAGTACTACTACAGAAGAGTCAGGCTTTAAATAGAAAACTTTTTTTTTTTACTTTCAAATGAGATGCTAATGGTCTAATCTGATTCAATGATCTATGCTAAGCTAAGCTAAAAGACTTCATACCTGGAGATCAGCTGAAGTAATTCAAAAATATTAACTGTTTGAAGTCCACATGAACTAGGTGCTGCAATCATTTTGTTTTCGTTTTGTGATGCAGTTGCTAGACAAATGGAATGAAAAACACGGTGGGCGTGGCTTGTTATTCTACCGTGAGCTGATTGGATGTAATAGAATTGGCATTTCATTCAGAAAGAAGGGCAAAAGGGTTTGAGGAGTTATTACAACCTAACAGACTCCGCCTGCTCAGCATTTCTGTGTGTTGTCAAAACTGACAGCTGGAGGGGTGTGGTTAAGTATGTTAGCCACGCCCAATACCTCAGACAGACCTAATCTGAGATCCTAACCGAAAATAAAAAGGAAGCTTATTTTCAAAAGAGCAAACGCTACTTTTTGTTCTTAATGACATGCACTGATCAATTGTTCTGCACAAAACTAGCGATGTGAGCTAACAAAATCAGTACGGTTAGTTTTAATTTGATGTGTACTTTACCTCTAGGAGAGCTGTGAAATGTGGGGATTTTCAAAATTACCGAAGTTTGTTTGTAGTGTTATGAAGACAGAGGTCATTAAACTCTTTCCGTCTCCCACAGCTCATCCTGCTGGTGTTGCTCATCTATTTCTCCGTTCGTGAGGGTTTGCTGGTCTGGAAACAGGGCCGCTGCTACTTCCTGCGCGTGTGGAATTTAGCCAGCGTCTGCAGTCTGCTGCTGGCCGTCTGCGTAGCCTCTTTACACCTGAGCCGCTCTGTTGTGTCCGCGCAGCAGTGGAGAGCCTTCCTCCAGCACAGAGACGCCTTCACAGACTTCTTTCCTCTGGCCCAGCAGAACCAGCTTTTGACCCAGATGAGCGCCACTCTGCTCTTCCTGCTGGTGCTCAAGGTGAAACTGGGATTTTACGTTTTTGACCGTCACTTTAGCTTCGATTTGAATGTGGCAAACGTATAAGGTGTTTATAAGTTGTGAAATTGTTTTGAGTGTTAGTATGTTGAAGTAGCGATTAGGGATGGGTATTGTTAAGGTTTTAACGGTATTGCTACTTTTATCAATACCGCTTATCGGTTTTGTACTTTAACGGTTCTCTTATCGGTACTTTTTGTAGTGTTTTTTAAGTGAAAAAACAACAACAATTCAGCTTTATTTGTATAGCGCTTTTACAATGTAGATTGTGTCAAAGCAGCTTCACATAAATGGTCATAGTACCTGGAACAGTTCAGTTCAGTTTAGCTCAGTTCAGTGTGATTTAAAATCATTACTGAGAGTTCAAACACTTAAGAGCAAATTCATCGATGCGTAGCTCTACCAATCCTGAACCATGCGAGCCATTGGCGACAGCGGAGAGGGAAAAAAACTTCACCTGATAGGAGTGAAGAAGAAAAAAAACAACACCTTATTTTATTATTAAGTTTTCAATGTAAAATAAAAAGAAACCAATTGTTGTTAAACAAATAATATTTTTTTTCCTTTAAAAAGAATGTAAAATGGTTTGAAGGAAAATGACTCAGGAAGGAAAATGATTCAGTTTTTAACGATTTTCTAGAGAAAAATCAACATGTTTGACTTTTTTGACAGAAGTCAGGATCATTCTTGGTTTCTTGTGCTCCCTGCAGTTGAAAATAGCCTCGTTGAGTTGCGAAATGCAGTTAAATAATGAAATGATGTTTAAAAATTTTCATTAACGCATTGACATAAAAGACTTAACAGTGTTTTGGGAGTTAACTGTGTTTTTAATACAGTTTTTGAGCATCTTGCAATGTAAAAATAAGGAGTTTTTATAATTTAATTAAAATTAATAGGCATAGTTTATTATTAGGCTATTCATAGGCTATATTTGTAAATAAAACTGATGAAAAAGCAATTTTAATGTTTAAGATGTATTTAGGCTACTGCAGAAAAGAATACTGTTTTATTACTGAATATTAATATTATACTAATTTAAGTGATTGATGGCATACTGATGTAAATGATACAATGTTACCGTTAGTAGCTCGGCAGTCAAAAATCTTTTCACTAGTTTTCATTGCAGTTTATGCACTTTTGAAAGATACTTTCACTTCTCTGGATTGCTCCGTTTCTGCTTATACAAGAAAACAACTTGTTGCTTTTGTTGCAACGGCCATCAGGCTGTATTTTAACAGTCTAGGCACAAAGTCCAAAGCGCAGGGCGCGAAAGCATTAAGGTAGAGTCAGAATCCACTTTTGCCATTTTTAGGATTTGTTTATTTTCCCCCCAATTTCTGTTTATTGGAGAGCAGATTTCTTCAGCACATTTCTAAACATAATAGTTTTTATACCTCATCTCTAATAACTGGTTTATTTTATTTTTGTCATGATGACAGTAAATAATATTTGACTAGATATTTTTCAGGACACTTCTATACAGCTTAAAGTGACATTTAAAGGCTTAACTAGGCTAATTAGGTTAATTAGGCAGGTTAGGGTAATTAGGCAAGTCATTGTACAACGATGTTTTATTCAGCAGACAATCGAAAAAATAATAGCTTAAAGGGGCTAATAATATTGACCTTAAAATAGTTTTAAAGAAAATTAAAAACTGCTTTTATTTTAGCCGAAATAAAACAAATAAGACTTTCTTCAAAAGAAAAAATATTATCAGACATACTGTGAAAATTACCTTGCTCTGTTAAACATCATTTGGGAAATATTTAAAAAAGAAAAAAAATTAAAAGGGGGGCGAATAATTCTGACTTCAACTGTATATGCTGTTGTTTTGGCTCACTTTAAAGTAATGTTTTAAATATTATAATATGTACATAATGGTAATTATCAGTGTCTGATAGCAGTGAAATGTCTAACTTTGCAAGGTATTAATAGTATTTAGGATTAGAGATCATAAACATCATTGAGTAAACCTCAAATTTAATGCCATGTGTAATAATGTTGATTCATGTTTTATTACAGTTTCTGTCAATGACCTTTTTACTAGCAAACTCTTTTCAAGTTTTTTCCACTTATCTTTATTCATGTATATACACAGTCACAAAAAAAGCAGGCTTTTAAAACACATGTTCAACGAGCCGGGTGTCATGTCATTTTCATTTGCTTATCCGGGGCTGGGTCGCGGGGGCAGCAGTCTTAGAAGAGAACTCCAGACTTCCCTCTCCCCAGACACTTCCTCCAGCTCCTCCGGGGGGATCCCGAGGCGTTCTCAGGCCAGCCGAGAGACATAGTCCCTCCAGCGTGTCCTGGGTCTTCCCCGAGGCCTCCTCCCGGTGTGACATGCCTAGAACACCTCCCTAAGTAGGCGTCCAGGAGGCATCCAAAACAGATGCCCAAGCCACCTCAGCTGATTTCTCTCGATGTGGAGGAGCAGCGGCTCTACTCTGAGCTCCTCCCGGGTGACAGAACTCCTCACCCTTTATATTCTGCGAAGGAAACTCATTTCGGCTACTTGCATCCGAGATCTTATTCAAAGCTCATGACCATACGTGACAGTAGGAGTGTAGATTGATCGGTAAATCTTGAGCTTTGCCTTTCGGCTCAGCTCCTTCCTTACCACATTGGCCCGGCACATCGACCGTATTACACTGTTGCACCGATCCGCCTGTCAATCTCACGCACCATCCCTTCCTCACTCGTGAACAAAAACCAAGATACTTGAACTCCTTCACCTGGGGTAAGGACTTTCCTCCAACCTGGAGATGGAGATGGAAAGTCAATACCCCAGGTGCAGGAGTTATCCCGAGCCGGGTGTATATACATTAAATATGACGCTGTTTTGACTTGTTGTTTTGGACATAATGATTGTTAATAATGTCAAATAACAGGGAAATCTAAAGCTTGTTCAGACTACTTGTCAAATAAATTGCCACAAATAAAATGTAAGACTTTCCATGGTGATTTAGCGTTAGGAAAACTCAATCTTGCAAATAAACTCGTTCAAAATCTAGCAGTGTCCCCTTTATCTCAGGAAACTCCCGCAGTATTGTCATGACTGCTTTATATGGACACATATGTCCAAAGTCATAAGTTCCATCCTCATGCTGTTCTCCTGCGGATGCTAAATATTTAATTCTGCATTAAATAATGGCATGAAATTATATCGCTCTGTTCAGGCGTCGCACCAGCTGCGCTTCCTGAGAGAATGGGGTGTTTTCGGGAGAACGCTGAGGAAATCTTTCTGGGAGCTGCTGATGGTTGCTGTCACTCTGCTGGTGTTCCTGTTGGCGTACTCACACACTGGACACCTGGTTAGTACAAACACACACACACACATTCCATCTGCAATCTGATGCATGCATAAACACAAATCTATCAGTGTTTATTATTATTTTTTCTGTCAATATGAAGAACACATTCTCTTTTGCTGGACCGGCGTGCATCTTCTACTACTGTAACCAGTATAATTAGATGGACATGAGTTTATAAATGCATCACACCACATTGACATCATTCTGTGACTTGTCTGAATTGGATGTCCGTGGCTTTTACTGAGTGTCTATTGTGCATGGACCTTGATGCTGACTGAATTATGGTTTACAACTGAAAAGGAAAGCAGAAGTCGTATGCTGAAGTGACCTTCTGTAAACCCAGCTGCATAAACTGGAGATTGTTATTAGTTGTTTGTTAAATCAAGCATTGCTATCGCAGTTACTCATCCTGAGGTTTGGAGACTCAAACAAATATGCACAGCTTATGTATTAAACATCAGGTCATTACTTGTTCCACTCTATTTGTGCTCAACATTTCTTAGACAAAAACACTAGTGTATAAAAGATTAGGTGTTGCATTTTTTGTGATTGTATAATAAATAAACAGAAATTGGCACACTGCAACTATTGCTCTCGAAAAACTTTGTATTAGGACAATGTTTCAGTGTTAAACAAGCAGCACAACAAATGTGTAGTTTTATTATTTGAACCACATCACACCTTAAACTAATATCTATCCTATCCATAACAAATAACGGGAGAAAAACAATATATACAGAGAGAGAAGCAAAAACGATGTATAAAAAAATAAACAAAACAGTATATTACCAAAAAGAAACCAAAAACAATATATACACAAAAGTAAACACACACACTATGTATATATATATATATATATATATATATATATATATATATATATATATATATATATATATATATATACGTGTGTGCATGTGTGTATATGCAAAAAGGAAACGAAAACAATATATGAAACAAAAAAATCTATCTTAATTAGCCAATTAATAACACATAATGGGATAGAAACAATAAATACACAAAAAGAAACAAAAACAATATATAGACAACAAGAAACAAAAACAATACATAGGCAAAAAACAGTACATAGACAAAATGAAACAAAAACAATATGTTGACAAAAACGATATATACACAAAAAATAAAACAACACATAGACAAAACAATATAAAGACGAAATTAAACAAAAACAATATATAGACACAATGAAAAAGAAGTATATAAACAATAGGAAACAAAAGCAATATATACACAAAAAAGAAACAAAAACAATATATAGACAAAAAGAAACAAAAACTGTATATAGGCAAAAACAATATACAGAAAAAATTCAACAAAAACTATATACACAAAATGAAACAAAAACAATATATGCACAAAACGAAACAAAATCAACATACAGAAAAAAACAAAAACAGCATATACATAAAGAGAAGCAAAAACAATACATACAAAAAAGAATATATACACAATATATACGCAATATATACACAAAAAGAAACGAAAACAATATATAGACAAAAAACAAACAATATATAGACAAAATTAAAAACCAGTATATAGACAAACAGAAACAAAAGCAAAATATACACAAAATCAACAAAAACAATAGACAAAAAACTATATATACACAAAATGAAACAAAAACAATATATAGACAAAATAAAAACTATATATAGACAAAAAGAAACTAAAAAAAACATATACACAAAATAAAAACAATATATAGACAAAAGAAACTAAAACAATACATAAATTTTGTATTGACATGTCCAATACTTATTTTACCTGCTGTATGTTTATTAAGTTGCATATTTATATTTGTGTTTGGATTTTCCTTCATTCTAAATGAATAAACCCAAACCCTAAGTAGTTCCAGGCTCTTCACATTACAGTAAGAGATAAAGTGTGGACATAATTCAACAGCGTGCACATCAGCATTATCTCTCTCACTCACCTGGAATACTTAATGCTTCAATTATGAACCATTATTGAACGTGTCCTGAAAGCAGTCTGTTCAGATCGATAACTCTGATGCTTATTTTTAATCTGGATTTAATCCAAAGATGTAATGGACAAAAAAAGCTTTGCAAAAAAAACTTTCTTCTTTCTCCTCTCCAGCTTTTCCACTCCGTCATGGAGGGCTATGGAACAGTCAGCTCCACTTGCTTTAAGTTAATAGGCTCTAGTGGGCGTGGCCTGTTGTCTTGGCGACCGGACAGTGGCTCCTTCCCCTGTTCTGGATCCTGTTTCATCTTCTACATCAGCTTCACTCTCCTGCGACTCGTTCTGCTGTGGATTTTGATGTCAGCGTTGCTGAGGAACTATCGGCGGGCACGAGCAGAACTCTACCGTCCAGCTGTCGACCTGCAGGACTATGAAATGGTGGAGTTGTTCCTGCGACGCCTCAAAATGTGGATGGGACTCAGTCGCACTAAAGAGGTGTGTGTAATTTCATAATACCCTAATATTGCCTGACATTTTATATGGCCTTCAGATCAGATTTTAATTCCCTGTCTAAAGTAATTAAGGGATAAAGTACATCCAGCCGGTTGTTATTGCAGAATAAAGCCAGACAGGTTAATCAGCCGCTGATGTATAAGACTGAAGGGTTTATTCTGCAAAAACAACAAGCTGCATGTACTTTATCCTGTTTAATACATAGCTTCTTGCTAAAAAATGTCAAGAAATAGACACAAAACATTGTTCTAAGCCATAATTGTTTATTAATTATTTAATTAAAGGCAAATTTGACATAAACAAAAATGGATGAATGAAGCATACACTAACATACATGTTATTTAGTGCCAAGATTTTGTCCCAAACAGCAGCAACACAGTCTAGCATGTAAATATGGATGTGAATGTATTTATTGAGGGTGTATACTGTGTTATTCAGCGGTTGTTATCTTGAAAAAACATACCCTAAAATGTCATGACTGACCATTCAGAATCAAAAGTATTTCAGACAGCCGTGGAACAATTTCGATTAATCGCCCAGCCCTAAGTACTTCTTACCAACTACAAACTCAGTATGCTCAATCGCCAGTTCATCAGACTCAGTCTTCATCCCAAACCTGTAATTAAAAACCTTGAACCCTTTCTTTTTCCCAACAGTTTCGGCACAAGGTGCGATTTGAAGGTATGGAGCTCCCTCCTTCACGTTCCTCTTCGACGAGTGACTGCAAGTCTTTATGTCTTCCTCCTCTGGACACTCCTGAGGCTCCTCCGACTCCCGACAGTGTTGACGGAGGCTCTGAGGCCTCCTGGCGGCCTACATCCAGCAGCCCCTGCAGTCTGGCTGAAGTTCCTGGTCTGGGACTCGGCCTCAGCTCAGGCCTTGGGGTGATCGTTGGAGGCCAAGGCTGGAAAGAGAGAGCAGAAATGGAGGCGACACTTCGCAGAGTTCTTCCAGCCTTCGATGCTCTGCTTCTTCAGCTTGACAGGGTCACTCATGCCACAGAGGATCTGTATCGAACAGAGTATCGGATAGAGAGGCTTCTGAGGAAGAGCAGAGGACAGGAAAGAGCAAGAAGTAGAAGCCGTAGAAGTTTAGATAATGCAGGACAGAGGAGACATAAACACAGGAGCACAGAAGTCTCAGAGAGTAGCAGGAGTCCCCTGAGAACTGAAATAAGTGACAGAAATCTTCATAAGAGTGACCGAAGATCAAGGAAAACAGACTCGAGAAAGTTTTCAAAAATCACCAGTGTTCTTTCCAAAAGTCTCAATAAAGGAGACTCGAGTCCCCACAGGGAGAACAGTCTGCAGAGGACTCAAGAAAAGCCTTGTACCAAAGTGGAAGATGTCAGAAACACTGAGAAGGAGCCTAGTATGGTGAATTCGGATCCCCTGCAAGCAAGTTCCTTAGAATTGGACAGAATTCCACCTAGAGCACAAAAGGCTGAGAAGATTTCTCAAAAAGTCAAAAGATCCTCTAATAAAGTTGACCCGAACTTTCAAAAGGACTCTGAGGTCGATGGATGTGCCATCAAACCTGCCCAAACTCCAGCCCCTACGCCTGTTCCCGTGCCAGCTTCTGCTCCCTCGACAGCTCCAGTTTTTGCCATTACGACCCCCGTCCCGATCCCGCGGCCTCATGAGTGGGTTCCTCCCAGCAGCAGTGAGAATCTTCCCACCAGTGTTTTCCGGCACCCCGCACACACTACCACAAACCCCACCCGCAAACGCAAGCACAAGCCTCCCGCTCTCAAAAACAAGGTGCACCCCAACACAGACAGACCTATCTCAGGACATCCCAAACCTTGACCTCCAACAGAGTCAGAATGCAATCAGGAATTGTGTCGTAAAGCTAATGAAAGAATGAGGGTTTGGATTTTTCTTCTTATTTGAGGAAACGAGGACCTGGAGACAGCCGGCTTTGTAACCAGGACCTCCAGAAGACTAGAGCAATAAGACGAAACCAAATACACACCACAGCCTTAAGTTCCAAGCCATAAGTCTTTGATTGTTTAACTCCTTACTAGAAATCTCAATATGGAAACTAGGTGCTGGTCATCGTGGTTTCTGCAATCCTCATGAAGTCCCGTTTGATGCAAGTTGCCCTCCTCCTTCACTGCAAAAAAACGATGCTTTTTTACTAAGAGTTTTTGTCTAGTCCAGTACCTAAACCCAACCTTACTAACTATTAATAAGCAGCTATTCAGTAGTTTATTGAGCTAAAAGTCTTAGTTAATGTTTTGTACATTAAAATAAAGTCTGAGCCTAATTTGACTTACTCCACTGACAAATTACTTAGCTTGTTTTAAGTAAAACAAATTGCTTAAAATCGGCTTGTTTTTACCAGTCTAGAACATTCTTGTTGATTAAAGAATATTTAGATATTTGGACTAGAAACAAGATTATAACTCTACATGAGAAAGCTATTTTCTGCAGCGGTCCCCTCTCACAGTGACCTCAAGTCCAGCCTGTTGACCCTGGTGGTCATCTGGGTTGAATCTGACACGAGCACACCTTGTGCTGTCACAGAAAACCAACAAACTCATGAAAGAGACCATGATGGACTACAACAGCATATGCCTGTTGATGCAGGATGGCTAAAGCTCGATGGTATTTGTCGAATGACATTTTTAAGTTACGTTTGATGAATCGTGTTGTTGTTTTTTTGTTGTTATTGTTGAAGGAAGCTATCTTTAGGTCATGGGTGTATTATTGCCCATAGATGCAGAGTAGGTTATTCAGAAAGGGCTCACACTGACAAACTCACACATTTTAAAAACAAAAAAATGTTAAAAAAATATTGCAGGTACATAAATATAGAGCTACGCTTTGAGGTACTCATAATTCATGCTTCTTAATATAACGGCATGTTGCAGGAAAGTAGACGCAAACACATATCAGAAAATATATTGATCATTTCACACTAACATACTTCTGAAGAGGCCATCAGGGTGCTAAACAACTAGTAATCCTCAGGATTTCACTTGTATGTTCTGTGGCGATTGTATGTCAGCTCCATTTAGAGGTTATTTTTGAGAGTAATGAGCCCAAAGGCGAGAGAAAGAGAAAATCTGATCGAAGGAAAAAATGAGAGAAGGCATGTCAGAACGGGTGAGTTTTAAAGGAGACCAAATATTTGGAAATAGCTTTTCTCAGTCACTTTGGTTCATTTCTCAGATCAGAATTGAAAGTAGCATCAGGTGCAGTAAGAGCATTTCTCAATGACAATTTCTCAAAACATGCATACAAATAACAAAACACCCTGGATTACCTGTAAAAGCCAGCTCAAAATCCTTACTCCATCTCTCAAAACTACATTTCTGTCAATGAACATGTCAGTGCAATCAGAAAGCCCTTGTGTCATTGTGTACTGTTGTCAATATATCAGTGTATTCTGGTGGGCTGTTCTGATGTAGACTGAGGCCACAAAAACTCTGATTACAAATATATTATAATTTTTTGGCTACTCCTTATGTGGAAGGTTGATTGCAAGAGACCATTGTAATGCATTTTGATCAACATAAGCAATTGATAATGTAGGAAACAGCAGCGAATTGCACAAAATCAGCTGCATGGATGTATGCATTTGTAACTTGTTCAAAGGAAAATTTTGAGAATTCTGAGACATTTATTTGAGAAATTCTGATCTGAGAAATGTACCAAAGCCACTGAGAAAAGTGGTAGTTGTTGTAGTAGTTGGACACGAAATGTGAGATGAAGAAAGTGTAAATGTTTAGAGAGAGCATGAAGATGAAGGAACGTCCCTCATTCAAGCACAACTCCCACAATTCTCTGTACGAGGATTTGTTGTTACAGCAGGTAAAAAAAGAAGTTCCATAAAGCATTATTATTATTATTGTTGTTGTAAAACCAGCTTATGAAATATTGAAGTATGTTTGTTGCTGCCTTCTATGATTTGTTCTGAATCTAATTTAAAAAGCACTTTTTGTATTGAGTTGAATGATTGCGACGGCGTTGAGCGTGTTTTAGTTTTCATGTGTTATGTAATAAAATAAGCTTGGTACGAACATAAGAGATAGTTACGACAGCATTAACTCTCCGTATTATTACTATTATTATTTTATTTTTTGCCAAAGCTTGCTATACTCGTGTAACAAGAGATGAACTGACGGTTCTTTTGTACTTAGCACTTTATTTCAATGTCAAGCTTTAGTGCTTTGCCATAATTAACTAGTATGTATTGTTTCCTCACGTAATGCTTTTCCAGAACCATTCTCTTTGAGTATTATGCAACCCAGGCTCATTGTGGATACGTACCCCTGTATACATTTCTGGAGAGCGTGAAATACATCCTAAGAAATACTTTTTTTTTTGCAGTTTTTTTTTCGCGATCCATCAGAGGCCGCTGTGTACGCTTTTTAAGATTTCGAATTTCTCTCGCGAGTACCATTGGCGCCTGCTATTCATAATCCATTAGAGGTTGTTGTTGAGTGACTGACCTATTTACTCACCACTTTCCCTAAACCCAACCGACAGTCTTTTCAAAAGCGTCGATTGACGCACCCACCACCTTCCCAATCGATAGTGTTTTTAAAAAGCGCAGATTGACCAACACACCCCCTTCACCCAAACGATAGTTTTCAAAAGTGCCGGTTAACCCACCCACCTCCTTCCCTAAACCCAACCAACAGTCTTTTCAAAAGCGCCGTTTGACGCACCCACCACCTTCCCAACCGATAGTGTTTTCAAAAGCGCAGATTGACTAACGCACCCCCTTCACCCAACCGATAGTTTTCAAAAGTGCCGGTTAACCCACCTACCTCCTTCCCTAAACCCAACCGATAGTGTTTTCAAAAGTGCCGATTGAACCACCTACTGCCTTCCCTAAACCTAACCGACAGTGTTTTCAAATAAGCCGATTGACCAGCCCACCCCCATCTCCCAACTGATAGTTTTCAAGATTGCCAATTTCCCCCATCCCTTCCCTAAATCCAACCAATAGTGTTTTTCTAAGTGCCGATTGAACTGCCCAACACCATCCCTAAATCCAACCGTTAGTGTTTTCAGAAGCCGAGATTGACACACCCACCTTCTTCACCCAACCGATAGTGTTTTCAGAAGCCCAGATTGACCTGCCCAGCCCTTCCCTAAACCCAACCGATGGTGGGACCTCATGAACGCCTGGTTTTTACCTCGTTTTTCAATCTTACCACTTTCTCACTCTGTTATTTACCTGTTTACTTTTTTTTTTGTTTTTCCTGTTTTCTGGAATCGTTCTTCACCGTATTCGAACCCCGTCGGCGCGGTCAACTCCGCTCCGCCTCCCAAGTCCACCGACGTATGCAGCGAGCCACTGGACAAAGTGGTAGCAGCAGAAAAGCCGTCCACATGGAGGTCAGTGATCAGCTAGTAGTGCGAAATGGAATAGAAGCCATCGGCGGCATTATACCACCCCGTATCGATCATTTTAAAGACCATACGTACCTCTGGCTACATAATTCGCACTCTCCAGAAATGTATATGTGGGTACGTTTTCACAATGAGCCGGTTTGTATTATACACATCAGCTGCATCAGGATATTAATTACAGTAATTATTACTATTATTATTTGATGTTTTTTGTGAAGTACTAAAATGATGTTGTTTACTATGATGATGCTCAGGGACCCTCTTTTATTTTTAATTTTTTTAAACCCCATCCCAGGATTTTATTATTTTTTTATTTGTATTTGTTTCAATTAATAAGGCCTCACATGATCAAAGCAGAGCACACGTGATTGGACGCTGAAATGTGTAAATGCTCCGACGTCTACAGAGACGGAGATCAGTTTTGATCATCAAAGGTCACGTCGACTATAATAACGTCTTTACTCAAGCCATTCCGCATTTGAAAGGTCATGTTTATCTGTACATATCGGTGTGCCCTGATGTAAATATTATGTTAGGAGTTTTGATCGCATTTGTTTTAATCTCATTTGCCGTAATCGCACTGAGCTGAAATCTCTGTTTTGTTGTCATTTGTTACACACCAACGCTTTGCAGTTCATTTCTCCATGCCAAAGCAAGCAAAACCACCCCAAAATAACAATGAAAGCATCGCTGTTATTTTATTTTTGGTATCATTTTCAACAGAGCTACACACTGCACCGGCACTCATTTGAAACTAATAGCTTATTAGTAGCTTATCTTTGCAGGATAGCTGAAATAGTTCATACTTTGTGTCAGTAAAAAGCAGCTTGCATGCAATGATGTAAAAGCCTTCCTTTGTTTTGTATTAAATGCTGAAGGTGTTGATTGCGGGTTGTGCAGTATTGAGCTGTTGTACTTGTAACGTTGTAGCACTTCGCTTTACATGCTTTTGCACTTGACAAAGTCAAATAAAGAGTCTTGACAGCTGAGAGTTTGCGCTTCCTCAGAACATACTGATCTCGCTTTTGTTTTTATTGACACAAAAAGTTGGCCATGCGACTAAAATGCTGTCTAAACCTGCAGTACAGACCTAATTTCTGGTGATAGGAGAAATGAAGCTTTTCAATGCTTTAAAACAGTTCAATCAATAAATAAATCAAATGTAATGTAAATAACAAAGCTTCAAATCTGAGATCTCAAAAAACAATCTTCTCATTTGTCTTTCTAATCACAACTAGAAACTGACCTCTGCCTAATTGTGTCTTTCAGTCCTTAACGTTCGGTATAAAATGCTTTTATTATCAGTTCATACTTTTAGTCAATGTAATGTAATGTGTGTATTTATTTAGCGCATTTATCGTATATGGCCATACACCCAAAGCGCTCCACAATCAAGAGTTTCCGATGATGAGGGCAGCTACAGGACAGCAGCGCCAGTGTGCTTACCATTATTATATACAGATACAGCCAATTCTGTGGATGGCAGGCCATGATGGCTAAGGGCCTATGGAGGGAATTTGGCCAGGACACAAGGGTTACAACCCTACTCTTTACAAGAAGTGCCATGGGATTTTTTTTTTAATGACCACAGAAAGTCAAAACCTCTGTTTATCTCATCCGAAAGACGGCGCTCACTCACAGTGTCCCCTTTACTATACTGGGGCATTAGGACTCGCACACACCACAGGTTGAGCTCCACCTGCTGGTCTCACAAACACCACTTCCAACAGCAACCTAGTTTTCCCATGTGGTCTCCCATCCAGGCACTGATCAGCCCTGCTTAGCTTCAGTGAGTAACCGTGGTTGGGCTGTATCCTTGATGTTTACTTCCATGTGAAAGAAATGAGCTTTAGACTTATAGAAAGATGCTATTAATCAAAAAAGAGCTCAATATTTCCTATAAAAAGTGAATTGTTTTGACACTGGCATCTCTAGTTACTAGATTCATAATATTTGACCATGTTGCACATTGTTTGTTGCACAAACAAACGCATACATTTCAATCGTAACTGGGTGATTAAATAAAATTTTTTTAAAATTATAATAAAGTTGTAAACAAAGCTCATAATGTAATTTTGGGGGCTGTTTCAGACTTTAAGTGAAGTTTTTAAACTAATTTCGAAAGGAACACGTCATACGCAATCAGCAATAATCCAATCAGATTGATCCAAGCCTACAATAAATAGACAGATTTCACCCTACTGCCTTACATTCGATTTGAAAGAATCCACCCCTCCACCCCATCTCCCCTTTTTCCAGGGGAAGCCCCCTACCTGATCACAGTCCCCCTTACATGCTAATTAGTGAAGTAACGATTTACAGATCTCACGGTTCACATCGTGATGTTTTTTTTGTCACAGATCAGACCATCTTTTTAATGATTTGCTTTCCATTTATTACAAAACCAGCACTGCAAGACACTTTTAGTTTTAAGAAACAGAACTTAGATCCTGTAATTTTATTAAAAATAAAACGAAGAAATAATCAGATGAATAAAAATAAATCGTCACCTTGGAATTAAGGTTCTTTCTGTGTTCTGAAGGATTTTGAGAAAATGAGCTTTGAAGTTTTCGTATTCCATAGCAAACAGTGTGACATTTATTTTTTTAAATAAAAAGTCTTAAAATGTAAACAACTTACATAAAAAAAATCCCATAATCTAAATTTGCCAATTAATAAGAATGTCAATAACTCAATTTTGACAAAAATGTCAGATAGAACCATATAATTCTCAGGTGACGAAATAGGGAATTATTCACAGCACTGAATATTTTCCTGTTGCTGATATCGCTAAATGTAGAAATCGAACATTATCATTTGTACAACCCATATTTATTTCCAGTCTTGTTTTCAATAAATGGTTCAGTTCTTCGCTCATAAATCTTCATGTTTCTTTGCTAGATGATCATTTTTGAGGAATTATTCAGTGGTGTATTTTTTGATGGCTGGTTGTCGCCACCTATTGGTTAAATCATGTAATTGCTGCCTACAACTTTCATTTTCGAGCATCAAGTTAAATGCACATGATGGTGATTTTAATCTTTACCATGAACATCAGCTGTTTTATCTTAACTAAAAACTCTTCTCCCAGTAAGTCTGTCATTTTTGTAACTTCATAATGATAAATTCATCTTAATTTTTACGTTTTCAGAATTGAATGCAGCGATTCGAGGATTAATAAACATATGCAAATCCCCATCATTTATAATTGATGTTGTGTGGGTGTTGAGATCCTGACCTTTTAATGTTTAATCGTGCAGCTTACACTGAATGCATTAATGCAGGCTAAACAAGTACTGACAGAAAACACCTTTAATAACCTAAGAAACCCACCACACCTTCCTCCATCATCATCATATTTTACAGGAAAGCCTAAACACTTTCATGCATGTGATTTGAATGACAACGGAGGCAAACTCTGCGATCCTTACAAATTTAGGATTAATCTGCCAGTAAAAAAATAATGGTAGGAAAACTGTGGGTTGTGATTCGTACAAATCACAGATCAACCCCATTACACCTCTAATGCTAACTGACAGCTTGCCAAACCTGCTGATAGCATCAAGCATTATCCAAGTGTGAACTCTTGAATGCTGACAGAAAGATGCAGATGTTTCAGTGATTAATACAGACTCGTTTGCACATTTCAGTGTTTTATTTGGTAGCAGAGCGCACATCTGATGCGGTTTAACCTTCTATTGTGGTTCTGCAGATCTGTTGTTCTGCTAGAAAACTCATGAGATCTGCATTAACCACCGCACACACAAAGAAAACGAGCAATTAAAATACAAACATGTAGTTCAGTCACAGTTTACACTGAATTCATAACTCTACAGCGTTCAAATGTTCACTTATAAAGCATTCGTGACATCTAAGGCTGCCTTAGGAAATCACAAAACGTACTTGGAGTTGTCTCGAGTCTAGTCTAAAAACTCAAAAATCAAGAAGCATTTTCTGGACAAGCAAAAAAATAAAAAAAAGGTTTTGTTTTCAGAAATGAGTCTAAATGAAGGGAGTTTTTCCTTGAAAACAAGCTAAATAATCAGCAAACGGGGCCAGCTAAATAATATTCACTTCATATTCTACAAATAATCTTGTTTTAAGCTTGAAATAAATGTATTACAGCTTCATTTTGGCATTTCTTTGAACAAAATATTTTTACTCATCTAAAAAATGATTAACAATTGAAGAAATTTTAGATATTTGGACTAGAAATGAGACAAAAGTCAAAATATTTTGCAGTGTGTGTTTATAAATGATCATTAAATGCTGTCAAGTGTTTAACAGGAGTCTATTATGATCATCATAGAGCATTTCCATGTGCTGTGCGCTTTATAACACTGCTGTAGTGTAGCATAGCGTAATGTAGTGTGTGTTGGCACAGTTGTGTGGATGGTTCATATAACAAACAGCTCATTCATCAGAGGAAATCAAATAGAGAACAAGTGTGAACCCAAGAGGAACAAACAAGAGGATCGAGATGAGGAGCGTGTGCATCGCGTGTGCAATTTTGTCGATATGCTAAAACAGGGCATGTGATAATGCCAGTGCAGAGGCTTTACATCCATCACTCAGCAGAAATTCATTGAGTCTCAGTGTAAAGTCAAGCTGAAGTGAAGCCGTGGTGTTTATCTGGAGCACAGAAAATAGTTGAGTTTTTACACAAAGTCAGTGAAGTCGTCGACGGTGGACACCAGCCTCTTCCTCTGGCCGGCGTCTGGATTCTGTGCTGCTCCCGGCGGCTGGTGGGCGGGTTTATTCTGCATGGAGGCGTGGCCTTGAGTCAGAGAGATGCCGTGAGAGGGGCGGGACTGAATCTCCTCCTGAGCCTATTGGTGGATGAAACATGAATATTTTAATGTATGAATGGAGCACCGTTAAACAAGGACATTACTTTTTAGTAAGAGGTTTTCCCCTCAGTGGTCCCTCATTATTCATGGGAGTTACGTCCTTAAATAAATCACAATAGGCAGGGCCGGAGCAAGCTGAACTGCCGCTCTAGGCAAAGGACGGTCACACCGCCCTCAACCCTAGAGTGAAAGCCAGGAGGAGGGGTGGGGGGGGGTTATAATTGAGGGTGCGGGTGGTGAGGGTAGTGTCGCGGATGCCGCCCTCTCTATTCTGCCCTCTAGACGTGGTTATAACTGAGGGTGCGGGTGGTGAGGGTAGTGTCGCGGACGCCGCCCTCTCTATTCTGCCCTCTAGACGTGGATATAACTGAGGGTGCAGGTGGTGAGGGTAGTGTCGCGGACGCCGCCCTATCTATTCTGCCCTCTAGACGTGGTTATAACTGAGGGTGCGGGTGGTGAGGGTAGTGTCGCGGACGCCGCCCTCTCTATTCTGCCCTCTAGACGTGGATATAACTGAGGGTGCAGGTGGTGAGGGTAGTGTCGCGGACGCCGCCCTATCTATTCTGCCCCCTAGACATGGATATAACTGAGGGTGCGGGTGGTGAGGGTAGTGTCGTGGACGCCGCCCTCTCTATTCTGCCCCCTAGACGTGGATATAACTGAGGGTGCGGGTATTGAGGGTAGTGTCGCGGACGCCGCCCTCTCTATTCTGCCCTCTAGACGTGGTTATAACTGAGGGTGCGGGTGGTGAGGGTAGTGTCGCGGACGCCGCCCTCTCTATTCTGCCCCCTAGACGTGGATATAACTGAGGCCGCGGGTGGTGTGGGTAGTGTCGCGGATGCCGCCCTCTCTATTCTGCCCCCTAGACATGGATATAACTGAGGGTGCGGGTGGTGAGGGTAGTGTCGTGGACGCCGCCCTCTCTATTCTGCCCCCTAGACGTGGATATAACTGAGGGTGCGGGTATTGAGGGTAGTGTCGTGGATGCCGCCCTCTCTATTCTGCCCCCTAGACGTGGATATAACTGAGGGTGCGGGTAGTGAGGGTAGTGTCGCGGATGCCGCCCTCTCTATTCTGCCCCCTAGACGCGGATATAACTGAGGGTGCGGGTAGTGAGGGTAGTGTCGCGGATGCCGCCCTCTCTATTCTGCCCCCTAGACGTGGATATAACTGAGGGTGCGGGTAGTGAGGGTAGTGTCGCGGATGCCGCCCTCTCTATTCTGCCCCCTAGACGCGGATATAACTGAGGGTGCGGTTGGTGAGGGTAGTGTCGCGGACACCGCCCTCTCTATTCTGCCCTCTTGACGTGGATATAACTGAGGGCACGGGTGGTGAGGGTAGTGTCGCGGACGCCGCCCTCTCTATTCTTCCCCCTAGACGCGGATATAACTGAGGGTGCGGGTGGTGAGGGTAGTGTCGCGGACACCGCCCTGTCTATTCTGCCCTCTTGACGCGGATATAACTGAGGGTGCGGGTGGTGAGGGTAGTGTCGTGGACGCCGCCCTCTCTATTCTGCCCCCTAGACGTGGATATAACTGAGGGTGCGGGTATTGAGGGTAGTGTCGTGGATGCCGCCCTCTCTATTCTGCCCCCTAGACGTGGATATAACTGAGGGTGCGGGTAGTGAGGGTAGTGTCGCGGATGCCGCCCTCTCTATTCTGCCCTCTTGACGCGGATATAACTGAGGGTGCGGGTGGTGAGGGTAGTGTCGCGGACGCCGCTCTCTCTATTCTGCCCCCTAGACGCGGATATAACTGAGGGTGCGGGTGGTGAGGGTAGTGTCGTAGACGCCGCTCTCTCTATTCTACCGCCCTCTCTATCCTGCTGCCCTAGGTGGCCGCCTAGGACGCCTCTATGGACGCGCCAGCCCTGACAATAGGTGAAATCCGTAAAATAGTCCACTTTACTTTTACAATTATTCTAGATGTTTTAAGGCTGTAAAAGCCCTCACTACACACCTTTCTCAGACAGGCATTAACATCTTCACACTTCTTGTCATGATGACAGCACATAATATTTGACTAGATATTTTTCAAAATACTAGTATTCAGCTTAAAGTCACATTTAAAGGCTTCACTAGGGTAATTAGGTTAAAGTTAGGGTAATTAGGCAAGTCACTGTATAACATGGGTTTGTTCTTTATTCAATTGAAAACAAATATTGCACCTCAGTGCTAAATGCCAGAGCACACTTAACCACTGGGCTATTGGTGCCCACTAAAACATAGCACAATTATACATAGATAAATTAGTAATATATATAGAGCTGCTCAAGCCAGCACATGCACTCACCCGCGTCCTGATCCTCTTGATGTGTCTCAGTCTGGCCAGCCATTTTGAAGCGTATGCGTCTGATGGGTTCGCCCTGCACTGGTGGACCAGCGACGCCATCTTTACAACACACACAAAAAAATAAACAGTTTAGTTCATCAATTCACCTATAGCGCATGTGTTTGGACTGTGGGGGAAACCGGAGCACCAGGAGGAAACCCCTGCCACCATGGGGAGAACATGCAAACTCCACACAGAAATGCCAACTGACCCAGCGGAAGCTCGAACCAGCGACTTTCTTGCTGTGAGACAACGGTGCTAACCACTGTGTTGCCTTTCACTACACTAGTTTATTTTAAATTTATAAAAGGAATTATTATTTGAAATTAGCATTTCATTCACTTGTTACTTTTGCGTAGGGCCAGACAGAATCTGCAGACATTGTTTGCTATTTCTGCTGAGAATTTTGTTAAAAATCTGCGGATTTCTGCGGGATTATTGTGGGAGTATCATAACTAAAACCTTAATATGTGTAATAAAAAAGAATATCTTTTTAACTTTTATTTAATGTTTGAAACGCAAATCCACCTAGATCCACTTTATTTGGTAAACAAAGCAAGTCTCTCGTATAACATATCTACTAAAAGACAGAAAATATTACTGCACAAACTGCACTGTACATAAATCAGATGAACATTTTCACTTGTTTTTAGATTAGGTTGCAAAGATTAATTTTTTATTTGATGGTTTCATTTGTGTGTCTTCAAACGAACAGAAATGAATAACGCCGTTTACAGTGTGCTCTTTTTTTCCTGTTTTGAACTGAGCCTTTAATTGTCATTTATAAGGGATTTATAAAGCACAAATAGTCCTCACTTTAGATTAGGTCACAAAACCGGATAAAGTTGAGTTAATAAAGCATTTATTAAAATGAAAATTAACTATTAACATATGCCTGAATAATAAGATACATAAACTGTTTACTAACATTTGTTAATGTAGAGTTAATGCTTAACAGATAAGGAATTCACTACTTGCCAATGCTTAATAAATGGTTCATACTTATAAATATATATATAAATATAAATATACACACACACACATACACACAACAGTTCTCTCTGGATCTCGAATCTGATTAACTGATAGCCGTGATATATTTAAGCAATATCAGAATCCATACAGCCTCTTTACCCTTTGTCAGGGCCGGAGTGGGACTCTTTTTCAGCCCTGGAGTTTCAAACCTCAGACCGGCCCACCTCAGTTCACCACTGACTATATTAAAATAAGGACATTTCCAATTCAGTTTCTAATTTTTTTGAGAAAACAGCACTTTTAGAACTTCAAATGTTCAACAACCCCTACAGTATTATGTTTTAACAATAAAAATGAAAAAAAAAAAAAAAACGTTACTCAGACAGGGACCGAATCCAGGTTGGCCGCGTCATAATCTAACGTACTAACCACTGTACCACAACAGCTGTACGCGTAACGGTGACTTATCTAGTTATATCATCATTAACCTGCATCCTGCTCACGAGGCTACGAGAAAATAGATAAAAAGAGCAGAGCTGCGGTACAATAATGAATAAGAAGGCTGTGGTCAAGTAAATAAATAAATTATTTTTAAAAAGTGTGACTGCTGAGAGCAAATGAGTCTGGAACTAGGGACACCGGCCCTCGCGGCCAAAAAACGGACTGGCCCACCGGGAATGCTCCCGGTCCTCCCGATTAGCCAATCCGGGCCTGCCCTTTGTGTATTACTCCGCCCACATACAGCCAGCAACAAGCAGACACTATAGTTTGACAAATATTACTGCTGTTAGACAACTAAATATATTTTGAGGCTTTTTTAGTCTAGAATGTAGTGGTTTAGATTGCAACTATGCAGTTTATTTGCAAGAATAGTGCCTATTTTAAAATATTTACAATTTCTGAGAGCTCATCAGCGGCCAAAGACAGTTGACGTTGTCTTTCCACAAGATGGCGCCAGAACTGCATAATAAGCCCTTGCTCAGTGTGTTCTTATGAGCACGATTAAAAAGCTGAAAAACGGAAGCCTCGTGGTTTTTAAGGTAAACCGGATAGAGTCAATAAGAAGCTGCGAATAAGAAGCTGAATTCAGCCTTGTCCCTCCTTAACGCAAACACAACAGCAGTCTGGTGAGAAATCTCAGTAGATGGATGGCATTTCATGTCACGTTCAGCCTTATAATGTTAAAATGTGAGCAAAATTTTCTATTTTGTCATCACCTTAAGGGGGTCACACACCAGAAGCGCCACTTCACATAACGCTATAGAAAATCATTCAAATACTAGCTCTAAAGTGACGTTGGTGAATTAGTAACAGCTTCTGCTGTTCTGACGTCAGCTACAGATGTGAATGAATGGCGGAAGAAAGTAGTTCCTAATACAAAAGGGTTTTAGACTCTCTGTGTTTGATTTTCTATTTTTATGTACAAGATTGTGCCGTCAAACTGTTGTATGAACGCAATATCACACTCGTAGCCGAGTGCTATGGCTGTATATCAGCACTGGTGGGGTACTAAGGCACTCGGCCTCTCGCCAACGCACGCCTCTAGCGCTAATATACAGCCATAACACACTGCTATGAGTGTGATATTGCTCATATATATATATATATATATATATATATATATATATATATAAATGTATGTATGTATATATATATATGTATGTATATAAAGTGTTACCATATAATCATGGTTTCACAGATATCACGTCTAATATAAATTTAAGCTTTATATGAAGTAAGTATTTAAATGAACTGTTGTTATCATCTGTGTTCAAACATACATAATTATTTTAATAATTTGTAATAATTCGTCTAACACATCTTTTGTTTACATTGCACTGAAAGCCACGCACAACTCTAAACGGTACGGTGTGAGATGTTTTCTACAGGGTGCGCCTGTATATAAGAGTATATTCTTACATTGGAAATAACACACTTGCTCGCGGAAAAGACGCGATATATGAATGACCCGCTGCTATAGTTAATCCAGTGTGCGTGTGTATTAGCCTTGGTGTATAAGCTCGGAACTTTCAACTTGCGCACAGATGTCATAACCCTGTTTAGTTGCAGCAGTTGCGTTCTGTGCGACAGAAACGCTACGTTTGAGAAGCCTTTAAGCTTAAGTATTCAAATGTTTTCCTCTGCTCGCTTGATGTCAGGTGACCCACGCTCTGCGCAGCCTTCAACTGCAGCTCGTGCTGTATTGAACAGACGCACGTCACTTCATAACTATAGCTGCCGTTTTTCAACTGAACTACATTTATTTTTGATGTCTTGGTCACACTATTTGGAGGGCCGGAACAAATTGCCTCGGAGGCCAAGTTCGGCCCAAGGGTCTTCAATTGAATAGCATTGGGCTAAATAGTCATTTGAACTCAACATATGCACATTCAGATGCTGTACTTTCCAGAGCGTGAAGCCTTTTCAACAGAAACATGCGTTGAGTGTAAAAGTGCAAGACTTGATTTGCTCAGCTGGGATTGTGGAGATTGGAATATACTCTACTATTATGAAGCAAAAACATATTGATTATTTCTACATTAATTCCCCAAACTCAAGTGCCTCCAGCAACCGAAGGCTCTTTAGGTTCTATGGTTACCACGGCAACAACAAATCCCTAAATCCACCCAAAACGCTCCTCGTCCCGAATGTACCCTAACCGCGCTTATCCTCCTCTGACCCGTCAGCCATTTTGTGTCTTGTTGTGCTAATTGGAGGCTGTGGTTTCCTGGAGCCAGCAGTGATTTGTAGGGTCTCGGAGGAAAGTGTGGGACGGACACACACACACACACAAACAGCCTTATTACACTGTCTCCACTTAACACAGCAGGTGGCGAGAGCTCAAGAAAAGCAGAAAAAGAAGAGCAGATTAATGCTAAACAGAGCCCGCTGAAGGAAACACTCGGTCTGCTGATGGAAACGCTGATCATCAGAGGAATCATCACCATTATATCTGCACTATGCTAATAAATGACAGCTGTAATTAGAAAAGTAAAGTTCCTAGACAAACGTTATAGTGGCTTGAGAAAGCAGAGTCTGAAAATTTGAAGGAGCTTTAAAGTTTAAATAATTGAAGTAGTTTAAGAAGTTTGAACAGTCGTGCATAGATAGAGAAGCACATAGAGGTTTGCATGTTTCTAGTATGGATTTTCCAGGTGCTTGCTAATGCGTTGCTAGGGTGTTTTGACTGTTTGCTAGGATGGTTTCGATGGTGTTCTCGGTGGTTGCTAGGCTGTTGCTAAGGCATTGCGAGGTGGTTGCTAGGGTGTTCCAGGTAGCTGTTAAGGTGTTGCTAGGTGGTTGCTAGGTCAACCCCAAAGCGGTTGCTAAGTTGCTAGTAGTTGCTAGGGTGTTTTATGTGGCTGCCAAGGTGTTGCTACTGTACGTTGGTTGTTCTGAGTGGTTGCTAAGGCATTGCTAGGGTGCTCTAGGTGGTTGCCAAGATGTTGCTAGGCGGTGGCTAGGGTGTTCTGGGTGGTTGCTAATGTGTTGCTAGAATGTTCTAGGTGGTCGCTATGGTGTTGTTAAGGCGTTCTGAGTGGTTGCTAAGGTGTTCTACGTGGTTACTAGGTGGTTGCTAGGCCATTGCTAAGGTGCTTTGAGTGGTTGCTGGGGTGTACTAGGTGGTTGCTAAGGTGTTGCTAGGTGGTTGCTAAGATGTTGAGTGGTTGCAAGGCAGGTGCTAACATAAATTTTAATGGTTCTAGTATGAATTAGCATGTTGCTAGCATGTTTCTAGCATAAATTAGCATGTTGCTAGCATGAATTTAGAATGAATTAGCATGTTGCTAGTATGTTAGTATGTTGTTAGTATGTTCAATGTTAAGTCAATGTAAGTTTTTTACAATGGAAGTCTATTGGACAGTTGCTAGAATGCCGTAAGTGGTTGCTAGGGTGTGGCTAGTAAGTTGAAAGATCATCAGTGATTGGTAGTCTGAGTTAAATAAATGTAGCCTTAGGTCTGTATGACAGTTTGGTGCAAAGTTATGAGGTCAGAAAAGATTGGTACAAGAAAACTTTTCAGAATTTTCCGGGACAGTTTTCAGAAAAGCGTTAGTCAGATCAGTTAGAAAAACTAAAGCAACTTGAGTCAGAGCAGTTTGGAGGTTTGGTGTTAGTTTGGTGGTTGTAGTATGAACAATCTAGGAGGAGATGCATATAGAAATTAGTCTCAGAAGAAGAAGACGGAAGAATAATAAGTTCTTGTAGTGTAACAGTATGATGGCTTTCTCAATCTACCATAATTATGCTTTATGATATGGACTTGATGAATAACAACTGATGCATAAAGACAGTCCATTAGCAGGAGATGCTGTGGTGTGAAGAGCTTTAAACAGGACAGTCAGAGTAGTATATGTAATGTCAACTGAAACTAAACCTGAACTGATCATCTCATCAATGAAAAGCAGCTCAGTGGAACAACAAACTCTGATACACTAGAGACAACAGCACAAGAGCTGAAACAGGAGAAAGATGGAGACTCACGTTAGCATGAAGCGCCATCTGTCTGACTAGCAGGGGAAGGTTCCGGTCAGAGACGATCTTCGCTACACTGGTGTCCACCAAACCCTCCAGATCTGACACAAACAGCACAACACACAATACAGAGGATGATGATGATGATGATGATGATGATGATGATGATGATGGGTACATCACTTCAAGAAAGTAATCATGAACGAACACACGCACACAAATACACACACAAATGCAAGCACACACACATGCATGCACGCACACAAATGCATACATCAATGCACACACACACACTACAGTAATACATGCACAACAAATATGCATAAACACACTTACATGCACACACACAAACACACACACCTTATGCAAACACGCACAAACACTCAAACAAACACACACGCATGCACACACACAAACACACACATGCCTTAATACCTAAACACACATAAAGACACACAAACACTCAAACAAACACACACGCATGCACACACACCAACACACAAGCATACATGCACACAAACACACATGCAAACACACACACACACCAACACAGGTGCACACCAACACACGCAGATAAAAACACAAAAAAACTCATGCAAACACTCAAACAAACACACACGCGCGTGCGTGCAAAAACACACATGCACCAACACACACAGTAGTACACTGACAATACTACACAAACACACACACATGCTAACACACGCACAGCTCTTCACCTTTCCGGCACTGCAGTGTCACCAGGTTACTCTCGTAGTCCAGCGGCTTTATGAGCACTTCCACAAAGTTGAACTGACCCTTAACACACACACACACACACACACACACACACACATTAACACAAACGCTTCAGTAAGTAATAAACACAGAGTAAAGCAGACTGCGTCTCTGTGTAACCTTGATGGTGCCCAGTTTGTAGTCCTCCCCCGAGTCGTTATAAACCACCACCACGAAGTCGTTGCCGATGTGCCGCTTCTTGTTGCAGCAGCCGCGGTCGCTCTCACGGTTCGGCATCAGCGTGGCGATGTGGAAAATAGCTGAGCACATAACAACAACAAAGAGAAAGAAAGAGAAGACAGACGACTTTATGAACAACACACATGAAAAAGAGCAACACACACTCCATAACAATCACATGATCACATCACATTAAACCAAAAATAAAACAAAGACTGGAGATTATTATTATTATTAATAATAAATCAAATCAAATCACTTTTATTGTCACATCATCAGCAGCACGTGTGCTATAATAAATGTAAAGCTTAGGTGCTGCTCCAGACAGAGCAAATACGATTAATCTCTCTGTATGTGTACCCTATAGTGCATATACAAAAAAATAATCAAAACAGGACATTGCAAAATTGGCAGTGTTGACACTTATTATTATTATTTTGTTGTTGTTAATATTATTGTTATGTTATTATTATTATTATAATTATTATTAAAGTTATTATTATTTTATTAGTAGTAGTATTGTTATTATTATTATTATTATTATTGTTGTTGTTGTCAAAAAGCAAGCACTACTAATAAAAAATACAATAATAATAATATCTGTATATTATTAATTTCATAAACAAAGTATTAATAGAAAATAATAACAGCAAAATCTTCAGTATAAGCAAGTGGTATAAGGTTACAGGCAAAATATATAATATATTATTTAATAACAAAAATTAATATTAGTAATATTTGTTGTTGTTTACATTCTACACACAAATATTAAACAACTACTGTTATTTGCATAACTATTCTGATTATCATTACTATGATAACTATAACTATATTCCTGTAGAATATAAAATGTTCGCTTTTTATGTCTTTTGAGATAAATAGCTATTGATATTGTTATTATTATGGGAAGCATTTTTTCTCAGTTTTCAACAACTTCTACTACTAATTATAAAAAAATAAACTTAATAATACAATTAATTAATGCTGTACTTAATAAATATATATAATACAGACATATATAGTTGAAGTCAGAATTATTAATATTTTTTCTTCTGGAGAAAGTCTTATTTGTTTTATTTTGGCTAGAATAAAAGCAATTTTTATTTTTTTAAACACCATTTTAAGGTCAATATTATTAGCCCCTTTAAGCTATATTTTTTCGATTTTTTCGATTAATCTTTTCAGCACTACTAATACCGATGATAACAGGATGATTTCACTAACCCTGCATAATGTCATCATGCCAGCAGTATGTGAACTCTCCATCGTCTCCGTACTGGTCCAGTCCACCAAGGAAGATCTGATCGGGATCGCAGTCTTTCAAGTGGATGAGTTTCCCCAGACCCGTCAGGAACTGAGCATAGCGCTTCGAGCCGTACTCATTAGACAGGATCGACACCTCATTATTGGCCTGATAAAACACACAATCACAAGTTATAGTAACATCCTACAGCTGCTCAAAAAGTAGAGGAGAATGAAAACTTGCGCTTCACGATATTGGAGAATACTGACACTGCAAAATTCTGCTTTGTTTTTATTTATTTCCAAATATTTCCCAAATTATGCTTAACAGATTCAGGAATTTTTCACAGTATTTCCTATAATATTTTTTCTTCTTGAGAAAGTCTTATTTGTTTTATTTAGGCAAGAATAAAAGCAGTTTTCAGTTATTTTAAAACCATTTAGGGTCAATATTATTAGCCCCCTTACACATTATTTGTTTTGGATTGTCTACAGAACAAACCACTGTTATACAATGACTTGCCTAATTAACCTAGTTAAGTCTTTAAATGTCACTTTAAGCTAAATACTAGCATCTTAAAAAAATATATTATGTGCTGTCATCAAGGCAAAGATAACAGAAATTAGAAATGAGCTATTAAAACTATTATGAAGAAATAAAAAACAAAATGTAAAAGAATTCAAATGTAATATGAAGGCTATTAATTGTGACTTCAATTGCATATATATATATATATATATATATATATATATATATATATTGTATTATAAGTGGTTGTTTTACTATACCTGTCCGGCTCCCACAAACACCACACCGATCTTATGAGTGTCGTACGGAGGCATCTGATCCAAAACCTTCACTGCACGGTCAATCAGCTGACAACAGCAGAAAATACACAAGATTAGCATCCAGATCTGCTGCAAAACACATCTCAATCATAGAAGCAAGCTCACTGGTATTGTTAATAATCATCTTTATTTTGTCTTCAAATTCTCATCACTGTAAAGTGAAATAATCTCATTCTCATGATTCTAAATCTGTACTGGCAATCAGTCAATTCATATCAGCATCACTCAGATATGAAATATTTCTGTTCAGTTCTAGTTCTAGTTAATTTTGCTGTGCATTATTGACATTTGTTTTTGTTTGCTTTAGTATTTAATCAGCCTTTTAATTTAATAGAACTTTTCTGAAACGGTTGTACAGGCTATATTTGATATTTTCATTTTTTCATGTGATGTAAATAGTTTTTGTAGCATTATTTAATAAGAACTGTGATCTATTAAAACAAAAACCCATACTGTAATAACAATGAATACCATTATCATACTTTAAAATAAGTATGTAAAAATGTATATACAAAATTATTATGAATGTACAGGGTGGGCCATTTGTATGGATACACCTTAATACAATGGGAATGGTTGGTAATATTAACATCCTGTTTGTGTCACATTAGTATATTTGAGTCGGCAAACTTTTCAAGATGGGTGGTGACCATGGCCATTTTGAAGTCGGCCATCTTGGATCCAACTTTTGTTTTTTCAATAGGAAGAGGGTCATGTGACACATCAAACTAATTGGGAATTTCACAAGAAAAACAATGGTGTGCTTGGTTTTAACATACCTTTATTCTTTCATGAGTTATTTACAAGTACCTGACCACTTATAAAATGTGTTCAATGTGCTGCCCATTGTGTTGGATTGTCAATGCAACCTTTTTCTCCCACTCTTCACACACTGATAGCAACACCGCAGGAGAAACGCCAGCAAAGGCTTGCAGTATCCATAGTTTAGGTGCTGCACATCTTGTATCTTCACACCATAGACAACAAAGATAGTGGGGCCATCCTTCATCAATGGAAACCTCAAGGCCACTGGATATTTGAAATTGCTACATGATGACGTGTTTCCCTCTTTACGCACTGAAGCTGGCACGTTCCCTGAGTTTTTCCAGCAAAGATGGTGCACGACCACATTATAGGTGTCAGGTCTGCATCTCCCGATCTGACCCCCTTAGACTTTTATCTTTAGAATCATCTGAAGGCAATTTTCTATGGTGTGAAGATACAAGATGTGCAGCACCTGAAACTACAGATACTGGAAGCCTGTGCTGCATTTCTCCTGCGGTGTTGCTATCAGTGTGTGAAGAGTGGGAGAAGAGGGTTGCATTGACATTAATGTTTTCTTGTGAAATTCCCAATAAGTCTGATGTGTCACATGACCCTCTTCCTATTGAAAAAACAAAAGTTGAATCCAAGATCTTCTTCACAATGGCCACCATGGTCACCACCCATCTTGAAAGGTTTGCCTCCTCACATATACTAATGTGCCACAAACAGGATGTTAATATCACCAACCATTCCCATTTTATCAAGGCGTATCCATATAAATGGCCATTAAAAAAGCTAAGGGTCATCTACAATTTAAATCTAATATGAGAATTTTCTCAGCCTCCTGTGTTTAATCAGTTATTTCACTTTAAAGGCAATAAAAAGAACCTATTATTTGCCAAAAATAAGCAATACATTATTCTCTTATTATCTATATTAATACTGAGGTACATTAGTTTAAAATAAAATTATATAATTATTTACAAACTAAAAACATTCATTGTTTTCATGAACCTTATATTGTTTAGTATCAATTAGATACTGTATATATAATTTAAAGGCATGTCAGAATACGCTAAATAAACACATACAACTTTTAATACCACTTTTAAATACTTTTTCTTTATATCATGTTGAGAAATGAGCAGTTGTGGGTGCAGTGTGCTTTCACCTGTGATTTAGGAAGCAGCAGGGGTTTGTTGGCCTCATTGCCGAAGAACGGCGAGTGATAAAGCTGCAGGAAGACAAAACTGCAGAAGAAGAGGAGCAAAGGTCAGAGCACTAATCTCCTGAACACAAGTGTGCTCTGAATCTAAAACCGCGAAAATCCCACAGCGCTTTCATCTTCTCCACTCTTCATGGAGGAGAGATAAAGCTGGAGGAGTCGGCAGAGGATAACCAGCAGACTCTCCAACATCAGGTCAGAGCGGGAGAAATATCCGGAAACACTCTCTGACCTCCAGAGACCTATTAAACCCAGACCAGCACCACTAAACCTGGCCCTCAAATTACTCTCTCACCCGGACCATAACAAATGAGGAACAATGAGCTGTACAGCACTGATGGCAACACGGGAATAGTCTGTAATGGTGACAAAGTTAAGGTGGAGTTTGTAATGGGCAGCAGAGTTAGCATAGAGTTCACATGGATAAAATAGTGTTAGAATAGAGTTTGCATAAATCAAATATAGCCAGAATAGTAATAACATGGATAAAATAGAGTTAGGAAAGAGTTTGCATGAATCAAACAGAGTTAGAATAGTGTTTTTCATGGATCGAATAGAGTTAGGATAGAGTTTGGATGCATAAATTGAGTCAGGAAAGAGTTTACATGTTACAAATAGAGTTGGGATAGAGTTTGTATGGATAAATTAGAGTTAGTATTGTGTTTGCATGGATCAAATAGAGTTAGTATAGAGTTTGAATGAATAAATTAGAGTTAGAATAGAATTTGCAAGGATTCAATAAAGTTAGGATAGAGTTTGCATGGATCAGAAAAAGTGTTTCCTTTGACCAAATAGAGCGAGAACAGAGTCTGCATAGATAAAATAAAGTTAGGATAGATTTGCATGGATGGTATAGAGTTAGGGTAGAGTTTGCCTGGATGAAATAGACCAAGGATAGAGATTGCATGAATAAAATAGAGTTAGGATAAAGTTTGCATGGATAAATAGAGTTAAGATAGAGTTTGCATGGATCACATAAAGTTAGGATAGAGTCTGCATAGATCAAATAGAGTTAGAATAGTGTTTTTCATGGATCAAATAAAGTTAGGATAGAGTTTGGATGCATCAATTGAGTCAGGACAGATTTTACATGTAACAAACATAGTTAGGATAGAGTTTGCATGGATAAAATAGAGTTCGTATAGAGTTTGAATGAATAAAACAGAGTTAGGATAGAATTTGCATGGATCAAAAAGAGTTAGGATAAAGTTTGCAAGGATAAAATAAAGTTAGGATAGATATGCATGGATCGAATAGAGTTAGGATAGAGATTGAATTAATAAAATAGAGTTAGGATAAAGCTTGCATTGACAAATAAAATTAAGATAGAGTTTGCATGAATAAATTGAGTCAGAATAGAGTTAACATGAATCAAATTGAGTTAGGATAGAGTTTGCATTGGTAAATTGAGTCAGTATAGAGTTTACATGGATAAAATAGAGTTAGGATAGAGTTTGCATGGGTAAATTGAGTCCGAATATAGTTTACAGTTAGGATTGAGTTTTGAGGGGAAGATAGGGGTTAGAATGGAGTTAGGAAAGCATTTGGACGGGCAAGGCAGATTTACAATAGAGTTATGATGGACCAAACAGACTTACATGGGAATTTAGAATAGAGTTATGATGAGTAAGATAGAGTTAGAACAGTTAGAATGGCTGAGACTTGGAGTTTGGATAGATAAGACTGAGTTGGGATAGATTTAGGTTGGGCAAAATAGAGTCAGGATAGAATTAGAATGGCTACAACTCGGTATAGAAATAGGATAGGAGAAATAGTTTTGTTAGGAGAGTTAAAAAAGAGTTTTAAAAAAGCCAAAAGCTCAAACAGTTTAGTTTAATTTACCCAAAAACTCTGGATGGGTGAGAATGTCAGTATAGAGTTTGGATGGGTCAAATAGAGTTTGGAAGGGCTGATCTACTCATATTAATATTTCATGCAACATGTTTGATTTATTCTACTTTTATTATTTATGTCCAACATGGAATTTGCATCTGAAGAACTCTGACTGGAAAGCCATCAATCTAAACGTGTTTTGTACTTGCAACCATTTCTAAAAAAACTAAAGAAAAACAAGATATAGTATATAAAAATAATTGGCTATATATATATATATATATATATATATATATATATATAACTATAATGCTAATCTATCATTATTATTATCATGATGTAATTTAAAGTTAATATTTTATTCTGTATCTATTTTAAAAAAAACACAGAATGTTATTTACATCTATTCTGCTAATGTCAGTTATTGCATGAAAGATTCCTCTGATATTTTACAGTTCTGACAGCTATTATCCTTTTACTGTATAGAACAAAACTCCTTTCTCCACAGAAGAAACAGCTCCTCTTTTAGCTTTTTACTAGAGCACCATAATCCACACAGAAAGTGTGTTTTGACCGACGAGGCCCTTCAGTTCTCAGGAAGCAATTGTGGTTTAATCCAAACAGACATTGAACATTTTACGACCAGTAAACAACAGTCTGACAGCCAACAAACTGTTTCAAGAAAAAAAAAAAAACTAAACAAACGGCCTGAGCTCTTAGTGCCTGTATGAATGCAAAGAAAAAACAAGAAACTCAAAAGCTTTTCTGGCCTTCTGTTTATCGATCGCCCGCTCTGAGCATCACAAAGACGAATGGCCGTCATTTTGCTCTAATTCTCATGCTGAAATCCAACAAACTGAAAGCGCTCGACGCAAAAAGCGGCTCGCTTCACAAAATGAGTGGAGGCAGGATGATTTAATGTCAACAGGGGCGTCAGATGATGACTGTAATGAAGAAGAATGATGTTTTCCCGCCGTATCATTACTCTCCATATCGCGCTCTGCTTTTGATGAAAAGTGGAGCTCTTGAATCAAACGGTTGACGTCCACAACACATTACAGCTGCGTTAACATGTGCTGAACATAATCACAACTTTCCTGCATCCATTACAGCACTGAGGTAGTCTGACATTGACCATAGTGTTTTTATATATACAAAACATCCCTGCAAGTATATAAAGTGCACATTCTTTTAAATCAAAAACAGAGATTTACATTTCATGATTTTAAACTTTTCTTGAAATTAATAATTGATATTTAAAAATGACAACTTTTTCTTGGATGCATTACAACTTTGAATTTTTTTTCTTTTTCTTTTTGGACTATGTAATTTTTTGCATTTTAAAACTTCTTTGACGCATCAATTTACAAATTTACATTTTTTATTCAATTTTTTTTCTTTGGTTAATTTTTATATTTTAAAATTATGACCTTTTTGTTGGACAAAAATTTACAACTTTATATTTTTTTTTACATATTTTGAGATGTCATAATTTGTTACATTTAAAATGTACGGCTTTTTATTGGTCACATGAACTTACAACTTTGCATTCTTTTAAAATAACGATTTTTGTCTGAGACACAAATTTACAACTTGAAATTCTGAACGTTTTTTTTTTTTTTAATTTCGTAATTTTTTACTTTGTAAAATTACAACTTTTTTCTTGGACACATGAATTTACAACTATATTTGTAACTTTTTTTAGGATTTCGTAATTGTTTACATTGTAAAATTCAGACTTCTTGGACACATAAATTTACAACTTTAGATTTTTTTTACTTTTCTTTTGGATTTTGAAATTTGTTACATTTCAAAATTACGTCTTTTTTTCTTGGATGCATGATTTTACAACTTTACATGTTGAACTTTTGTGGGGTATTGTAATTTTTTATACTTTGAAATTCTGACTTCTTGGACTCATGAATTTACAACTATATTTGTAACTTTTTTTGGATTTTGTAATTTTATACGTTGTATAATTACGACTTTTTTCTTGGACACATGAATTTCCAACTTTACATTTCAAATTTTTTTGGATTTTAGAATTTTTTACAATTTAAAATTACGAGTTTTTCTTGAACATGAATTTACAACTTTAAAATTGTAACTTTTTTGGATTTCATCATTTTTTACATTTTAAAATCCAGACTTTTTTTCTTTGAAATGTGCATTTACATCTCATAATTCAGAAAGTTTTATTGACGTTCTTACTTTACATTTAAAAATTCAGATTTTATTACATTTCAAAATTACATCTTTTTTCTTATACGCATGATTTTACAACTTTACATGTTGAACTTTTTGGTGGGATTTTGTAATTTATTATACTTGGAAATTCCGACCTCTTGGACACATGAATTTACAACTTTATATTTGTATCTTTTTTTTAGATTATGTAATTGAATATAAATATGCGTTGTAAAATTCAGACTTTTTTCTTGGACGCATGAATTTACAACTTTTACATTTGAAAGTTTTTTTGGATTTCATAATTACAAATTTTTCTTGAACATGAATTTACAACTTTAAATTTGTAACTTTTTTGGGTTTCGTTATTTTTTACATTTGAAAATCCAGACTTTTTTCTTTGAAACATGCATTTACATCTCATAATTCAGACATTTACTTGAGATACTTACTTTACATTTTAAAATTCTGAATATATTCATTTAGAAATCGCAATTCTGAACAATTTTTTGGAATTCGCAATTTACATCATTTTTAGATTTTTTTTTTTACTATTCTAAATTTATAATGCAGGTAATAAAATAATATCATCGTTCTGAGATTTACGACTTTTTTTCTTGGATGTATGAAGATACATCTCAACACTCTAAACTTTTTTCTTGGAAATATGCTATTTTTTTATTCAAATTTACACTTTCAATTCTGACCATTTAAAAATTCTGACTTTTATTGAACACTTAATAGACAGGCATTTTTTTTTCTGTGAGCTAACTAAAACCAACATGGCGAGTTTTGATTTCACACTTGCTTTAAAGTGATGTCAGATTACCTGGGGCTGAGTCCGGAGCTCTTCTCCACATTGGTCGCTCCTCCTCTGGCGTCCCGCTCCAGTGTTTTGCGGTCTCTCCTGGACGATGGAGCAGACACTGATATGGTGTGTCCCCGTGGCCGGTGTCCAGTAGGAGACAGGGGTCCTGTCTGCACTGGCGGGAACTCCAGCCTCATTCTGGAGGTGGAGGAGGAGGACACGGACACGCTAGAGCTGCTGCAAGATGTCCCAGCGGTGGATCCAGCGCTCTCTCCTGGAGCCTCCACACAGGCCTGGACTGTAGGGATTTTGCTGGTGGGAGCTGGATCCACGCTCTGGGACGAGGCTTTGCTGAAGGCCTCTGGAAGGGTCTGGAGCTCAGGAGAGGAGCTGGATTTATTAAGGGTGCTGGAGCTGCTGCTGCTTTGGGTGAAGGAAAGCTCGGGGTCCTGGGCTCCAGGGGTGCAGAGGCTGAGCGGAGGCTGGTCGATGGGGATTCCTCCTTCACTGACCTCCTCCAGGGTGGACTTATCATCATCCTGACTGGATGTGGAGGAGGACTGTGAACAATGGTGGAGAGAAGGAGGAGGTGAAGCGCTGGTTGTTTTAACAATGCTGTGGGTGACTGGAGGATTTGTTTGGAAGTTTTAATCAAAAACTTGCAAATCTTAAAGATATATATGTTCCCCTGAAATTCCTTTTAAGATGATTAATTCTACTTTTTAAGATGACATCTTTTTCTTCTGACTTTTTTCTTTAAAAAATTCATTTATAGCTCTCATTAAAAGCATTTTATAAATTCTAAATAAGTTCAGACTTATTTCTTGAAAATATTAATTTAAAGCTGAGCATTTAAAGTTTTTATTTTTATTTATAGGTTGCGATTCTGAGCATTTCAAAATTTCAAATTGTTCTTTAAAAATGTTATTATATTTTTATTGCTTAAAATATATTTTTTATTGAAAATATTTTTCTAAGTTGTACAAACATGAATTTCCGTCTCATAATTTTAAACCTTTTCTTGTAATTCTTAGTTCACATTTTAAAATTCTGACTTTTCTGGGGGGAAATTAGAGTTTACACTTCACAATTATTTGTTTCCTGAAATTCTTAGTTTATTTTTTTTAATTTACTGCTTTTTCTTTGTAATGTAAATCTGGAATTCTGAACATTTTAGATCTCTGACTTTCTTCTGGTCTGCCTGGACGATTTGTCTGGAACTTGCAATTCTTACATTTTTGCTAGGAATTCTTAGTTAAATTCACGGCTTTTTCTTGGGAATGTTAATTTGGAATTCTGAACATTTTAAAATTCAGATTTTTTTATTTTTCATTATTCATTTACAATTCGCAATTCAGATTATTATTTTTTTTAATTCTTTAAAAATATTATTATATTTACATTGTTTATGTTGTTTCCAATTCTTGGAAATATTAATTTTCACCTCATAATTCAGAACTTGTTCTTGGAAATCTTTGTTTGCCATTTAAAAATCAGGCTTTTTGTTCAAAAACAAAAATTATGTCTCGCAATTCTGAACATTCTAAAATTCAGACTTTAAATATTAATTTCCATCTCATAATTCTGCACTTTTCCTTCCAAATATGAATTTACAACATGGAATTTCTTGAAATTCTGAGTTGACATTTTGGAATTCTGCCTTTTTCTTGAAATTCTGAGTTGACATTTTGGAATTCTGCCTTTTTCTTGAAATTCTGAGTTGACATTTTGGAATTCTGCCTTTTTCTTGAAATTCTGAGTTGACATTTTGGAATTCTGCCTTTTTCTTGAAATTCTGAGTTGACATTTTGGAATTCTGCCTTTTTCTTGAAATTCTGAGTTTATATTTTGAAATTCTGACTTTTTTTTGGAATTTTAAGTTCATGAAAGTAAACTTTTTTTCCAGGGAATTCTTATAGTTTACATTTTAGAATGGAAAACCTTTCTCAAAAAAATGAAATTCCAACTTTTTTTCTAGAAATTTGAATTTACAACCTCACAATTCTGAACTTAAAAATGTATTGTTTGCATTTTAAAAAAGTAAAATTTCTTGGTTTAAAAGTAGATTTCTTGGTTTAAATTTAAATTATTATTATTATTTTTTTTTACAATATGAATTTATTTCTCACAGTTCTGACCTTACATTTTACAATTTCAACATTTTTTTTTCTTGTAAATGTGACTGACTCACTCTGCTCATCATGCCGGGTGCAGTCGTGCTGGTGTTCATGAAGATGGGTTCAGAAGGAACGGCCTCAAACTCCTCCACCTCTTTAGACTCAGCAGGTGAAACAGACGCCATACTCCGCCCACTTTCCTCCATCACTACTGAATCTGTTGAACAGTGGCGTCAGCAAAATAAACAAGAGCACCAGATCTATGAGCAGAGGGGTGTCTATAACATCAGTGATTAGTCCAGACTCTCCTAAAGTCACTCTAATACATGCAAAGCTGTTTGAAGATCACATCTGCTCACACACACAGACACATACTGATCAAACACACACTCTGATCAAACAAACACAAGATCGAGTCAGACACAAAAGCACCCTCGGTAACAATTTGACATTGAAAGGCTATACACGACATGCTGCATTTAGAGATCCAATGAAAATGATAGTTGAAGGCCACTAGTTCTGAAATACTGTCATCTGTGTTGTAGTGTACCTGCTAAAGCCGGCGTAACAGATGTTTACATATTTCTTTCCTATCAAAATTCTGTTTAAATCTGACAGATTCTGACCTTTTTGGGAATGAACAGTTTTGCATTCCTTTTATTCTTGGACTCTGATTTTAGATTTGGAATTATTTTCTTGAAATTCTGGGTTGCCATTTTGGAATTCTCACTTTACTTTTCGGAACTCTGACTTTTTCTTTGAAATTCTGGCTAAATTTTGGAATTCTGCCGCTTTTTGTCTGGGAAATCTGAGTTTACATTTTGGAATACAGACTTTTGCCTGGTGTTCTGACTTTACATTTGAAAATTATGACTTTTTTCATGGAATTCTGACTCTTGTTATGGAATTCTGACTTTATTCTTGGAATTCTGACTGTTCTTGGAATTCTGTTTTTTAAATTTTGGAATTATGACTTTTTTTTAAAGGAAATCTGACTTTTTCTTGGAATTCTGATTTAAATTTTGGAATTCCGACTTTTCTTGGAATTCTGACGTTTTTCTTGAAATTCTGTTTTACATGTTGTATATCCGACTTTCCAAGAAGTTCTTACTTTTTTTTTCGTTAAATTCTGATTTACATTTTGGAATTTTGACTTTTCTTGGTATTCTGACGTTTTTCTTGAATTTCTGATTTACATTTTGGAATTCTGACTTTCCAAGAAATTCTGACTTTTTTTCTTGGAATTCTGATTTACATTTTGGAATTCTGACTGGTCTTGGAATTCTGTCTTTCTCCTTGGAATTCTGACATTTTTATGGAATTCTGACTTTTTTCTTGGAATTCTGACATTTTTATAGAATTCTGACTTTTTTTCTTACAATTCTGACTTTTTTTGGAATTCTGTATTACATTTTGGAATTCTGACTTTTTCATTAGAATTCTGACAACATTTTGGAATTCTGACTCTTTTTATGGTATTCTGACTTTTTTTGGAATTCTGACTTTTCAAGAAATTGTGTCTTTTTTTCTAGGAATTCTGTTTTTAAATTCTGGAATTCTGACTGTTCTAGGAATTCTGACTTTCTCCTTAGAATTCTGACTACATTATGAAATTCTGACTTTATACTTTGAATTTCTGACTTATTTTCTAGGAATTCTGACTTATAATAATAATAATTCCTTACATTTATATAACACTTTTCTGGGCACTCAAAGCGCTTTACACATAGGAGGAAATCTCCTTATTCACCACCTGGATGACGCGACGGCAGCCATTTTGTGTCACACCGCACACCACACACCAGATGATTGGTAGAGAGGAGACAGAGTGATGAGGCCAATTATGATATGGTATGATATGACACCAACAGCACTTCCGGCAAAAACCTAGCTTTCCCATGTGGTCTCTCATACAGGTACCGACTGGGGCGACAGTGGGCGACCATGTGAGAGTTGCAGAGCACTCTGCCGGCACTTTCAACTTGGAATTCTGCCTACATTTTATAATTCTGACTTTTTTCATGGAATTCTGACTTTCTCCTTGGAATTCTGACCTTTTTTTATGGAATTCAGACTTTTTTCATGGAATTCTGACTTTTTTCTTAAAATTCTGATTTATATTTGGAAATCTGACTGTTCTTGGAAATCTGTCTTTCTCCTTGGAATTCTGACATTTTTTTATGGATTTCTGAATTTTTTCTTGGAATTCTGACTTTTCTGACTTTTTGTTTTGTTTCTAGAAATTCTGAGTTTACATTTTTTTAATTCCGACTTTCTCCTTAGAATACTGACAACATTTTAGAATTCCCACTTTTTCTTGGAATTCTGACTTTTTTCTTGGAAATCTGAGAACAACTCTAAACAACTGAAACAAAGCACAAGTTCCACCCCTATAACTAAAATACTTTTATGTGGGGCAAATTTAAATGATTTGCATAAAGGGAATAAATTACCAGACGACATAAAAACTGGGCAGCTTTAAAACAGAAACATGCCTTTCATGTCAAATCCATGGTGGAAAAAGAGAATGCAGAAGAGCTTCAGGATAAGCACTAAAAAAAAAAGCGCCAAAGCGTCCTGAATCAGGAATCAATCCCATGACTGGCTCTGGGCTGAACGCTGATTGGCTGAGTTCACCTTTGATTATCTGCTTTGTTCTGGATTGTTGAGTGTTAATGGAGAGAGGAAGCTGAAGAAACACAGGATTCGTGCCGCAGTCACACCACATACAGTATTGTACCTGCCCAGGATATACTCCTGTGAAACCTGCCGGATGATTCAGAGGAGCAGAGAGAGCTGAGAGAGGCCACTGCGGCGAAAACAGAGCCCGAAAACACACAACACACACGCACGCACACATACATACATACATACGACCCACAGGAGACAGCAAACACACAGTCAAGAGTCTCAGGCTGAACGAGGACAGATGTGTGCAAACAGCACAACAGATGCTCATTAAAGAGCTCTGCAAGTCAAATGTGTAGTTGCAGATGACATACAGACAAAAACAAGCCCCTCCAGGATTTTGCAAAAATTAAATCAGATTTTTTTTGTGATTAAAATTTTTTTTGTGGAGAGAAATGGGAACAAGATTTTTTGTTATTTATCGATATTATTATTTACATTTTAATATTATTAATAATAATAATAATTAATCAATAATTATTAAAGGTTCCTCATGGCATATAAATTAAAAATATTGAATTTACTACCATTGTTTTATTAACATATGTGGATTATTAATACCTAATAACAAATTATTTTTACTAAATAAAAATTCAAAAACTATCTAACAATAGAAAATTATACATGACTACAGTCATAAAAGGTTTTTAAAGGATTTCACTAACAGTAATAATAATAATAATGATAATGATAATAATAATAATCCCAAATATAATAAATTAATTTTAAACTAAATCAAATGTATGATATACATAATGGATTTTTTTTTCAATTTCTAGAAATGTATGTGAATTAATTATAAATAATTAACTGCATAAATTATTACTACATAATAATACAAAAAATACCTAATCAATAATATTACTATTGCCATAAAAATTGAATAAATAATATTTGACAAATTATAAAATATTGCTACTAATAAAAAATAGCAATATCTTTATATATCTTATAATATATCTTTTAATTATTATAAAGGGACTAAGCCGAAAAGAAAATGAAGAATTATTATTATTATTGTTGTTGTTGTTTTTATTCTAAGTCAATAAATTTTACCTAACAACTATAACGTATGTTGTTCATTAGGTGTAATGAATTTGATGATTGCACTGACCCAGATGAAAACTTTGGTTTTATGTCAATTAATTGTGCTAACCTAGTTTCATCTACCCTGTTGTGTACTAAAAGAATTAAATACTTTAACATCATTTGACAGTGTAGATCAATTTAATCTTTTTAAATGTGTTCATTAATACACTGTTAATTGTTTTGGGAGAGTTGAGGCGGTCATTAAGAGGAATAAATCACTGAAACACTTGAGATTCGCCTAAATTAGACATAAACTAAATGTTTTCAGCAGAAATGTTCATTTATAACAGCAAGAGACTAACATAAAAACATAAACTAACATGAAATACAAACCAAAAACCAAAAACACTAACAAATAAATAAAAAATGAATAAATATAATTTAATAATACATATAAAATATATAAATAAACAGACAAAAACACTAACAAATAAACAAAAAATAAATAATTATTATTTAATAATACATATAATATACATAAATAAACATAGACAAAACACTAACAAATAAAAAAAAAAAATATTTAATAATACATTTAAAATATATAAATAAAAAAGTAATAACATTCCTAATATATTTTAAAGTAATAAATAAAAATAAAATAGACAAAAAAAAAATAAAAACAAAACAAAAATACACACATAAAATAATAAATACGAAACAGACAAAAACAAAACACTCCAACAAAACGTAAAATTCATTATAACAAACACATCCAAATGTGTGACATCATTTCCTCTCAAAACACTAAACGATTGGCTCTTCCTGCATGCTGCATACAAGATTCTGCACATCTACTACTGTTTTATATAAAACAGTATGTGAAACACACTGCAAATTCCTATACTATATATAAAACATACACTACGGCATTGCACAGCTTGGTGAAATATGAATTTGCATACTAGTTTTACCACTTCTGCCACATGCACTTGTAAAGGTTGTGCACACAGGGTGCAGTACCAAACATGACCACCAGTTGACATACAGTGTCCACTGTTGACCCACTATTTTGAGGAATACGAACCATATACAAAAGATGTATTCAGAAGACGTAGACCTTTCCAACAATATAAAGTTAAGCCTGGTTAATACTTCTGCGTCAAGTGACCGGCGTTACCCACAGCGCAAGCAACGTGCGTAGCTGTGCATTTATACTTCTGCGCGCTGTCTCTGTCGGTCTGCATTAACACTTCTGAAACGCTAGTTGGCAGTGAGGTGTAAATGTTCCTCTGTGTTGAGTTTCTTCGCTTCTGTTTTGCTTTTCCTGAACACTTCCGGGATGTACAAGTGGCTCAAACTCGCTCATTTTGAGGCAGGAACCGGCGGACGTGCAACAACTTTAACTATGAGGTAAACACAATACAAAACTTTCCATCCGGAGCTCCTTCACGGGACTCCACACTTGTAAACAATCGCTCGCGCCATTTGCGCGGCTCTCGGTCCCGCCCAGACTCGTCAGTGCTACCAAGCCGACCAATCACAGAGCTTACGCTACGCGTTGTTGCGACGTGTAGTTACATTTTTTGAGAGGTGCACGTCAGTGACGGCGATGGCCACGGCGAAGGGCTATGCGTCAGCGCCGTAGCATACGCCGGCGTTTGACGCAGAAGTATAAATCAGCCTTTAGTCATGATTAGATTTGGCTTTATTTGCAATATATTGAGGTAAACTAAAGTGTGACAGTTCAGAGTGTGTTTGTGTGTTTCTCACCAGTGTTGGATCGCTGGATGGGAGCCGGTTTGCCCTGTGGCTGGGACACGTCTGTGGGACGCTCGGCCGGTGGCTCCTTCACTCCGTCCATGGCCATGAGGACGCTGGAGAGCTCCTGCAGAGGCAGATTACCCAGCTCAGAGGAGAACGGGCTTGGCGGGTTCTCCAGACACATCAGCCAGCTCGTGTTCCCTGAGAAAACACCAGCAGCAAATGAGGAAAACACTGACGGCATACTGGAGGTAATCTACAGTTTACAGTTTCAGCATGAAACAGAAGTTAACATTGTCCTTTTTTCCCATATTGTGATGCACATCCCATTAAAATGGTGCTAAAATAAGAAAAAAAAACAGGGGGTGCACAGGGCTTAATTGGGGCCGGATCCGGATGCAGCACCTCCTAAATCTGATCCGATCTGATTTTAGCCATCCCCCTCCTCACACGCACCCCCGCCCCACTTTTCACTTTCATCTTAACCCCACCCCACCTTACCCCACCCCACCCCACCTCACCCCACCTTAAATGACTGATAGCTCCGCCTTAAATGATTGATAGCTCCGCCCCAAATAGCCAAAAGCTCTGCCCTAAATTACTGATAGCCACGCTCTAAATGCCTAATAGCCCTGACCTAAATGTCCGATAGCCCCGCTCTAAATGACTGATAGCTCTGCCCTAAATTAATGATAGCCCCGCCCTTATTGACTTATAGCTCCGACCTAAATTACTGATCGCCCCAAACTTAATGACTGATAGCTCCGCCCTAAATGACTGATAGCCTCGCCCCAAAAGACTGATAGCTCCGCCCTAAATGACTGATAGCACCGCCCTAAAAAACGGATAGCTCTGCCCTCAATGACCGATAGCCCTGCCCTAAAAGACTGATGGCTTCGCCCTAAATTACTGATAGCCCCACCCTTAATCAATGATAGCTCCGCCCTAAATGTCTGATAGCCCTGCCCTAAAAGACTGATAGCTTTGCGCTAAATTACTGATAGCCCCACCCTTGATGACTGATAACCCCGCCCTAAAAGACTGACAACTCTGTCCTAAATTACTGATAGTGCCACCTCAAAATTACTGATAGCTCCGCCCCAAAATGATTGATAGCTCCGCCCTAAATAAATGATAGCCCCACCCTAAATTACAGATACCTTCGCCCTAAATTACTGATAGGTCGACCACAAAATTACTGATAGCCTCGCCTTAAATGACTGAAAGCCCCACCCTAAATGATTGATAGCCCCACCTTAAATAACCGATTACTCTGCCTTTGATGACTGATAGCTCCATCCTAAATGATGGATAGCTTCACCCAAAATGACCAATAGCTCCACACTAAATGACTGATAACCCCGCCCTAAATTACAGATAGCTTTGCCCTAAATTACTGATAGGTCGACCACAAAATGACTGATAGCCTCGCCTTAAATGACTGAAAGCCCCACCCTAAATGACTGATAGCCCCGACTAAATGTTTCACTGAAATTAAATAGTTCAATAGTGTAATTATAATATCATTTAAATAATCATATATTTTAGTATTTACAACAGTAATGCATTGATGTAACTTTTATCAGTCGATTTTATTTACACCAAAGACAACTTTATTGAGAGAGTGAAAAAAAAAGAGTTTCAGAAAAGAAAGTACAACGCATACACTGAAATAAAGAAATAAAATTCACAAAAGATGTACGGAGTGAAGCAAGAAGAGCCTGACAAAGCAGACTCGTGAAAGAAACACACAAACAAGAGAAGGAACAACTGCACAATAGCAATCCTCGGAAAGCCTCAGAAAGCATCTCGTCGTGTGTTTTTCTCCAAGAAACGAAGCGCTCAAGGACAAGTTACAAATAAAGCAAGAAAAACAGAGATACAGATGGAGGAGAATCAGGTCTTTGAGCGCTGCAGGTGTGACTCAAACTATAAGAAACCCTACAAACATGGCATTTGAGCCGCTGCAGGCCATGGTGAGCGCTCATAAGCGGCTCAAACGCCTCGAGACTGCAGATATTATGGGATAATTTTAGCGCCGCACACAAATGTGTCATAATTGAGAGCCAGTGGGTGATAATTATGGCCCAGGACAAGGTTACAGGGAAAAACATGCATGCGCTATATTTGGCGTATTATTTATTCATTCATTTTCCTTCGGCTTAGTTCTTTATTTATCAGGAGTCGCCACGGTGGAATGAACCACCAACTACTCCAGCATATGTTTTACACCGCGGATTCCAGCCGCAACCCAGTATTGGGAAAAACACATACACACATACACACATTTTCACTCACACTCATACACTACGACCAATTAAGTTAATCTAATTCACCTATTGCGGATGTGTTTGCAAACTCCACACATGCAAACTCCACACAGAAATGCCAACTGATCCAGCCGGGACTTGAACTGTATATCTGTTCATACCTGAGGGCCTGCGGATGAAGATCTCGGCCCAGCCCTGCGTCAGCATGGGCACAAACTCTGCCAGGCTGTGCTTGTGCTTGAGCGGTGGTGATGGGTTGCAGGCGGAGGGTGGCGGGTGCTCCTCCATCCCCCTCTGAGAGCTCAGGACGTCCAGCGGGGGTCCGGGAGGAGGCAGCGGGCCGCTGTACTCGCCTTCAGGAGACGCCACCAGAGGACTAAGACTCTGAGCTGGCCCGGCCCGCAGAGCATGACCACCTGAAGAAACACACAGACATTCAGTATGGAGTCAGATCAGTCTCAAAAATACATACATTTACGAAATAAAACTCATACCAGCACAACACAATTTTAAATTTAGTAATTTGAATTTGTGTATTTGTGAATCGTGTTTTGAATTTACGAATTGTATTTGTGCATTTTTGAATCGTGTTTTGAATTTACGAATTGTATTTGTGTATTTTTGAATCGTGTTTTGAATTTACGAATTGTATTTGTGTATTTTTGAATCGTGTTTTGAACTTACGAAATGCATTTGTGTATTTTTGAATTGTGTTTTAATTTACGAACTGTATTTGTGTATTTTTGAATCGTGTTTTAAATTTACGAACTGGATTTGTGTATTTTTTAATCGTGTTTTGAATTTACAAAATGTATTTTTGTATTTTTGAATCGTGTTTTGAATTTACGAACTGGATTTGTGTATTTTTGAATCGTGTTTTGAATTTACGAATTGTATTTGTGAATTGTGTTTTAAATTGACGAATCGTGTTTTGATGAGTCCTCTGAGAGAGTAATTCGTTCACTCAAGCATACGCACATTGTGCAGGTGGTAGAGAAGATTAGTTTCTTTTTCTTCTATCAGGTTTGAGTCGTTCGTTCCTCACATGAAAATACATTAGCCAATCATATGCAGTCAGAGGCGAAAAAAAGATCTGATCCATTCATCTCTCGAGTCCTCAGTTTTGATTCATCTCTTTACATGCTGTTACATGATGAACGAACGGCTCAAAAACCCAAAGACTCAAAAGGTGAGCTAGTCATGTGTGTTTCTGGCTCAGACTGTGTGCATTGGTGTAGCTTATATGGGACTCTTTGTGTCTGAGAATCGAATCAGGATAGTTCGATTCAAGAATCGCAAGGCATCGATTTTTTTTCTCCCACCCTCAAGGCTGTGTGTTCACCTGATATAGAGCGGACTCGTGTGCGTGTGTTGGTGTTGATCTGTTGGCTGGACTGAGACTCTAGTTTAGCGGGAGCTTCTTTGGTCTGTCGGGTGTGCAGAGACGGGTCAGACCTGCAGGACACACAAACACACAACAGATCATCATGTTTAGTTTTCGGACTTCTTTCATCTGCCGAATGGGTCTCAGACCAGTAATTTGACGAGTGAATAAATCGATCACCTGGTCATTTCTCCTCCTCCATGTCTCTCTGTCATGTCCAGACCCAGAAGAGCTTGTGTTCGCGAGCCGCCGCTGGTGGTTATGGTCACTAACTTATTCCCAACCAGCCACGTCATACTAGGACCACCAGATAACAGGAAATCAGCGATGGGAGACCTGAGAGAAGAAAAACACACACAGAAAACACTTGAAGCTTGCCTTTCTCCTGCTGAAAACAACACACTACAATAGAGATGGACTGCATCTTATATATTGCTCTACACCTGTAACAATGTTCCACAGAAATAATTAATCAATGTTTTAATTTCGAGTTCATTTTTAAATTAATTAATTTGAGCCATTTGTTATAATTTCTTCATCTAGTCATCATTACGATGGCTGCGCGCACCTCTTGGGCAGAGCAGAGAAGTTGGAGAAGACGTATCTGGCCATCATGTCCAGGCAGGTCTCTGTGAGCTCCAGATGGACTGTCTTCAGAGCGTCGTCCGCCTGCATCACAGCGTTCTCATCAGCTGAGCCCAGACTGCAGGTGGTGCTGGACGTCTGCATCCTGCACAGGACGGGGCACAGCACACACTCACAACCTGACAGTCAATCAGTGCTGAAGCAGATTGCACGCACACACACAGGCCTAAACACACATTCATTCCGATTCACTGATTCTGTGTTACTGATTCTGATTCATTAAATTCTGATTCATCCAATTCTGATTCACCCAATTCTGATTCATTCAATTCTAATTCATCCAATTCATCTGATTCTGATTCAGCCAATTATGATTCAGGCAATTATGACTATGATTCATCCTATTATGATTAATCCAGTTCATCTAATTCTGAGTCATTGAATTCTGATTCATCCAATTCTGATAAATCCGATTCATCCGATTTGATTTAATGATTCATCCAATTCTGATACATTTAATTCATCTGATTCTAATTAATCCGATTCATCCTAACTGATTCATCCTTGAGTGATTCATCCAAGTCATCCTCTACTGATTCATCCTTTACTGATTCATCTGATTCATCCAATTCTGATTAACTGGATTATGATAAATTCAATTCATTCGATTCTGATTAATCTAATTAATCTAATTCTGATTAATCCGATTTATTCAATTCTTATTATTCTGATAAATGTATTTAATCTGTTTCTTATTAATCTAATTCATTCTATACTGATTCATCTTTTACGGATTCATCCAATTCTAATTAATTTGATTTTGATAAATTTGATTCACCTGACTGATTAATTTGATTCATCCTAACCTGATTCATCCAATTTATCTGATTCTGATTCATTCGAATTATCTGATTCTGATTTATGCAATTTTGATTCATCTGAATCAGATTTATCTGATTATTTTGGTTCTTAAAATCAGATGAATTGAATGAATCAAAATAAATTAATAGAAACCAAATAATTCAAGTGTGTTATTTCACAACAATTACTTTTCCAAGGCAGCTTTGCAAAAATAACCATAAGAATCGGAATCAGACGCACTGGATTCAGATGAATCAGAATCAGATGAATTGGATGAGTCAGAATCAGATTAATAACAACCAAAAGAATCCGCTGAATTGAATGAAATGGAATCAGATAAATTGAAGGAATCAGAATCAGATTAATGATTCATCCAATTTCAATGAATCCGATTCTTATTCATCTGATGTCTTTTGATTTTGATAGTTTTAGACCAAGAGTGTCAAACTCTAGCCCTGCACAGTTTAATTCCAACTCTGCACCAACACACTTACCTGCGGGTTACAAACAAGCCTGAAGTCCTTAATTAGTTTGATCAGGTGTGTTTAATTAGGGTTGGAACTAAACTGTGCAGAGCTGCGGCCCTCCAGGAACTGAGTTTGACACTCATTATGGATAAAAATCGCTGAATTATTTCATTCATTTTATTTTCGGCTTAGTCCCTTTATTAATCAGGGGTAGCCACAGTGGAATGATCCGCCAACTTAACCAGCATTTGCTTTACGCAGCGGATGCCCTTCCAGCTGCAACCCAACAGTGGGAATCTAAAATCACTGAATCACTGAGTCAAATAATTCATTCAAACTATCTGATCATTCACAAGCAAATCAAATTACTGTGATCATAAATGAATCATTGACTCACTTGATTCATTCAGAAACTTGATTTGTTCAGTAATAAACAGTGCAGTGTTGCTCTGAGATCAGTAAATGTTCTGCTCCTGCTTGCTTTGGCTCCATTATCATTAGAGAAACAGAAAATAATGGAGAATATTGTGTCGAAAGTGAAACTCACTCAGTTTGAACTTTTTCCCTGTAGAGGATTAGTGTTTTCAACTAGCACTGATATTTAGAAGAGAGCCCCTCGTGCTTGTGTGAGATCACTGAACTACATCATGTGTTATGAATATCAGCACACAAGCCCACGCAGGGACGTTTCCCGCTTTCAGAAGCTGAATGATGGGCTCATTCTGACTGCGTCCTGATAGGCTTCATCACACACTCGATGCTGATGGACTCATAAGTTGTGTTTCTGTTTGTTTATTGCTAAGTGTGTGATATAATATCAGCGTACACTAAAACACCATTAACACACATGAGAAACATCACACACTCCTGCTGAATATCAATCAACACAACTGGGACTGTGACACTGACAAACCTTGAGCAGGAGACAGCTGAATGCTTAACAAACACAAACACACACACACACACACACACACACACACACACACACACACACACACACACACACACACACACACACACACACACACACACACACACACACACACACACACACACACACACACACACAAGATGCAAGACCCTAGAAAAGTTCAGATGCCAGCTTAAGATCCACACACACACACACACACACACACACACACACACACACACACACACACACACACACACAAACACAAACTTGTGAAGACTCAGTGATGGCATTAATCTGAGACAGCCATCAGCATCCTGCTCTTCTGTAACCACGGCAACCGCATCCCAAGGGAAATCAGCCAAGACCACATCATCATCTCCATACACAGACACACAGCTGACACACACACTTAGACAACACACACACGTACTCAGACAACATAGACGCAGACTCAGACGACACACACGAACGCACTGATGGAACACACACACACACACTTAGATGACACACACAGCGACACAGGCTTAGAACACACATTCAGACAACACAAATATACACGCTCTGACAAACACACACTCAGATGACACACACAAACAACAATGGAAAACTCATTAAGGTAACACACACACTCAGACGACACACACACTCAGATTGAAAACACTCCAATCACACACACACACACACACACACACACACACACACA